CTTAGACGTTATTTTACATGTTTTTTTCTTAAATTTTGGGGTTTATCGAGATTAGACCATGATTGTTATGCTCTCTTTGGCTTTAAATTGTGTCCAAGAGAGTAGTGGTGAATAAAAATTTATCTTTATTCTCTAAAAATTACATTATTCAAAAGTAATGTTTATTCCTTTTCATTACTTCTTGATTAAAAAAATCTAGTGTAGAAATTTTTCTCATCAAGTATGAGAAGAAGAACTTTTTTTCATATAATTCATTTTTTTTTCTTGTTACTTTTCTTTATCTAATGTTTTATTATTCAGAGAAGAACTAATCTTAGGCTCTTAAACCATCTTCATTAGTCATCCTCTTAAGATGGTGTCATTATATATTGATATGTGACTGAATTATTAAAAAGTTGTCTAAAAATTGGAGAGATTGTCTTTAGTTCTCCATTGAGACATTCCATCTCCAATTTTAATTAAGACAGCTTCTTAATAAAACAGTCATATATATGTTTACAAAGACGTCCTCTTGAAAAATGAGTGATGGAGATGCTCTTAGTTAACAATTACAAAAGTTTTAAAAGAAGTACCTGCGTGTGGGACTCTATCTGAATGGTAAGACGAGTTATGTTCGATTTTGAGACAAAAAGAAAAAATATAATTTGCGTCAACAGCAGGGTTCGAACCTGCGCGGGCGAAGCCCAACAGATTTCAAGTCTGTCTCCTTAACCACTCGGACATATTGACAATTTGTTGTTTGTTTGAAACGTATTTCTATTGAATTTACTACTAGTTATAAATTTATTCTGATCAAATTTTCTTCATCAAACAAACTTACACACAGCAAGAAAACAAACTTCCTCATTCAAGACGAATTTTATATTCCGACCAAAAAAAAGACGAATTTTATATCTTAATATGAACATTTCAAGTGAGTTATTAAAGGATCTAATAGTTTTCTTGATTAAATAATTTGATTCGTCACTTATAACTTATTACTAACAAACAAAAAAATCTTACTATCATACAATGATCTGTAGTGCTTTACTGCAACACAAAAAAAGATACTCCCAAAAATCTCCAAAATTGGTTTGGTTCGTTAATCTAATTTCTCGTTGGTAAATCTTGAATCAATTGCCAATTTGCCACAAAATGTTGAACCAGAAGCCATTTTGCCATCTTTTGAATAAATAATTATTATTGATTTACTTTTAAATAGAAAAACGTGAGAAATACAATGAGGTCCTCAACCAGTTGAAATAATTACCAGCCCAACCAGGATAATATCCGATATCCGCTTATCCGACCCGACCGAAATATTAAAATACTAAATTGCAAAAAGAAAGAAAAAAAAATATGTTTCCTTTTTGGCCGACGGCGATTCAGACTTGCATCTTCTTCTCCAAAATTCTGATTTCAGTTTTTTCACGAAAGTGATAGGGGTCGTGGTGGATCGGCGGCTATGGTGGATCTTGGGTCTCTTCATTATAATTTTCGTGGTCACCAACTCTTTATCAATTGAATTTTTCATCGGAATTCTTCTATCACCAGAAGTAAATTCTCCTTCACCACCACCAGATCCACCACATCCTCCTCAACTAGAATCTCCCTTGGGTCCATCACCATCTCCACCATCTTATTATCCAGCTCATGAACCAGCACTTGTTCCTGCTCCATCCGACAATGACTCCGACGATAATGTATCCAAACCAAAAATAAAGTATTTTCATTCTCCAACGCCCTCTACAGGAGCGTGCCAAAATTGGAAAAAAAACGGAAGAAAACAAAAGTAAGAAGACGAATTACAAGCATTAAGGCATAATTGTCCCTTAGTTGAGTCATGAATCACATTACAATCTCCTCTCTTGTTAGGATTTAGTTCCAACTCTCTTTCTCCCTTTTCATTTGTTTTTAATTCCATCTCAAATGCTTTTGCATCACTGAATAATTTTTTAGCATTTGAAATCCTATGTGAATAAAAGAATTTACATAGGTTCAACTACGTATTACTAGGTTCATTACTAGGTTCAACTATTAACAAAAATTGTTTGAATTTGCAGGATAAAGATGTTGATATCCAACCAATACAACACGAGAAATTTTTTTGCTCTTCTTTATCAGTTATTTAAACAAAACGTATAATTTTTATAATGGTTATGTGTAGGTCAAAGAAAAAGAAGGAATTTTTTGTCATCACATATGGAGTAGGAGCAATTGTAACAAGAGATCTTGTTGGTGTTATTGATTTTAACACATCACGTATGGAGCCACAAGTTTCAAGTGATGTTAAGGGAAAGATGAGTACTTGTGTGGGATTAGAGCATATCTTTCAAAATCATTTTTCAATTGCTTATTTCATCGTGTTCCATGATATTTAGTCTTGTAAATTATTTTGTTTATTTTGTTTTTTTTGGTTGATGTATATGGAAAAATTGTTGCATATGTTTCGTTTGATATATTAAGAGTGTAAGCCGAGTTAAAAACTAATGATATGATATGGTACAACTAAGTTTGTTTACGTGCAACTAAAGACAATTTGGTACAGTTTAACTTTAAAATAAATTAAATACACTACAAACAAAAAAATGAAAAAAAAACATGTGTTAAAAAAAAGACGGTGCCGTCACAAAAAATAAATAAAAATAATAATAATAATGACGTGGCGCCGTCAGAAAAAAACGTGGCGCCGCAAAAAAATGTTTGGTGCCGCCAAGAACCACATAGTTGTTCTCAAGCCAAAAGTCGAACCTAAATTGGTAATAGTTGTACATCTGCGATTTTTGTATTTTTCTAGTTGAACCATATCATAACTTGTAATAGTACAGTTGAACAATTAACATTTGATCTTTTTTTTTATCATTCTGAATATGTTTATGTTATCATTTGAAAAGAATCTAATATTATTCTTAATTTTCTTCATATCATAGACATATTACCTATATGTTACATATATTGTAAAGGATGCTTGATGACTAAACTATTATCTACTACCATAATTTTGTAATTTCAATTTATTGATCTTTTTATTAATTACTAAGACATGAACATATATTTATCTTACTTAATTGTCTAAACTGCATATCATAAAATTATTTATTTAGTATTTGTTGGTTATATATATTTAGAATCGAGTAGTTGAACCAGTGTGAACCAGTTGTACAAAATGAATGAGAAACCAAAATACGTCCACATTCAGACGTCCACATTCGTACACAAAATAAATATTTGAAAATACAAGCACATGACCGTCAACATTTGTACGTACTTGAACTTGGTAGAACCTTAACATTTGGAAATACAAACCCATAACCGTCAACATTTGTACGTACTTGAACATGGTAGAACTAATCTATAAAAGTCAAACATAGTTTAAACAACATAATTCAAACATAGTTTATATATTCAATACATAATACAATAAAAAATATGACAAATACAAACTGACAATGGTTCTTAGTTATGCTTAATTTAACCTAGTACGTAGTACAAAATCGGAGAAATATAAATCCGTAATTATTAAAACCAAGTTTAATCTAGTATTGTAAAATCGATAAATACAAATAAAAAAATACATATATACAGAATCAGAATCAGAAAAATACATATATACATCACTTATAAAAATTAAACTAAAATGTATTCTTTTTGTTTAAGAGTAGTTTGCCAATAACATCAAGTAAGCTATCTTTTTCACAGATGATGTTTCGTAAATGTGATATTATCTTTAGATCCATTAATACTCATATGGTCTTTGATTAGTATCCTCCAAAACCAAAATATATGTTTGTGGAACAGTCGTTGTTCATTGCTTGCTGAAAAATAGAATAAAAATATTTCAGTTAACAATTAATATTGCACAATTATACCATTTATATTAGTTGTCTATTATCTCTCAGTTGTACCACTTGTACCAGTTGTACACTATTTTTCAGTTGTACCCATTTGTACCTGTTGTACTATTCGTGGAGCTATGACGATTTCTGGTTCTAATCTACCTAAGAATCACTATGATTTAACAGCTAAAATCGACAAATTATCTCATCAAAAGCTTAATTTATCCAGAAAATATGGTTACCAATCCAATATGCATACTGAAATAACCAATTTTCATATCCAATCCCTAAATAATAATCCCAAAATAATTCCAAGCCTGGGAAAAAGAAGAGCTCATCTCCTAAGAGTAAAACTTCAACCATGGTGAAAGAGAAAGGAAAAATTGATTGCAGAAGGAAGAAAATGAAGCAAAAGTGATGGCAGAGACAAAAAAGCAAGCGAAGACGGAGGCGGAGGATTGCCGGCGGCTAGATCACGACGAAGAATAAAATAAACAATTTTTTTTGTTTGATTTACGTTTTTTTAAAGAAAATATTTTCATTTATTTTATTTTATTATTATTATTTTCAGTTTATTTATTTATTTCATTAAGGGTATAATTGTAACTGTACATATCTTGTAGATAAGGTGATGGCATTAGATTTAAGTGATGACATTAAATTAATTTTTCACAAAAATAGCAAATTGGCCTCGCGCTCGTAAATCTTTCTCATTTCGTTCAAAATACTGGTTCAATTTAATTCTGGTGTGTGGTTCTCTCTTTTTGTCAAAAAAAGAAAAGCAGAACCACACCACACGACGTCGTTTCGTCATCCTCTTAACCAACACATTCGATTTAAAACTGACATAATATCGAGCCGGTCAACGATTGAAAATGAAGCTGGTTTGGAATTGGACCGACGACTTATCAAAGTTTTTTTTTTTTTTTTTTTGCGTGAAGCCAAAGCCGACGAAAGATATTTCTAAATATCTCAGCCTTTTGTGGGCCCCTTTCTCTCTCTCTCTCTCTCTCTCTCACCGCACCAATCGCCGTCGGCCTCCAAAACCCAAAAACCTTCCCCAGAAAACGGCGAGCGAACCAAGGTCAAAATCGATGAGACGATGCTCCCGACGTTTAACGGTTTAAAAATCATACCAAACAATCACCGTCTCGTACCGTTTCCTCGCGCTCGTCGTCTCTCGCCATGACCCTCCTCTCTAGGTTCGTCTTCTTCTTCACCTCGCTTATGGGTTTGCTGGATCTCTAATCCGATTAGCTTTTTGCTTCCCGTTTTCATGGAGATTGCTTTAGAAATTGATTCCTAGGTCTAAAAATCAAGGCTTTGTTTAGAAATTTTGCAGTTTCCAAAGTCTCAATTTTTAACTCTCTTCATTTGATCGAATCCTTCCTTAGTTTTATAAATCGAGTCTTTGCTTTTGGCTCGTTGCAGATTTTTGGTTACTAAAGTGGTTACAAGATACACACAATCCCTATACAACAATCAGAAAAATGGAACAAGTCTTACACTTTCTCTGAGATTGCCTCAAATCAGACCTTACACTTCGCCGTCTTCAAGGATTCTGAGCAACGGGCATCGTCAAAACCACACATTGACTCTCTTCAATAACGTAAAGGGAAGGTTTTTAGGTAGAAGCTATTCGGTTGCATCTGGAAGCTATGTAGCTAAGCAAGTCCCTTGGAAATGGCTTCTTCATAGAAACTTGCCTCGGATAAGTACAATTGCTAAAGCTTTGAGTTTGTCTCTACCTCGTTCTTCGTACTTGTTGTTACCTGGTGTCTTGGCTCTTACTTGGAGACAGTTGGCATGGACGAGAGTGGCGTGGGCGCAGCAAAGAACGGCTCCGGCTCAAAGTCCGGTGATAGATCGTTATCATTCGCAGTTTTCTCTTTATAGAAGCGCCGTGAACATACCTATTGTGCTCTCTACTTTACTGTTCTCTGCAATGGAAGGTGTGATTCTGATAGGGAGAGCTCTCTACTTAGCTGTTCTGCTTTCTCCGAATCTTGTCATGGCGTTGTTAGAGTTTACATGCGGGCCTCGGTTTAGAAAACTGCGGCATGAGGTTCTCCATCGGACTCTGGAGAGAGCTGGTCCTGCTTTCATCAAGTTTGGCCAATGGATTGCCACAAGGCCTGATCGGTTCTCTAAAGATTTGTGCTTGCAGCTCTCAAAGCTTCACAGTAATGCTCCTGAGCATAGCTTTGCATTCACCAAGAAAACAATCGAAAATGCGTTTGGTCGTAAACTCTCTGATATATTCGAGGAGTTCGATGAGACTCCAGTGGCTTCAGGGAGCATAGCGCAAGTCCATAGAGCTACTTTGAAGTTTCAGTATGCAGGACAAAAGATCAAGTCCTCTGAAGTAGCTGTGAAAGTGAGACATCCTTGTGTTGAGGAGACCATGACTCGAGACTTTGTGATCATCAATTTGGCTGCAAAGTTGACTACTTTGGTTCCGGGTTTGAACTGGCTTAGATTGGATGAATGTGTGCAACAGTTTAGCGTCTACATGTTGTCTCAAGTTGATCTCTCAAGAGAAGCTTCTCATTTGAGCCGGTTCATATACAACTTCCGTGCTTGGAAAGATGTTTCTTTCCCTAAGCCAGTGTTTCCTCTTGTGCATCCCTCTGTTTTGGTTGAGACGTATGAGCACGGAGAGAGCGTGGCTCGTTATGTAGATGGCTCTGAAGGACATAAATGGCTTAAAGCTAAAGTAGCTCATATCGGAACTCATGCTCTCTTGAAGATGCTCCTGGTGAGGACAAAAATGAATCTTTTTGTTCATTTTGCAATGTTACAACTTCAAGATTTGCTCTGATTCTTGTTTTCTTTCTTTTCAGGTTGATAACTTCATTCACGCAGATATGCATCCAGGGAACATTCTTGTAAGGAAGAACGATACTCGAAAAGGCTTTTTCAAATCGAAGAAGCCACACATTGTGTTCCTAGATGTTGGAATGACTGCAGAACTTTCCAAAACCGACCGAGATAACCTTCTAGGTTTCTTCAAGGCGGTTGCGCGTAGAGATGGACGTACCGCTGCTGAAAGTACGCTTAAATTATCTCGACAGCAGAATTGTCCTAATCCACAGGGCTTCATCGAGGTGTGATCTCTTTACATCATTCAAAGTTTCTTCCTTTTTTTGTGGTGGTTACAAGTTTATATATGTGTCATCACTTCATTGTGACAGGAAGTAGAAGAAGCGTTTAGATTCTGGGGAACAGCAGAAGGAGAATTAGTCCATCCAGCGGATTGTATGCACGAACTATTCGAGAAAATGAGGCGTCATAGAGTAAACATTGATGGCAATGTCTCCACTGTGATGTTTACAACATTAGTTCTCGAGGTGAGACATAGAAAGCATTCATCTTTGGAGTTTTGTTGAGCTATGATCAAGTGTTTTACAGTTTCTTGATTGTGTCAAAGATTTGCTTCAAATGTAAACAAGACTGAGATTTGAGCTTTGGTTTTTTAGGGATGGCAACGGAAACTTGATCCGGGATATGATATAATGAGGACGCTGCAGTCGATGCTGCTGAAAACGGATTGGGCTAAATCACTTCCTTACACGATCTATGGACTGATGGCTCCGTAGAGTTGAAAAAGGTTCAGTCTTTATTATTCTTTTACACATTTTAATGGCTATGAGAGCCAGATTTTCTTTTGACTTAGGAGTTGAAGAAGAACAGAAATATATCTTTTATAGAAAATCAAAAAGAAAAACACATTTTTTTTGTCTGTCTTCTTCTTATTTACTTTTGCTTTGAGTTAAATCATCCATTACAGAGAACTTGTATTCTTTTGCGGTATATATCAGTTTTTTTTTTTTTAATTAACTACGATTGTGTCTTTATTTTCTTGATGAAAAAACTATGAAACATAAAGTTTTGGTTTTGATTTATTTTGTATTTTCTGTAACATTTTGTATAAAAAGTACCTTTTTTATTTTCCAAAACATGTATTTATTTTTTGGGGGTAAAAACATGTATTTAGTTCATATTCGTAAACCCGAAATCTAATAACTAAAAAAATAAAAAGATGGATTCCAACTGTAAAGAAATTTACATATGAAAGGGGAAAAAAAAATTTAAACATCAGCGTGACTAATAAATCTAAAGAACATAAAACCTAATGAGTCTATTTAAATAATTTGCAGCAGAAAAAAAACACAATGCAATCGTTTTAGTGTCAATGTCTAAAAGGAGCCGTGGCCAATGAGCCAAAGCCAACCCAAACATACACCAGCGAAGATACCTCCCAATAGAAACACGCACAGCAAGTTGCCTAATGCATTCGATTCCGGTCCCTGTTAACCAAGAATTCGAAAAATATTAACAATATACATAACCGGTTTTAAACCGAACCAAATCGAACCAGAGTGATTTTACTAGAAAGTTACTTACATTGTAACCCTTTGGTGCATTGCTGAAGATACAAACGGTTAAATAACCATTACTCAATCCCAAGAAAGAGGTGAGGAAGAGCATCCATCCTTGATCGGCGTATTTCGCAGTAAAGTAAAAGGCCGGTATGAGCAAGAAACGAGCAAGAACCCAAACCGTCATCCATTTTCTTGATTCCATTGCTAGACATTTGATCGATGGAATAAACCTAGCGATCGAGTCCCATCCGTTGTACATGGCTACTAGAACCGGTGCATACCTTTTTAACACATTATAACATAAGTGATATTTAATGTTAAATGTTAGAAATGTTATGAACCAAATGGTTTTAATGTTGAAAGTTACGTACCAATCGCCTAATCGATGTTCTCCAGTGTTTTCATAGAGAAATCCTGGGAAAATCGATAGTGTAACGACGTAAATCAAGAAGAGATTGACTCCATGATCTATGTTTTCCCTTAGCAATTGCTTCTTGGTTAGTCTTATGATCTTGGTGTCGTCCATTTGTTGAATCTTTTGTGTGGATAAATCATCATTAAACAAAGAGGTTATTTAACTAAATAAAAACCATTCTTGGTAATGTTTTTATATTAAGAATGATATATAGAACCTGTTGAGCCTGCTCTTGGAGGCCGGCGGCAGCAAGATCTCCGGCGACGGATTTGGCTCCTTCTTTTCCGGCTTTGGCACGGTAGTATTTTACGATAGGAAGCTTAGCGAAGACGAATAAATATAGAAGGAGACATGCTAACTCTATTAACGTTGCAATTCCTATGAACAACACTACAAAAAAAACAAAAAACACATATGTTAATTAAGCTTAGCTTAATTTACGTAAAATGTGTCACAAATTTTATAAAGATATGTAGGAGAGGAGAGACATTACTTGCGCCTTTGCGGAGACCATCGGAAGACTTGTCGAAGATTGCTTTAGTAATAAGCCTCAAACCGGAGGTTAGAGCTCCGGCTATACCTAAACCTCCCATGAACGCCTGAAAAGAACAATCAAGAATCATAATAACATTAATTAAGCTAAAATATTTTTTCGTATAGAAAAAAAAAACTATAGATCAAAATTAAACCTGGATGAAACTAGGGCACATGAAGGACAAATCTCCAACCATTCCACCTTGTACAAAGGCATCAGCAAATCCGAAAAGAGCAACGATCAAACACAACACAACGTATGCTCCTACGCTTCCACTGCCGTGTGAAGCAAGATCCAACTTCACCAAAACAGAACACAAACAATCAAAACCGGAGAGTTATATAAAGATTACGTATTAGATGAGTACTTACAATGATGAGACAAAAGGTTCCCGCTGTATAAAGACTGTATCCCCAAATGTTACGAACTCGTGTATTAAGCTTAGCTTCTTTATAAGCAAGTGTTGAGATAAACACATTCGCAACCAATTGGTACACTATAGTAAGCACTCTCGAAGGATGATATTTCTGATGTTAAACAACAACAACAAAATTGATATATCGATTGAATCAAATTGTCTTAATAAAAAAAAAGAATATATAGAATTATATACCGGAAAAACTTGATAATAGTAATCGGTGATGGTAAGCATTGCATTCCATGCCACGAGAGACCCTACTCCGAGAATACAACACACAAGTCGTGCTACATTCTTACCCTATTTATCATCAAAATCTGATGATCAGTTACATTTTGAAGAAGTTATACACACTAGTATACATAATTTTTCTAATACATATTAAAATATTAGTGTATACCGACCTTAAGCCTGCTAGGGATATCCTCTAAATTGCTCATCGTGAAGATCACAATCCTGCAAATTAAACGATAATTAAATATAGAAAATATAAACTTTATATTGGTTTTTCTCCGAGTCTTTCACACTCTTTTTCTTTCACACCAAGATCCTCAGCTACGAGACTGAAGACATGGTGTTAGAGCTCCGAACTACCTAAACTTAATTACATTTTAATTGTTCTTTTCTCTTTGTGAATAGCAAGTAAAATTTACTGAAACAACGAACAACTAAACTTTAGTGCACCTTACTTGTCTATAAACCCTAAGTTTGTAGATCAATTTCTTCACAAATTTTCAGTATAAAATAATCCCCAATAGTCTTTAAACTTATCAAATCCGCAAAAAAAAAAAAGAAAAATAATTAACATATGAAACATTAGTTCGGAGATTAGATGTTCACTAAGAGATAGAACTCGAGTAAATTATAGTACCATTACAGAACGAACACATGACATTTAAGAAAGATTACGGTTGAGAATGAGATAGAAGAAGAAAAAAGTCCATAAATGAGAAGAAAAAAAAGTCACCTTAGAGCAACCTAATTCAAAGATGGGAACAAGAGATGTATGAGGTATATTTTTCTTTTTGAAAAAAAAGTGTATTAGGTATCAAACCCCCAAACCTAAGCATTTCTGATATGAATTTTTGTAAAGATTCTTTAAACTCCGGATATACATGATTCGTGAATCGTAACAGTTTAATTCCGAAAAAGATTTCGTTGACTAAAATAGAGAATCCAAATTCGAAAATGATACATATCTATTTGCAATTAATAAATCCCGGCTAAACCATAAATTAAATCTGATAAAGAAGGGGGGAATATCTTTATTTTAGCATACACTTTTCTTTGTTGAAAATTGGGAGAGAAAAAAAAAGAAGGGATATCTTGATTTGCCAATATCTAGAAATCTCTCATCCCCGAATTTTTCGTATCATCTTTTACAAACAAAAAAAAATGAATTTTCCGTATCATAAATCCTTTAACTAAAAATAAAAATAAAAATCCGTAACATAAGTGAGCCAATTAATAAACCAAATATCATTCAAATTCTAGAAATAAAGCGGATAAATTATTATATTGGACACACCCAGTGTTAATTCATATATAAACATGTCGAAATCTGAAAAAAGTGTAGGGACATTGTGCCATTTTATGTTAACATACAAAAAAATATTCAAATTTTGTTGGTTTTGAAAGAAAAAGAGAGCTTTTGAGAAATTTGTGAGTTTTGTTTCTTGATTCTGCCACATGAGCATATATATATATATATATAAGAACTTCATTATAAAAATATATATAAAAAAAATCGACAAACAATTTTCATTGAGGTCAAACTGAGATTACAAAGTCAATATACAAAACTGAGCATATATAATTCATTACAAAAATAGCCATTACATATAATTTTGTCTTGCCTTAGTTTGCAAGTCAAGTCCCTCACGAGTTGAATGATCTAGGGAGGAAACTCATTTTTTTTGGCTAGGAAAGTAAATAGTATCATAAAAATGAAGAGATATTTTACATGATTTTTTTTTAAAAAAAAAGACTAAAAATAAGCATAATATAAGCAAAACATATGTAAATCATAAGCAAAAAAATAACAAAAATGACAAAACTGTTATGTTTTGCAAATCCGATTAATTGGAAATACCAGCGATATTCTATTAGTCTGAAGATGAAATAATGTGATATGCATATCTCATATCTGATATATATCTGGTAAAAAATCATTATGCAATCCGTAGTCATATTCAGTTTAGACAAAAAAAAATCATACATATTCAACAACAGACTTAACAGTGGTATGATTTTCCTTTTACCTTATTGATTACTTTATTCATATAACAAATTTTTTTTATCATATTTCAATTCTGCAGGACTATCATCCTGCTCGCGTACTTACGTTAGTATACCAACCCTTTGTGCTGGGAACCATATTTACATTGCTTTTCTTGGGACAAAAACATCAAAACCGAAAGATAATTTTGACAGTTTATTGCCTCTTTGTTATCTACACTATTTTTCCAAATAAGTGTAAGCGGTTTATTTCCTTTAATCTAATAATAATCTAGTTTTCCTTTGATAATTTTTTTATTTTCAAAATAACTATAAGTGGTTTATTTTGATAGGTGGACCTAGCAAGCAAAGGAAAAGGAGGATTAATCTCTTGTGTTCCTTTGTGTTCCGTAGTGGCGAGTTTCGGGGTAGTAAACGTTCTTGTTGAACGCCCTATGATAGGGGAACTTTCCAACATATGCCCCGATCTGATCCAACCCTTTGCTGCAGGTCTTGGCATAGCAGGAGTGATTACTTCTGCATTGAGATGGCTTCCAAAGCAATCTTTCAGAATTCGCCTGACGGCCTTAGGAAAGCGCATGTAAGTTTTTTAAAAGAAAAAGAAAGTTATTCCTATATGAAATTCCATGATATCTCACATTTTGTATTTGATAAATGCAGTAGCACTTTTGGTGATTTTCTTTTTAGTTGAGCTCATGTCTGTGGTCATTTACGGATGCTTGTTCCCGAAACTATCAGTATAGGCTCACTATAGGCTCTTCCTAGTCTTAATCCATGACGGATTATTATTTACATATTCCTATATAAATTACATTATGTATCTAATAATCTTTACAACCGTATTCTTTCACTCTTGATTTTTTTTTAGGAAACGATGAAGCCAGAGTCAAAGAAGATCTCTGAAAAAAGACGGATTCAGATTAAAGATGACGGAGATTCTTCTTTTGATCTAAGTTTGCTCAAAGAAGCTATCGATAATGCAAGCAATAAGACTCTTCTCGTCTAACTTCGATGTTGCGGGCATTATTTTCTGTGGACTCTAAGAGGGCTTATTGAATTGATGATTTGAGAGGATTTCATTTTATTTTTTTTCAAAATCACCAATTATTGGATCTAACATTTGTAAATATCATTCCAAATCCAAAGTTATTGGATTGATGATTTATATAAATTCTTTAAAATCCCACCTTATTGGAAAATTGGGATTTCATCAACAAAATATATCAAAAACTGACTTGAGTGATTTGTTGAGATATTTTTAGTTAAAAACAAACATTATATGAGATTTGGATAAATAAACAATTGAATTACCATTTTTTTTTTCTTATCATTCACGGCAACAACAAATTTTTATAAGCACACTAAGAGGGCACCCGCGCAATACGTGGGAGTATATTGCAATAAGGTGTGAACCCGCGCAATGCGCAGATTTTCCATCTTAATAGACTTTTGTAAAGTAATTAAAACTATTGAGTAAGATATAACTACCAAAACAGACTCTTTACAGTCTCTTTAGTCACCTTTTTCTTCCTGGTCGGAGGATTGGTTTTTCTTACATTAATTTTGTTTTCTTAAGTTATTAGAACCAATTATGCCTAAGATATAAGTCTATGTCGGAGCTAATTTTGGTCTCATGTGTCATAAATTAATAAATGTACATAAAATGTTAAATTTATTAGTGTTTACCTATACACTTCACGCATAAAAAATTACAGAATATACAGGAAGAGCCAATCTGTGTAAATTTGTTGAAATGCCTTTAAAGTATGTTAATTTGAGCATGATAAAATGTTTCTAGTGGTTTCTCTGATTTTAATTGACATCCTTTGATTAAAGAATGAATCATTTCAATGTTGTAAGCATTTTTTAGAATATGCATATATCAATTGTACTTATGAGTTGAGATAATTCTGCAAGACTGAAGAGCATACTATAATAATATGAGTTAAGATAATTCTGAAAGACTGAAGAGTATACTATAGTAATAAATCGTAGGTCCAAAAAAGTAACACAATTTACATAATTAAGATATAAAATCTTTCGAACTGTGGACTTCATAGTCTGAGCTATACATAACTTAGACAATAAAACAATAGCTGTAGAAGTATATACATGTATATAGTAACCAAGTTGGATATTAAATCACTTTCCGTCGAGAAGGGCTTTGATTTTCGGTCAGAAGTTGGAGATTAAATCACTACTGTTCAACTATACAAAAGAAAATGAACAAAAAGTAAGCAGATTAAGACCGTTAACAACAATGAGAAAGAGGCCAAACTTTAAATTTGAAACTGAGAAAAGCCAACCCAGACCATAAGAACTGTGACAAACACCTCATACCATCCCATGTGAAGTCCCATTGCAGTCCTTTTGATCACCTCTGATCCGAACAGCATGACTAACATAACCATTAACCAAGACTCTGATTTGAGTTTTGTTTGTAGTTGTGCTCCTTCTAGCTTTAGCATTGTTAGGCATGACAAAGAATGGTTGAAAATCATTTTCCTTGAGACCTGAAATCACAGTTTGAAATGTTATTTCTTTTTTCCATAGCTCCAACTTGGAAAAATAATCGTTGTTCGGTCTTTTTTCTTCTCTTTCACTGATTTAAGCTTGAATCTCCAATTGTGCTTTACTTTGAGAAGCTGCGACCATATTCCCAATTTGCAAAACAACTTTGACATGTAAGATTGTCTCATATTCCCGCTTTCTTAGATTTATATTTAAACCGCCAAGGATTTCGAGAAAATCTTTTCTCGCATCACGATTCACGAATTATATTCAGAGTGTTGAAACTAACTCACCTTCAACCTTTATTTAGGGAGAGCTTCTGTGCCTCTTCCACGGTGTTTGTACCTGAAAGATCTCTGCGTTGGAAACAGTAATCTCCTCCTTCTGGTGTCTCTCGTTCCCTGAGACTGCCAAAGTCGTAACCTTTTCACTAATTGCTTCTCGTGATTGGTCTGATTCTGAAGAGAGGAGAGGCAGCAGCTTTCTTCTTCGCTTTCTTCTCACACTCCTGCAAACAAAACAAAACAAAAACAAAGAATTTAGAAACAGATGATGAGAAATGGATTTGAAAAAGAGTTAATAATATGTAAAACTTGCCTTGAGTTTCTTTTCAGCTTCCTTCTGAGCTCTGATAGCAGCTTTAGCAGCAGCTTTCTTTTGTAGCTTCCTCTTCCTTTCCATAGGTAACCGAGCTTTCTCTGCTTGCTCTTCTCTTTTCCTCTCCTTGAAAGTCTCTTCATCAACCTCTTCTTCTTCTTGTTCTTCCTTTTTGGGGTTCTCGTACACCAAATCTACAACATCACTCTCCTCAGCACTCGACCTGTTGCACCTTTCTTTCTGACGATGCCTTCTCCATTCTGAGACGAGTTTGAGCTTGATCACCTCTGTTCTTGCTCTGTAACGCCACACCTTCCTTTCTAGTCTTGACATGCGCTTGCTTTTCACCCTCCCATCTCGGCTCAGCTGTCTTTCTTGGAGTGACTGCGAGGTCCTCTTCACCTAAAAGCCTCTTCATTGTTTCATGAGTCATGAATCTATCAACCGATACAATAAAAAGACAGACCTCAGGAACAGATGATACACACAGAATCAGTCAGGAACAGATACAGACAAATACAAACCTCAGAGCTAGCAAACACTTCAAGTTCTCTAACGTTTCCAGACGCAGCCAAATCTTTAGCTTTCCTCATCACAGCAAGGCTCTGGAAATACGTGAAGAGGATTCTTGATTCTAACAAACACACAAACATAACTTCATGTTATTACATCTCTTAAATCATCCATAAGAAAAATTTAAACAGAGAGACAAAGATCAAATACCCCTTTGTCTCGTCTTATCCTCAGCATCTTGATCCTTTCATAAGATCTGTCTCTCTTGTGAAGAACATGTGCCATTTCCACATCCAAAGCCTTGATCTTGTTCTGACTCTTGCCCATTTTGTCACTCAGGTGGTTCAAGTTCCAAGTAATCGCATCCACCTCCTTCCTTACTTCATTCAGTTCCACAGCCATTGCCTGAAATAAACCAACTCACATCTTTAGATTCTCAACAATGTTTTTGGTAAAGTCTTGAGCTTTCGAATTTAGATCTTTACCTTGAGACTCTGTATGAAAGCTTCTTTCTTTGCAAGAGACTCCTCACTGAGCGGTATTAACCCATCAGGCTTCTCTGTCTCCTTAAGAACCCAATCTTCTTCCTCAAAACCGGTGCTTCCATGTTCAATCACGTAATGCGCTATGTAGACAGCCGGCTTTTTCCTTTTTTCAGGGAGAAGGTAAACTGGAACAAAAGTTTTCGAGAAGGGATTGATAGACACACAGTAGGCGAGCCGTGATGCTCTCTGTCGCGGGGCCTAAGATTAACTCTTCGAAGTGAGGGAAGAGGATGGTGGAGCGACAGGGAAACATGAACCATGGCGACTGCTGCCGAAAGGAGGGTGACGGTTCGTGACTTATGAGGGAGGAAGATGAGAGACCAACAAACAAAAACAATGTGGAGATGAGAGAAAGGGGATGTGGGTGGAGGTTTTTATACTGGAAGCGGATAATTGAAGACGAGGAGGGTTACCTCCAAAATTGTTAAAGGCCGGTGGGTGGAAGGAAAGTGGAGAGTCGGACCGGAAGGGAAAACGGAAGGAAGGTGGAGAGTCTCGGCGGAAGGGTGAAAGATTTGTCGGGGTTAATTGACGGAGAAAAAAAAGTGTTCAGGAGAATATCTTCAGATTTGTCAAAAAAAATTCAGAATTTGGAGGAGAGAAGAAAAAAATGAAATTCAAAACGACGTCGTTCTGGTGTCAGACAAAAATTAAAAAAAAAAAAAGTTACAACGCAAAACGACGTATTTTGGCGTTGTGGCATTGGGAGGAAAAAAAAAAAAATATGCCACGTGTCGAAGGCTGGAGAATGTCTAAACCTTATTAGTTATGTAGATTATAACTAAACAAAATATTTGTAAAAAGTAATTTCAGGAATCTTTATCAATAATGAAATCCATAATTGTTTATTAAAAAAAGTTGTCATTAAGGGATTGATATCTTCCATAAAATCTTCCACAATCTGTCGTAATTAATAACTCAAAAAAAAAATCATGCTCCAATACACAATATATAAGCGTATGAACAATCATCTAGTAACAATTTGTGTCAAAACTTATTTATAATCATCAGAATCACGCAAAACAAAAGACATGGGGACATCGAAAACAACTATTTTTATTCTTTATCTCTCATGTTGGTTTTTATTATTATTATTATTATTTTTTTAATCGATTTAAAAGACTGACTCAAAATGTGAGTTATATACTGATAGAGAAAATGTTTATATTTTGTAGGCACATTGTTGGTAAGCCTCTTTGGAATTCAAGCCTGGTTCCATGCCTCATGCAATAGAGCAAGAGACTGTAAGAAGTTGTGTCATGGTGGATCTATGAGATGTGTAGAAGGAAAGTGCTATTGTGAGAGTCTAAAAGCCGAGATTGAGCCGACCAAGACTATAAGGTGCAAGACGGACCGTGATTGCCTTGATTCTCGTGAATGCCAAAAAGACTACTATTATTCTTGTCTTCATGAAGAATGTACTTGTATAATTATTTAAATAAAACCATTAAATACTATTAAAAAAAAACGAAAACCATTAAATAAAAGATATAACATATTACTCATCCTACTAAATATATGTATATGCTCATCTTGCTATACCACTTACCTTACCAGCACCACCATAAAAAAATACTAGTGAAAAACAAATTTGATTATGATTCCGATCTGCAAGCAAGATCACAATTTCACGGTTAGGGCCATATATGTGATAATGGTTTGTATTGATAGAAGTGTACATTCACTCATCTCAAATCTTCATTAATGTACATAGAAACACATATATACAAGATGGACATAATATTAACCAATGACCAGAGAATATTATACAATAGTGGTCATAATAGAAGAGCGACAAAATGTTACGGTTACGAGTGGACAAGTGGCACCTATTGTTGCCGTATCATCTGTCACTTAGAACCTCGCAATTTTCCGCCAATATTAACACTTTTTAAACAGTTTATGGCTCCTACAAGTTTTGATGCCTTGCAAACTCAATAAAGCCAAAGACTAGCTATGCTCTCGATCGCTCATTGATGGCTTCTTGTTTTGGCATCATCGAGGCAACAGATGTTCAAACTTATCAGAAGGAAGCCAGTCTTTAAGCTTTTAGAACTTACTGTTGAATCCACCTCTTCGCATAATCTGCCACATAACCAAAATTATTTAAACGGGCCTTCAAACGAATCTTAGAACGACTAGTTATTTTCTAGGCTTAATTAATTCAATAAAAGGGCCCAAAAAAGTCTTCTTCTTCCTCATGTTTTCTTTTTATCATAAGCAAGCTAAACGAGTGTCTATATAACGTTAGAGTCACGCACATCTTACATCTACAACAACATCTTCTTCAACTGATCTTCATCATCTTTTTGTATCCCGGTCAATTTTGTTTTGTTAATTCGAGTCGAAGTATAAGTTTCGGAGGAATCAGCACGAAAAAAGGTACCCAAATTTATCTGTATATGCATGCATGATATGATACTCAAGTGTCCAATTAGTTACTGTACTTGAAATTATAATACCATGAACTTGTTTCCGTTGAAATCACGATATCCGTCTAATTGAGACTAGGGTTTGATTTTGATGATATGGTATAAAACAGCTGAGCAGCAAACCTAACTCCGGATTTTTGTTAACTAGTTTTCTTGGTACAAAATCTATTTAAACCGGAAAAGAATATACTCTTCGACAACAATATATTTTTTTAACCGGTTTTTAGGAAAGAGTAACGAATCATCTTCTTGCTATTCTTCATTTGTGGAGAAACCCATAGAGAATGAGTAATTTTCTTGTTCTTGCCAGTAAATTGCTCATCTCTGCTTTGGTTTTTTAGATTGAATTCGGGTTTTTGCTTTGCATTTTCTGCATTCGGATATCGAATTTTCGAAGGATCAGATTTTGATATCGCATATCTTCTAAGGTTTTGTTTAAGTGAGACAACTCAGACTTCACGAATCAGCTTAGTGGAAAAGTAAAGAGGAATGAATCTTTCAATTGAAAATTTTGTAAAGTTATCATGTGGACGATAATGAACGTGTCTTCAAAGCAGTTTCTATTTTAGGATTCCACATTCACGTTGTCCTGATTGTTACGTATATGTCTGTGTAGCCATATTTCATGCGTGGGTATCTTTACAAATTAATTAGAATCTTAAAAGCACTTTTACAATGATAATGGGGGTGCTTAGATTGTTATTATTGTTTATTTTTTTTTGTTTTTTTGCTCAAACAAAAATGTTGCTCAAGGGCATTCAGGAATAGAATGTGGCTAGGCCATGATAGGTTATTTAAAAACAATTAAAAGAGAAACTTAGAAATACATGAGGGGGACATCGTTTGAAATAGTCTCAAAAATTATTTTCGTCGTTTTAAATATAAACTGGTTACATTTACCTCCAAAGATTTTGTAGAACGTGAGAGATTTATGGTTGAGGGTTTTTATATAAGGCGCACTGCAGATAATCCTGGGATTCAAAATCCGACTATCAGAAATGTACAATTTAAAGAAAAATACGTTGGAAAGGTTGGAACCGGAAAAGGAAACTGACAATAGAATCTGAAAATTTGTTACATTCGATTAGCCAACTAATATAAATTGTTACATGTATGTCATGTCACGAGTTGATGATTTAGGAAGAAACACCTATTTTTGTTAGGAATGTATAATATCATTAAAGTGAAGAATCTCATACATTTGAATCCTTGGAAAAAATACCCGTTTGCTTCCAAAATACATTGGAGCATTAAAGAACCACTAACGAAAATTTAGACCTAAACAACTTCTTGTTTGATACCCCAATATAAATTAAATTATATAGACTATTTTATACTGTATCACCCTCTTTCTCCCATCTCATCCTCGCTCTTTCTCTCATCTAATCCCTGTTATCTTTTTCAATTTAAGCTATGAGCAAAATGCTGGCAAAAATCCAGTGTTGCTTTCTAGGCATGGGTCAATTACTTGCGTGGAACACCATACTGACGATTGAGGACTACTACTACGAGATTTTCCCTGTAAGTAACTTCATTTCGTTTGTGTGTGAAATCAGTACAGTATATTCATACATAATGTGATATACATATCTCATATCTGATATACATCTGGTAACAAATCATTCTACAATCTGTAATCATATTCACTTTAGAAAAAAAAATCATACATATTCAATAACAGTGATATGATTTTCCTTTTACCTTATTACTTATTTTATTCATATAACAAATTCTCTTTATTATATTTCAAATGTGCAGGACTATCATCCTGCTCACGTACTTACTTTGGTTTACCAGCCCCTTGTGCTGGGAACCATATTTATATTGCTTTTCTTGGGACAAAAACATCAAAACCGGAGGATAATTTTGACAGGTTATTGCCTCTTTGTTATCGGCACCATTTTCCTAATAAGTGTAAGTGGTTTATTTCCTTTAATCTTATAATAGTTCTAGTTTTCCTTTGATAATTTTTCTATTTTCCAAATAACTGTAAGTGGTTTATTTTGATAGGTGGACTTGGCAAGCAAAGGAAAGGGAGGATTAATCCCTTTTGTCCTTTTGTGTTCCGTAGTGGCGGGTTTCGGGGTAGCAAACGCTCTTGTTGAAGGCGCCATGATCGGGGAACTTTCCAACATATGCCCCGATCTGATCCAGCCCTTTGCCGCAGGTCTTGGCATAGCAGGAGTGACTACTTCTGTGTTGAGGCTGCTTACCAAAGCAGTTTTTCAGAATTCTCCTGACGGCCTTAGGAAAGGCGCATGTAAGTCTTTCAAAAGAAAACAAATGATTCCTCTATGAAATTACATAATATCTCACATTTTGTATTTGGTGAATGCAGTAGTATTTTTGGCGATTTCCTTTATAGTTGAGCTCATGTCTGTGGTCATTTACGGATGCTTGTTCCCAAAACTATCGGTAGTGAAAAACTATCGTGCATCTGTATCAAACGAGACGGCTGAGGAATCGCGAGTCCCACATGTAGACAAGTTAGAACTGGCGCAAGACAACATAGATAAAGTCATCAGTCTTTTCGCTACTTATGCACTGACGCTGTCAATCTTTCCCGGGTTTCTCTATGAGAATACAGGAAAGCATACTTCTTGGTATGTTAACTAATTTCTTTAATCACAAATATATTTAATTTTATTTTTCCAGTTTTATCTCTTGTTGATATGAGAAATTAAATATTCATGCAGGTATCCTCTTCTCCTCATTACATGTTTCAATGTATGTGATGCTCTCTCGAGGTATATAGTCCTGATCAACCGACTTAAGATGGAATCGGGGAAGTGGATTATTGTCTGCGTCGTTAGTCGTGTGTTGCTGGTGCCTGCCTTCTATTTCACCGCTAAGTACTCCGGTCAAGGTTGGATGATCTTCCTAACATCCTTTCTAGGCATATCCAACGGTTATCTAACCGTATGCACTCTCACCGGCACATCAAAGAGAACCTATAACGTAAGGCTTTTTTTTTTTTTAATTTGGAGAAATTATAAATAGTGCCTTATATGTATATTTAAAAGTTAGAAAAATAAATTTAATTGAAACTTTTTCTTATGTGATTGACAGGCATCAGAAGCCAACGCTTTAGGGAACATGCTTGTAGGGTCGATGCTAAGCGGCATTTTCGCAGGCATTTGCCTTTCCTGGCTGTGGCTTATCGGCAGCAAGATCTCGTTTTAGTAATTAACCCACTTGAATGTGCCGGAGACGTGTGTTTAAATGTACTTCTCATATAGTTTTTTTTTGTTTAAATTATTACTTAGTTGTGTGATGTATATTTGGTGTGCTCTCATGAGTAAGTATTATTGTAATTAAGTTTTATTTTGTAATTGAGAGATCTCATATGTGTGCAAAGGTGTTTGCGAAGTTAGCAAATTAAAGTAAGTTTGATAATGTGTTATGGTTGTTCTAAATTGCAATTGATCGATTTCTCAAAAATTTGAAGTCTGTATATTATTTTACATATATATTGATAACAAACTCTAGCCCTTTGACATTAATATTGGTAAAATGATATTGTTCTTGACTTCTTGTATCTCACAGAACCGATGATATATAAACACATTTATATCAGTAGGCTTCTATGTATGGAACATATTTATTTTTTTTGTTAAAGTTTGGAACATATTTCTTAATATCTCATTGCATGTTTTGGCGATTTAAAAAAGAACAGTGGCATTTTCTCCATTCAATTTGATATCTTTAGTACAGACACTTATATGTTACGAAACATTTATGTTAAGTGGCGTTTTAGTGTTATATCTAAAAGGAGTGGTGGCCAATGAGCCAAAGCCAACACTAACACCAACGAAGATACCTCCCAGTATAAACACGCCCAACAAGTTGCCTAATGTAATCGATTCCGGTCCCTATTAACAAGAAATCGAAAAAGATCAACATATATATAGCCGGTTTTACACCGAACCTAATATATATATTTAGATTATCTACCAAGAAATCCATATAGATCAAGGCTTCTAGCTTATGACGGTTCATCATTGATCACACAATTTCAAAATTAATCTTATAATTTATTTTATAATCATTAGTCCGTTCCTTGTTAAGGTTTAGAACTAGAACCATACAAGTGCTATTAACGTTTTTGGATTATAACGACTCGAGTTCAGTGTTTTTCTGTTATATATATGTGATAGTTACAGTATAATGGATTTGCATCAAGTGATATACCACATACATATATGAAAACACAAAATCGAATCAACATTCACTACCATCAGAAGAAGATAAAAAAGCACACTAAAGAATAGAAACTAGAATCAGACGTAAGCATAGTGTATATTGACATCTAATACAGAAAATGTACAGCAATTTTCAATTGGGGAATTAGCAATAATATAAGTTAATAACGAGTTTTAGTTGTCGGCCAAAAAACAAGTTATTGGGTCCGGTCTAATGTGGCCCACCCACTATAGGCTCTTCCTAGTTCAATCCATGATGGATTATTATCTACATATACCTATATAATTTACTTTACGTATCTAATAATCTTTACAACCCTATTCTTTCACTCTTGATTTTTTTTAGAGGAAACGATGAAGCTAGAGTCAAAGAAGATTTCTGAAAAAAGACGAATTCAGATGAAAGATGACGACGGAGATTCTTCTTTTGATCTAAGTTTGCTCAAAGAAACTATAGATAATGCAAGCAATAAGACTCTTCTCGTCCCAGAGACGACGACGAAGAAGAATTCTTTCGATCTAACTTCTATGTCGCGGGCATTATCTTCTGTGGACTCCAAGTGTAATAAACGGAGACGCCGCTTAACAAGAATACCACTCAAACTATATACGAGAGTAATCATACCAACGGCTGAGAGATCAGGACCTATGACAATAAGCCAATGTTTGCGAGCCCTTGACATGGCGGCTGAGAGATCAGGACCTCTGACATTAAGCCAGTGTTTGCGAGCCCTTGACATGTAAATATGATAAAATAAAATAAAATTAGGGTTTCAATGTTTTTGGTTACTTTATTTCAACTGTTTTGGTTAGTTTTCAAGAATCACGATAATGCAGTGAATTTTGCTCGTTATTGTTATCGACTCATCGTGATGAATCTCTTTATTTATTTATTTATTTTAGTTTTGGGGTTTTCTTTTGTTTAGGTTAATATCTTCAAAACTAAAAAGAAAATTTGACCAGCTTAAATTTAGGTAATTTTCTTGATAACATTTTCCCCAAAACAGAGAAGTTTTAAGTATTTTAACCCAATTTTATTTGGATCTGTTGACCAAAACAAATAAATTAAGGCCTAATTCGATTTGACAAAAACAATTATTAGGTCAAAAATTTGGCCCAATCCCACATGAGATCACACCTCTCTCTCTCTCTCTATTAAAAAAATAGTTAAATACTCTTAGCGTTTACATTCGGTCCTCGAAGAAACGATGAAGCCAAAATCAAAGAAAAATTCAGAGAAACAATGGATTGGGGTCAATGATGATAGCAATTCTTCTTTTGATTTAAATTCTCTCAAAGAGGCTATCGACAATGCAAGTGAGAAGACGAAGAAAAATGCATTTGATCTTACTTCAATGTCTCTTGCAATATCGTCAGTGTAGTAAACGGAGACTTTCAGCGATGAAGAGACAACAACTCTTCAAATCAAAGGCGGAGAGGGAAAGGGAATCTGTGAAGAAATGGTTGCTAACCCTTGTCCTGATTTGCGATAAATATTCATGTAAAAAATAATTAGGGTTTATTGTTTTATATGTTCATTTTTCAGATTGGGTTTAGCGATGATGCGGCGATTGTTGTTCTCACAATTTAGGTTTTGGAGTTTTGTTCTTTTTTTTTATTAAATCAGTATCCGGTTTCATTTCTAGAATTTCAATTATAATTGTATCTGCTTAATTTCCTTAGTTTAAAATTTGCATCCGGTCATTTCCTGTTAATTTAAAAATTGGAATTAAAATATGCATATTGTAAAGCTAAATTTGAAAAGATACTGTATTTAGAAGTAGCAAAGATGAAAATTGTCAGTAGTAAATGGCAGCCAAAAACAGTAAAGAAAAAGACGCATGTTGGCACTTGGCAAAAGATATGAAGCATGCGCATGGTCTTTTATTGACGGGTGAGTTTCTTGATGTGACAGTGATCAGAGAGACACGTTAGTTTGGAGCTTTACAAATTGCTCAGTGCATTAAACATAGTTTTTAATGCTTTTCATTTTCATCTTCATCTCTCTTTTACTCTTTTCTCTCTCTCATCTCTCCTCTTCCAGCAATTTGCGATAAGATCAAGGTCAATTTTGTTACAGGTAAATTGTATAATTCAAGAAAACACAGTTTTAGCTCCTTTTGAACTAGGTGCTCTAAGGTGAGTTTTTGTTTTTCTACTCATTTATGGACTTCTCTTATTCTTCTATCTCAATCTGAAGTGTCATGTGTTCGTTCAGTAATGGTAACATACCTCACTCGAGTTCTTTCTCTTACTGAACATCTAATCTCCGAACTTATGTTTCATATTTTAGCTTATTTTTTATTTTTCCTTGCGGTTTTGATATGGTTAAGGAATATTTTTTTGTGATATACTGGAGAATAGTGAAGAAACCTGATCTAAAAAGTTAGGAAACACTGTGAAGTTTAACTGTTTCTTGTTTCAGTAAATTTTAGTTATTATTTACAAAAAGAAATAAACAATTCAATTAAGCTAGTTGGGACCTTTAGCATCAGGTATATAATTGTTTTTAAGTTTCTGAAATTTTGCAGGATTCGTGATCTCGCGATGAGTAATCCAGATGATATCCCTAGCAGGCTTAAGGTCAGTATAAACTAATGTGTTACAAGTATATAGTGTGTATGGAACAATTCTTAAATTTTAATTAATATTTTGAATTTTTTTATGATAAATAGGGGAAGAATGTAGCACGACTTGTGTGTTGTATTCTCGGACTAGGGTCTGTCGTGGCATGGAATGCAATGCTTACCATCACTGATTACTATTATCAAGTTTTTCCGGTATAATATGATTCTGTAAGCATTTTTTTTATATCAACACAAATTGATTCAATCGATATGTACATCCGTGTAATTTGATTGTTCTTTTCTTTTCTTTTTGTTTTTTAACAACAGAAATATCATCCTTCGAGGGTGCTGACAATAGTTTACCAATTGGTTGCGAACGTGTTTATATCAACACTTGCTTATAAAGAAGCTAAGCTTAGTACCCGATTTCGTAACATTTTCGGATACAGTCTCTTTACCGCGGGAACATTTTGTCTTATTATTGTAAGTACTCTTAATTTTCCCACAAAATGTTTTACTTAAATATTAAAATATGTTTGCTCAAGAAAAAAAAAAGGTTAATCTCCGGTTCTGATTCATTGTATTTCGGTTTGGTGAAGTTGGATCTTGCTTCGCATGGCAGTGGAAGCGTAGGAGCATATGTTGTGTTGTGTTTGATCAGTTCTCTTTTCGGATTTGCTGATGCTTTTGTACAAGGTGGAATGGTTGGAGATTTGTCCTACATGTGCCCTGAATTCATCCAGGTTTAGTTTTGATCCTATATTTTTAGTATTTGCTGATACTATTTAGTTTTGATCCTTTTTGCTGATATACTATTTTTTTAGTTTCCGAATTTTGCTTAATGTTTTATGATTCTTGATTGTTCTTTTCAGGCGTTCATGGGCGGTTTAGGCATAGCTGGAGCTCTAACCTCCGGTTTTAGGCTTATTACAAAAGCAATCTTCGACAAGTCTTCTAATGGTCTCCGAAAAGGCGCTAGTAATGTCTCTCCTACATATCTTTAAGACTTTTGTGACACATATTATAGAAATTAAGCTAGGCCTAATCAACATATACATATATATATATATATTTTTTTTTTTCATAGTGTTGTTCATAGGAATAGCGACTTTCATCGAGTTAGCATGTCTACTTCTATATGTGTTTGTCTTCGCTAAGCTCCCTATAGTAAAATATTACCGTGCCAAGGCCGGGAAAGAAGGAGCCAAATCCGTCGCCGCCGATCTTGCTGCCGCCGGCCTCCAAGAACAGGCTCAACAGGTTCTATATATTTCTTAATTTTAAAACATTACAAATACGGTTTTAATGTAATCCAAAAATGGTTTTTATGTAAATTAATAAGTTCTTTGTTTTGTGATGATCCATCCTCACAAAAGATTCAAAAAATGGACGAGACCAAGATCATAAGACTAACCAAGAAGCAACTGTTACGGCAAAACATTGATCATGGAATCAATCTATTCTTGATTTACGTCGTCACACTATCAATTTTCCCAGGATTTCTTTACGAAAACACCGGAGAACATCGGTTAGGCGATTGGTATGTAGCATTTAACAATAAAACCATTTGATTCGTATTATTCATCACTATATATATTGGTTAATAGAAATTCAACCATTTTTTATGTTTTGATGTGTTAAAAAGGTATGCACCGGTCCTAGTAGCCATGTACAACGCATGGGACTCGATCTCGAGGTTTATTCCCTCAATCAAATTTCTAGCAATGGGATCAAGAAAATGGATCACGGTTTTTGTTCTTGCCCGTTTCTTGCTCATACCTGCCTTTTACTTTACCGCAAAATACGCCGATCAAGGATGGATGATTTTCCTCACATCTTTCTTGGGATTGACTAACGGCTATTTAACTGTTTGTATCTTCAGCAATGCACCAAAAGGTTACAATGTAAGTTAATTCTTTCACTTTAGGAAAAGTAAAACCACTCTCGGTTCTATTCGGTTTAAATTGGTTCAGTTTAAACCCGGGTATAAAATATGTTAATCTTTTTTTGAGTTCTCGACTTCTTGTTAATAGGGACCGGAATCGAATGCATTAGGCAACTTGTTGTGCGTGTTTCTACTGGGAGGTATCTTCGTTGGTGTTTGTTTGGGTTGGCTTTGGCTCATTGGCCACGGCTCCTTTTAGATATAACACTACTACGGATGTTTTTGTTTAAAACTTTTTTATTTTGTTTCACATGTAATTTACCAGTGGGTGATTTAGTTTATTTCAGTTGGATTGCATTTCAATTTCTTTGGTTCTTGGATTTATGATTTACGAATATCAACTAAAAATAAATGTTTCGTAAGTCGTAACATATCAGCAAGTGTCTGTACTGAAGATATCAAATTGAATGAAAAAAATGCTACTTATGTTTTTCAAAAATCGCCAAATCATGCAATAGAAAATGGGCAAGAAATATGTTCCGTACAAATAATTATATAATTTACTTATATTTTTATATGATCGATTTTGTGATATAGTACAAGAAAAACATCATTTTACCGATATTAAGGTAAAAAGGTTAGAGTTTGTTATCATGTGTAAAATAATATACAGACTTCAAGTTTTTGAGAAATTGATCCGCTTTGGAATTAGATTATCAGACAATAAAAAAAAAAAAAAAAAAACTAAAACCTTTAGAACTCAAATTAGTGCAGAGTTCCTTATCAAAAGAAAAAAAAAAGTGCAGAGTTTGAATCAAAATCAACAGTATGAATTTCTAAAGGCTTGCTTTGATAAACAGCGACGAACAATACAGAAGAAGCTAGCATTGGGGAAATTTTTCTTCTGCTGTTTTAGGCTTCGATTGACAATGTAATAATTTTTAATCGAATCTGATAGGGAAACAGAAAAGTTTATTTCAAAGAAAATTGTGAGATAACTCATTTTATTTTACAAATTACAATATAAAACTACCATAACACATTATCAAATTTACACTGCTCACTTTGCAAAAACCTTTTCACACATAAGTAAATGAACTTTAACTGTGACAACTATATTAAAACTTCATAAAACAATACTTACTACAAATGAAAGCACACCAATAATACATATATCACACCACCAACTAATGTTTCAAAACAAAAAGAACATTTGAGAGCACACAAGTACATTTAAACACATGTTGCTGGCGCAATCGGAAGGGTTAATTACTAGTACTATTTCATAAAAGATACTAATTGAAAAATAAAAATAGAAACTAAAACGTGATATTGCTGCGATAAGCCAAAGCCAGGAAAGGTAAACGCCTGCTGCTGCATTCATCGAAAACAAAATGTGAGATATCATGTAATTTTAGATAGGAATCTTTTTTTTCTTTTAAAAGAAGAAATTTAAAAGATTTACATGCGCTCTTCAGTTGAATGCTGAAAGACTGCTTTGGTAAGCAGCCTCAACGCATAAGTAATCACTCCTGCTATGTCAAGACCTGCGGCAAAGGGCTGGATCAGATCGGGGCATATGTTGGAAAGTTCCCCATCATTGCCCCTTCAACAAGAGCGTTGGCTACCCCGAAACCTTCCTCTACGAAACACAAAAGGACAAAAGGGATTAATCCTCCCTTTCCTTCGCTTGCCAAGTCTACCTACAAAAATAAACCACTTGAATTTATTTTGAAAAAATTGTCAAAGTAAATCTAGATCTATTATTAAACTAAAGGAAACAAACTACATACACTGATTAGGAAAATGGTGCCAATATCAAAGAGGCAATAACCGGTCAAAATTATCCTTCGGTTTTGGTGTTTTTGTCCCAAGAAAAGCAATGTAAATATGGTTCCCAGCACAAGGGGCTGGTATACCAATGTAACCGAGCGTTTGGTAAGGAGCCTCGAAGAAATGGCAAGACAAATATGAGAGGTTTGAGAAATGCTAATTTGGACAATATTTGATCAAGTACATAACATGGAAATCAAATGTCAAATAGTTTTAGTTTTTTTAATAATTAATATGACCGTATATCAATATTAAAATACCAAATAGATATTGAATTTGATTATTTACCATACATTTTATATTAACAAAAATTAACAAAAATAAGCATAACATAGTTAAAACATAAGCAAAAAATAAGCAAAAAATAAGAAAATAGATGAAACTCTTTGTAATTCTCTTATGAAAACTGTATGATTTCGTATCATATCTAATAATAAATGTTATATTATGTTAAAAAAACTTTATTAAGGCATATGCATACCATGAACTGAAGAGGTTGATAACTCGGTTCATATTTTGATACATCAACTTCTTTAGGAATTTCATTAGTTTCAACTTTCAATAGAGTTTGTTTCTGCTTTTGCACGATCAAAATCGCTATAAGAATAACACTGCATGCATATTGAAAAACTGTTGTAATTTATACAGAATGAAAAAGAAATAGTAGAGAAAATGAGATCGTAAGAGAAGAGTGAAAAGTAGATTTCAAAATGATTTCCACATTAATTTTTGTTATCAATAATTTTCACCACTGATTATACTAGCATATAGTTAATAATACTAAACTGACCTGTCTAACCACGAAAAATCTCAAACTTACTTTCAAAATCTCAATCATATGCAACACTTCGTAAAAAAACGAGTATATATCAACATTTTGGAAACGTATGGTTGGTGTTTTTAGGAACATGGTTAGTTGATTAACAAAAACGAAAGAACAAAACAGAGACTGTCTATAACTGAAAAAGAAGAATTTGGTTGATATATCACTACAGTTTAAAGAACTCAAAAATAAAGTAGCATTCATTTAACACAGGTGTTTTTTTTAATTATAACATTCCATTCGAAAAAGAAAACAACAACATTTGATATGGTTTCAACTTTCATTATGTCTTAACCGGCCTCACAAGCCCTAAACCAGAGCCACTACCCAAATGCTTGTACTCCTTAGCCTCCAGATGATCATCGTGCTCAGCAAAACCCGTGCCTCCTTTCTTTAACCCAACCAAGTTCCTGTCCTTGCAAGGCTTGTCACACACGAGACAGACTTTGTCGACAGGCATAAACTTCTCACCACACTTCTTGCAGAAAACATGCCCACACGAGCTAAGTGCCACGAGAGACATGGTGTTGGTGAGAGTGACTTTGCAGCTAGGGAAAATGTAGCTTCTGTCATAGCTTGAAGATGACGATGTTGTCTTCTTCTCTTCTTCACTGTTGTCTTCTGTGAAACGGATAGCAAAGAGGTTCTTAAGCTTGAGCTTCTCTTTCCCCTCTGGACAGACAGTGTGAGTTTCCGGATCTTGCACTCTGACCGAAGCTCCTGGTGTAGCTGATGGAAGTTAGAAGGCTTTCATCGTCCTAAGCGCTTCTGCTTCAAAGCGTCTTCACACTGTTCGCCCCATGAAAACCATTCTTGTCCTGGCTTGGCTCTTGTCACTGTATCGAGGCAATGCACCATGGTTTTGCTGATCAAACTCGTCGAGCTCTCTCGCCTTCTGTAACATTAGCTTCTCTTCTTCTTCGTCCTTATCTTGATTCTTTTGAGAATCATGTGCAGCAAGCCTCCTGAAAACAAGCCCCACATTTTAGTATCACATCTAACAAAAATTTAGCATACAGAGCAAAGATACATCATACATGATAGCTCTTCAAGAGATCCCTTAACATGGTAACATAGGTATCATACAGAGCAACCACTAATTATTCATATACAAGCTCAAACAAATCATATGCAAACACAGAGCAATCCTCAGACCTCGTTTGCACCTATATGCACATGCTGAAGTAACTCAAAACAGCAACATCACAAGCATATCCAACAATATTTGAGTAATCACTTCATAGGATTTTTGTATACATAACTAAACTCCAGCAGACACTCAGGAACCAGCAACAATTCGAAGCTGAAATCGAAAGGTGGATGATTTTACCTCTGGATATCTTTCTTCTGCGCGAGGAAACATTCGAGGATACACTCTCTGCAGAAGACATGACCTTTGTGGCAACACATCGGATCGATGAAGGGCTTCAAGCAGAGGGAGCAAGCATCGAAAGGCTTGATCGAGTCTTTCCCCAATCTCTCCTTCTGGGTTCCATACCCTAACTTCTTCTTCTCGTCGTAAGTGAAATACGCAAGATCGTTGTTGTTCTTCGAGTGTCTCTGCGGCATATTGGCTGAATCAGCGAGGAAGATTGATGAATTGGGTAGAAGAAGAGGCGAGAGAGTCAGGTGTCTGAGATTAAGGATCCGAATCGGAAAGTAAACCCTAGAGATTTGGGGAAAAGTTTTGGTTTTTTCAGATTGGAGAAAATTTGGGAAATTTTGATGACGAGTTTTCCAGTGTTTCGCTCTCATTTAAGTCAGATCTACAACCACACAGCCTTTACCGTCCGATATGAATCTAACGGTCCTTAATTGTTTAGCGGTATGCAAAATCGAAAAACCGAATCGAACCGAACCAGAAAACCTTTTCGGTTCCGTGGAGGAACTACTACTATTACTACTACGTACGGTACGGGACAAACAAAAATAGTTTGTATGATGAATCATTGGATTTGAATAAATTTATTGTTATTTTATATTTTTACACAATATTTTAGATAAATTTTGGTTTTCATATTTAAATTGAACATGAAAACCATGAAAGAACAAATATTTTGCTTACAATTGTAAAATGAAGGGGAAGACAATGCATAATTCAATGGTAGAACCTAAAACATATCTCGCCTAATTAGAACATGGGGAAAGTTGATGTAAGCGAATATCTCTTAGAGAAATCCTGTCTTAGTAGAGGAGAGCATCTGCCTGTCTTAGTAGATCTTTGCAAATATCTCTTTTTGGTAGTAGCTAAGTAATGGTGGAGTTGCCTTCTTGGATTCGAAAACATGACAAAAAGCTTTAACAAAAAGCTTCCACAAAGGTTCATGAAGGTTCTATGGAGTTTCTCGGATTATTAAGAAAAAATATGGATGGGTCTCTCTGTTCGGAGTGTCATTGCAAATCGACTTCGCCGGCTAAGAAATTTGATCAACCGTGCCGCTTCACTTCCACGTCCTAGAGTGTAGAACTGTAGACACATGCCCATTTGCTGTTAATAATTTATTAACCTTTACTGGGTTTGATATTTCATTTGTATGGGCTCGCGCCCCGAATAATTATTGTATTCATTTACTGTTTTGGGCTTTATTGGAAATTGGACAACAAACAGAAACAATATTCTTTACTTTTTACACCCAAAATTTGTCTAAACCGTAAAACCGAATCAACGTTAAATTGAGAAAGCTGCATGAGAAAGATTTAGAAAATTAGGCAAAAGCTGAGATCCTCCTACCCTTGCGGAGCCTTTCTGCACGTTCCTTCAACGCCTGTTCATTTTGCGCTGCATTCCTCGCTAGATTCTTTGCTGCCTCTCTCATCGCATCAGCTTTTCTTTCCTCGTCCCTCCTCTCCTCAATTACCAAAAGCTGCTGGATCTCCAATTGGCCAGGTGGCATCAGCGGCACCTCATCAGGATTTAGCTCTCCACGCAAAAAAGCCTCATAGTAATCCCTAGATAGTGCAGAAGATCTCATTTCCTCAAGTAAAGTAGAGGCAACAACTCTCATTTCAAAGATGTTCTCCCCAAACATTTCATCTTCAAAATCAACATAATCAATCAAAAAGTGTAGTTTTGAAAATGTAGTAGTTTTGAAAATTGACACCTCTTTTAAAATTTTCTCGAACATATTTGGTACATAAGTCCAATGTATTATAAAATGCTTAACAAGATGAATATTAAATTACATGTACATAAAAACATTTCTCGAGAAAATGAAAAGTCAAATCAAAGAACTTGGGGGAAGAACAAGCCATGGTCAAAATTAATCATTTACCAATAATCGTGGTCAAAGTAACATCGTTGACCGAGGCAATAACTTGACCATCCAAAATCTCGACGGAGCTCAACAACGAGTGGAAGGTAGGCTGTCTCGGACGCTGAAGATGACCGGTTCGACTCTCCAACATCAACAAAACCGAACCCATGTTTGGTCTGTAATAAACCGAGTCTTGTGTACACAACATCCCCACGTGGATACATCTCATTGCCTCATTTACGTCTCCATCGTCTTTCACTGTTGGATCTATTAGCTCTTTCATCTTTCCTTGACTCCATAAATTCCACGCCTGAAGTTTTTTTTTGCCTCTTTAGAACATTAGTTTCTAAAAAATGAAAAAACAAACCAAACCGAAATCACATGTTAACTTACATAACCGATGAGACTTCCACTTACAATCTCTAGTAACAAAACTCCAAAGCTATACACATCAGATTTCTCTGAGAATATCCCTTCCATTGCATACTCCGGAGCCATATATCCACTTCAAAGTTTCAACATAAAACAAAAAAAGATCATTAGAAAGCGATTTGGTTTCATAGAATGGTTTGTTTAGTTACTATATGCCGACGACTCGGATAGTATTGGCCTGGTCTTGTCGGTAGTTGAAGATCCTAGCCATACCGAAATCTGAAATCTTTGGGTTCATTTCCGTGTCCAGCAAGATATTGCTAGCTTTTAGGTCACGGTGAATGATCTTTAGTCTTGAGTCTCTATGCAAGCAAAGCAATCCCCTCGGGTTTCCTCCCAATCCCCTCGGGTTTCCTCCAATGATCTCCCATCGTTTTCTCCAGTCCAATATTCCTCGTTTACTCTCATCTTCGAGGAAAACTCGATTTTATAATTTGAAAACATTTTCTTGAAAATGTTATCAAAGAAACATACCGAAAAGGAAACGGTCCAAGCTCTTATTTGGCTTGTATTCATAGAGAACCTAGTAATCTAACAAGATTCCGATGTTGGAGTTTTGCGATCAGTAAGATCTCGTTCTTGAATTCCTCTAGTCCTTGCTTAGATTTGCCTGATAGCCTCTTTACCGCAATCTCTCTCCCACCTGAAAAGTTTCCCTGTCCAAACAATAAACATAAATTCTTTAGCATAAAGATAAAAAAAAAACTTTATTACCCAAAACTAGTCTCAAGAAGATTAACATTCAATTGTTTCACCTTGTCCAAGTTTGTTTTCTTCAGCGAAATCTCCGGTTGCTAAGGCTACGCTGTTGAAACTAAAAACCTAAGCACGCTAAAAGGCTCAGATTATTTTTGTTCTCATCGTTTCCTCTGTATTGTCGGTTTACAAGCGCTTGTTCTACTCTTCGTCACGGCGGTCCTCGCGGTGGGGCTTTCCTTCCCGGCTAAGGTACGGTGTTTATTAACCCTAAGTAGGTCCTTCCCGTGGCCGATTTTATCTTCCTTTTTCCTTATCAGATCTGTGTTTCTCGCCTTGTGCCATGGAATTATCTTTGATTTTCCTAGATTTATCTCTAGGGTTTGCAGTAGATTCGAGCGTTAAGATTTGATAGTTTTTCCGCTTTCCTTGATAATCTGATTCTCAGATGTCGCCACTCCATTCTAATTCATCCGGTGTGAATCTAAATTCAAATCGAGCTCAGGCTCACATTCTTGAGAGATGCTCGAGGAAACGGATAAGAAGATCATGGCCTCTAACGTGGTGGATGGCAATTTCAGCGGCGCAAATATTTATTGTGTTGCAATACCCGATATTCGGATTAAGCTCGAGGCTCCTCTCATGCGTACACTAACATTTCCCGACGACTTGACTCGGAAGGAGCTTGGTGTTATTCAGCTCACAGCACAGTTTGTGGCTCGTTATGGGAATTATTTTCTGCTGGCTTTGGTGAAGAAAACAGTCAAGGATCCTCAGTTTGGCTTCATGAGGTCACCTGATCATAAATGGTTCCGTTTCTTCAATGAGCTTCTCTCTGAGTATGGTGAAGTAACGTTCCCATGCAATGGTTTGAAAGGATTGTCGGGAGAGAAAGCCAGCGCTTTCTTCGAGACTCTTCTCAAGGGTTTGTTCACTTTTCTTGCGTGGCAGGAAGAAAAGGACGTGATATTCAAGATGACCATGGTTGAATATGTTTGGATGGAGTTGAACAAGGGTCCGCTCAGGGTTCCTCACAAGCTTGCATTAGCATATCCCAAAGATATGAGTCGTGAGGAGCTCGGTGTTGTTGATCTCACAGCACAGTTTGTGGCTCGTTATGGTGATAGTTTTCTGTCGGATTTGATGAAGCGAACAGTCAAGGATCGTAAGTTTGACTTTATGAATTGTTGTAATAGATGGTTCGGTTTTTTCTCTGAGCTTCACGATGAGTATTGTCGTAAGATAGTCCTTTGGGAAGATTTGAAACGAATGTCGGGAGACAAGGCCAGCGTTTTTATCGAGACTCTTGTTCAGGCGTTGTTCACTTGTCTTGAGTGGCAGAAAGAAAAGGACGTGATATTCAAGATGACCATGTCTGATTGGTTTTCGATTGAGTGGGAATCACCTGAGGAACCAGAGCCAAAGAGACAAAAGTTTGATGAGTCAGCCCTTGTTGCGGTAATGTTTGTTTCTTCCGACTCATCATGTCCTTTTGTTTCTTTTTCTTTTGTCTGAGTTATTATCTAAGCACTTGTACTGTTGTACATATTCAGGGTTCGTCATCAGTTGAGGACAAGACTGGTGCTCCAAACTCCAGCAAACCAAGAGAAGTGAAGTTTTAAAGTCAGGGCTTTAATGGAGGAAAAATCACTTGCAAATTCCAGTGTGGTAGCTCTCTTGCGTGCAGGGAAAGACTCTACTATTATATCTCTTATTAGTTCTTTTTTCTTTAATGGATGTTTTATTTGGTGTCCAAAAACTATCTCAATGACTGAGTTTGTGTTGGATTGGCTTATGGCTCTGCAACCTTCTACCATGTGAAACTTTGCGTTATATGTAATGTTCTTCGGTTCTTCCTACTCATTATTCAGCTTCTATCTTTAGTGCAGTTTGGTTCGAGGATGTACCTTTTCCTCTGAATGTGGGGTCTTTAAATTTGAAAAGATGGGTTTTTTAATTTTCAAAATTATGGATTCAAAATCCATTATTGAAGAAACTTGTTTACACCACTTATATCAAAATAAAGACAGGACAGGAGCATATGAGAAAATGGTGCTTTGTAAGCCATATTGTGATAGAATTTGAAGAATTTGATCTGATTTGAGCATATGAAGAATTTGAACTGAGAGGAATGTGAAACTACAAATTTATTTTTGAGTCTATCCACGTTGGGTTAGAATGTGACTCAAAATTAAATCAGATCAAATTCTTGAGAAATCTGTAGTTTCACATTCCAGCATTATTTTTGCGTAAGATTATTTTTGCGTAAGAATGTGAAACTACAGATTTTTATCATAATCTGATAACATTAAGGCTGGTACTATCATATTTTTATTTGGAATCTCAAATTTTCTTTTTCAATGAAATTCAAACGTTTTCTCGAACATATCCGATTTTTTTTTTTTTTATCTCGACAATTTCCAAGTCCAATTATGATGTATTATAAAATGCTTAAGATTAAATTACATGTACATAAAATGACTTCTCGAGAAAATGAAAAGTCAAAGAGCTAGAGGAAGAACAAGCTATTGTCAAAATTAGTCATCTACCAACAACCGTGGTCAAAGTAACATCATTGACCGATGCAACATCTTGACCGTCTAAAATCTCGCCGGAGTTTAAGAACGAATGGAAGGTAGGTTGTCTCGGACGAGGAAGATGACCGGTTCGACTCTCCAACATCAACAAAACCGAACCCATGTTTGGTCTGTAATAAACCGAGTCTTGTGTACACAACATCCCCACGTGGATACATCTCATTGCCTCATTTACGTCTCCATTGTCCTTCACCGTTGGATCTATTAGCTCTTTCGTCTTTCCTTGGCTCCATAAATTCCACGCCTGATGATTTTTTTTGCCTCTTTAGAACATTAGTTTCTAAAAAAGGAAAAAACAAACCAAACCGAAATCACATGTTAACTTACATAACCGATGAGACTTCCATGTTCAGACCCTCTATAGCTAACGTTCTTGCTTCCACTCACAATCTCTAGTAACAAAACTCCAAAGCTATACACATCAGATTTCTCTGAGAATATCCCTTCCATTGCATACTCCGGAGCCATATATCCACTTCAAAGTTTTAACGTAAAAAAAGATCATTAGAAAAGCGATTTGGTTTCATAGAAAAAAAAAACCAGTTAAGAGGTTTCTTTAGTTAGTTACTATGTGCCGACGACTCGGATAGTATTGGCCTGGTCTTGTCGGTAGTTGAAGATCCTAGCCATACCGAAATCTGAAATCTTTGGATTCATTTCCGTGTCCAGCAAGATATTGCTAGCTTTTAGGTCACGGTGGATGATCTTTAGTCTTGAGTCTCTATGCAAGTAAAGCAATCCCCTCGCGATTCCTCCAATGATCTCCCATCGTTTTCTCCAGTCCAAAATTCCTCGTTTACTCTCATCTGTGTATAGATTTATTTTTATACTCGATCTTTAAAATCGATTTTATACTTTGAAAATATTTTCTGGAAAATGTTTCAAAAGAAAATCTACCGAAAAGGAAACGGTCCAAGCTTTTATTTGGCAGGTATTCATAGAGAAGCATCTTCTCATTGTCTTCAATGCAACAACCTAGTAATCTTACAAGATTCCGATGCTGGAGCTTCGCGATCAGTAAGATCTCGTTCTTGAATTCCTCTAATCCTTGCTTAGATTTCCCTGATAGCCTCTTTACCGCCATCTCTCTCCCTCCTGAAAAGTTTCCCTGTCCAAACAATAAACATAACTTCTTTTGCATAAAGATAAACATAAGTCTCAAGAAGATTTACTATACATTCTATTGTTTCACCTTATAAACAGTACCAAATCCGCCTTGTCCAAGTTTGTTTTCTTCAGCGAAATCTCCAGTTGCTGAGGCTACGCTGTTGAAACTGAAAACCGGCAAATCCGGTGTGTTAACTTGATCTCCTACTAGAACTTGGATCGGCGAGCTTGAGGACTTAACCGAGAAATCTCTCTTCTCTCTGATATCGGAAACCGGAAAATCTTTCTTCTTCCACAAGAAAGCTACATATCATGAGAAAAATGATCTCTTAGTCTAACCCTTTTGAAAACCATACTATGTTTGAATATTGACTTTACCTTTAACTCTTTTCTTGAACTTCCATAATATCCAAATGCATAACCCTAGCAAGAATGCACCTACAACACTGAAAACAATGATCCAAAGTTTCCATTTTTTCTTCCCACCTCCTGTTTACACAACAAAAGATTAATTAGTCATGTTTGAATCTTTCAAAATGTTCTATGAAAACTCAAAAAAAGAAAAAAATTGCAAACCTAATTCAGATCGCGCAAGCCGGATGTGGATAGACTCTCCACCATGCTCAAACCGCTCCATATCGATCAAATCTCGGGTCCAAATCATGCATCCGATCCCTCTTACAAGCGCAAAAGCATTACACAAGCAATCCCTCACGCATGCATCCTTACAAGCCACCAAGTTGTTAACCAAAACAACTGAACCAAAATCAGGCAACTTCATTCCCCTAAGAACCCTAAACCCATCTCCTTCATCCGTAACAAGACTCTGACCACAGCTCAATGGAACTCTTCTTTTACAACCACCGAAGAAAGTCTCATCATCCCATCGACTCCGGTTCACCGGCTCAAACCCATCAATGCAACTACATTTACCGGAACCAAACTCTTTACTATCATCACAAAAGCTGTAATTACCGCAACGATTATACCTCTCGCATTCTGTGTTAGGTTTCAGCTGAAGCAAAGTCCAGTTCTTGTCGTTTTTATTCCATCTGAACTGCTCTACAACGCCATCAAACCTAATATGAAACCTTAACAAATCAGACTTATCTGAAGGAACATACGTGAAGTACACGGTACCATCTCTATCAGGAGGAGAAGAGAGCTTAAACCCGTAAATATAGTTCGTGAATCGGAACATATCCGGTATACCGGTAAAGATAACCGAATTCCACGGTCCGCTTCTCCATTTTCTCCTTTCGCCTTCCCAAATCACAATCTCTAGGGCTCCAATAGGATCAATCCCTAGTGAATACCTTCCTGGTGAAGGATCATTTTCGGATCTCCAAGGGATAAAAGTGCGATTCTCTCCCGTTGAAGGATTCGCTCTAAACTTCATACCAGGCAAGAAAGTATCAGTTGGATGGTCAAAGCTCTCCCAATACCTATTGCTTCTGTCTGAATCTGAAGACAAAACCAAATCCCCTGTTTCCAACAGAACAGCAACAGTGTTGTTCAGCTTGGGAGAGACGTTTGTGGACCAGACGGTGTCGTTTTGACCGTCCACGACCAACAAGTTTCCGTCATCTGCAATCTTTAGAGCTCCGTTGCGATCAGACAATGGCTTATCTCGATTCGCGACCCAGACAATCGTTTGAGGTTCGATGTTCTTGTACCAGATTCCGACGTACCTCGAGGTTGAATCGTTGGTGCTGAAGAATCCAAGCTCGAAGGTTTCATCCTTGCTGATCAGTGAGTCTCCGTCTCGTATCGTTTGGTTTCTGGTGATTGTGTTGCTTGTGGAGCAAGATACGATGTTACATAGTGGGAGCAAGATCATGAAAAGGGTCGTGGCCAAAGTATGGTTTTTGTTAAGTTTTGCCATATTTGAGATGATATTATCCTCAGAGAATCGTATATTACGAGAAGGAAATTAATAGAAAGAACAAAACTAGTGGTTGTTGATTTTTCAAGAAGACTAATTGGTCTTTCTAAACTTAATGACTAGTCTATTTTTTCAAGAAGACTATACGTAGTCGAATTGGTTTTTCAGGAAATAAGTGCAAATAGTCCAAAAATAATAACAACAACCACCATTGAAAGGACAACCGACGAATTTTATTGACAAGTGACAATACTATTACTATGGGATTTTTTCACGTTTTATTTAGACTTTGGATTAGATAATGTAAATCTGTGACTTGTAAGGTCAGAAAAGTATACATATGTCAATCAAAAATTATCTTCTTATTGAAATATGTGACCTTCCTAATTTGGGTGGTTGAGAACATCCAAAGTTTCTTTCTCTGCCGTCGTCTATTGTTTATTTTCTTTTGGAATCTTTTTTTTGATAAAGTTCTTTTGGAATCTTTCACGTACCACAACCATATATTTGAAGAAGAAGTTCATATATATTTTTTCCCTTTGCCAGGAGATTTAAGTTATGTTTATTTTGGTTTTCCGCAAGTCCATATTATTAGTTTATTATTACAACCCAAAAAAATAAATATAAATCAGTTAGAGAAAATCAGGTAATAATTTGAGGAAAAGCACAATTTGTGGAATTCGGTTTTTTTTTTTTTTTTGTATTATATACTCCAAGGCACTATGGGATTTTTCATTTTTCACGTTTTATTTAGACTTCAGAATTCGACAATTTGTGGAATTCGATCACACGCGTGCCGGGGAAGTAATTTTTTTCTCCGACAGTGACACAACACCGATCCCATGACTGTCGAGGTTTGGTACAAACCCTCTTATGCATTTTACATGTTGCTCTTACATGTTTACACATGTAATTTATTTGGTTAATAAATATTTTAATAATATACCCAAAGAAAATCAAAACAATAATCCATAAAATTGGAAGAAAAGAAATGGAATACAAGGATACATAATAGTACGTACAAGGAAATACAAGGAAATGGAATACAATAATCCGTAAGTTTTCATATTTTTCATTCGTTAATTCTTAAACGAAAAGCAAGTAAAAAATAAGCTTCAAATGAAAAATATGGTTTGTAGATACTTCATTACCCAAAAAACAGTTGATTCTTATGGTTTGTAGATACTTCAGTACTTAGCAAACCTGTATGGCTGTATTGGAGTCAAATACTATGTTTGGGAAGAAACTACTATCACCAATGAAATGATCTTGTGATCTGATTTGGTCTAACCAAACTACTTAGCAAACCTGTATTGGAGTCAAGTACTATGATTTGGTCTATAGTATCTCCACTGTTAAAGGGAAAATAATACGTCAACAAACATAACTAAAATAGCGTCTAAAGTAGCAAAAAATGATGATTAGTATTGAAACACTCGTAAATACAATAACATTAACATACATGCATGGGCCATGGTTGCTACTTAGAGCTACCGTCCTGAGACTGCTGTGACACTCACATCGTTGAACGATGCTCTTTTCTCAGCGTCCCATTTCGCTACAAAAGCGGGTTGCTTTGGCTCGGGGAGGTCTATGTTTTCACTACCGAGCATCGAAATCACTGTTGAAACGCATGGCCTATCGTTTGAGTGATCTTGTACGCATAATAAACCAATGTGCACGCATCTGCGTATTTCATTTTCAAAAGACTTATCGTAGATTCTAGGATCAGCAAGAGCGGTAGCCTCCCCATCATTCCATAGTTTCCAAGCCTAGAAAAATATAGAGATAAAAGGTCAAAAGCCTAATAGCAACAATTCTCTTTGTAAGAACATGCTTACATGCATGTTTAAGTTTTGTTTTGTTTTGTTTAAAAATAAAGTTAATTAAGTCATTAAACAGACTTACATAATCTAAAAGATGCATATTCTTGTCATCGTTGAAAAAGCTCGAGTTTTTTCTTCCACTCACAATCTCTAATATTATGACTCCGAGGCTGAAAACGTCGGATTTTTCTGAGAACAAACCTCGCATTGCATACTCCGGTGACATATAGCCGCTACAAAAAGATTTTTTTTTTTTCATTGTTTTACTGGTTTTAATGTAATTTTTTGTGTGAAAACATTGTATGAAAAATATTTTTAAAAATGTCTACTTACTATGTTCCAATCACTCTTGATGTGTTGGCTTCATCTTCATTTATGTGAAAAATCTTGGCGAGCCCAAAATCTGATATCTTCGGATTCATATGCTCATCTAACAAGATGTTGCTAACCTTGAGATCTCTATGTATAATCCTTAGCCTAGAATCTCGATGAAGATACACAAGACCTCTACAAATACCATTGATAATGTTAAACCTCGTCTTCCAATCAAGAAGTGTTTGCTCCTGCTGGCCTGTGAATCACAAATGTTTAACGTGTAAGTTCCCTAGAAAATAAAAAGAAAGATGCAATATTGTCAAATGAAGTGATAAGTTACCAAATAGATAATGGTCCAAGCTTTTCTTTGGCATGAACTCATAGACTAACATTCTCTCTTCTCCCTCGATGCAACATCCAAGTAATTTCACTAAATTTCTGTGTTGCAATTTGGAAATGACAATTACTTCGTTCATAAGCTCCTCGAGTCCTTGTCCAGAATCCTGCGAAAGTCTTTTAACAGCAATTTCTTGCCCTTCTTGCAGTTTTCCCTAAAACCAAATATATGATAAAATTGTGTAAATTGCCTAAAAACAATATGTTAGAGTATTAAGAAAAAATAAATAATGAGTAGACTAGTTCATGTTTCTTATATATTACACTATGTATCTTGATTTTTATCCTAAAAATATACCTTGTAAACAACACCAAAACCGCCTTGTCCGAGCTTATTTGTGAGAGCAAAATTGTCTGTTGCTGTAGCCAACATTTGAAACTCAAACAATGGCAGCTCCTCGAGCTTAGGTTGATTTAAAAAAATACTTCCACTCACATTACTTACTGTAGAAGAAGCTTCAATCATCTGAAACACTAATCTTGCATTTCGATTTTTTCCTTCAAGTGTAAAGCAAAAACATACATTAGTACTATAAAAATGACTTGTATGATGCATATATCAGTGAATTCAACTATACTTACCTCTACGCTTTGCAAACCTGAGCCATATGAAAACACTCAAAACTGAAAGTGCAATGCCAACAAGAGCCACTGCGATCCCAATAGAAATCTTAACGATATGTGTGTCTACAAAAAGATAGGACATATTATTAGTATCGTGAATTTTGTATATCATTATTGTGTGTATATATATAGTTAGTATACTTACGGGTTTGTTTAGATGAAACAGCTGATGAACTTGCAACGCGAATATAAAGAGCGATACCATTGCGCATATAATCTTGCAAATCAAGTAAGCTTCTTCTCCAGAGCATACATCCATTGACATCATTAAAAGCATACGCAGTGCAGTTGCAATCATCCACACATGTCTTCTCACATCCATTTTCATTTGCTTCTGAAAACTCCACAGAAATCGGCACTTTAATCATCTCTAGCTTCATGAACACATCTCTTTTTATCCAATTGTTATTGCTTCCTCTATCACAATGCAATGGCTCCTTTCTTACGCATCCACTTCTCCAGTTTTCTCCACTCCACTCTGTTTGATTCTTTGGCACAAACCCTTTGACGCATTTACAAGGAACGGTTTCATTGAAGCTGCAAATGCCAAATTCACCGCATTTACCATAACTATTACATGGCGGCCCAGGAACATCAGGTCCACTACTCCACTCTTGCTTCTCCTTGTTCCATGCTTTCTCATGTAGGACTCCTTCAGGTTCCAGTTTGAAGTGAAACATTAACGAACTTTCTTCATATGATAGTAACATTTTCCCTTGATTGTCCTTCTCAAGATTAAACCCTTTAAACCGTTTTCTAGGATTTCTCCGGCTACCGATGAATGCCTGACCGTTCCACGGCCCGGTACGCCATTTCGGAAGTTCCTTCTCCCAAATATAGAGCTCTGGGAACTTGAGAGGAGAAATCCCAAATGAATAGCTTCCAGGTGAGGGATTATCAAGACTTTTCCAAGAAGTAATCTTCCTGTTTTCCCCTGCTTTTGAGTCCTTCCCAAGCTTCATTCCTGGCAAGAAGGTATCAGATGGATAGTTAAAACTCTCCCATAGAGTCTCTCCATTGTTACCTTGTAACACAAGATTCCCAGAATCCATAAGCCTAGCCTTACTAGCATTAGCAACTAATGGCGCTGAGACGTTCGAGGACCAAAAGACCTGTCCAAGACCATTTGTAACCATGAGGTTTCCATCATTAGAAATCGAAATAACTCCATAGGAGTCACTGATTGGTGTGTTCTTGTTTGCAACCCATACTACAGTTTGTGGAGAGACGTCACTGAACCATATCCCAACATACTTGTTTTTGGATTTAATAGTGCTAAAGAATCCGAACCTGAACCTTCCGCCTTGAGAGACAAGAGTCTCTGAGTCCTTGATCGGTTTTGTGAATGTGAGACTGTCCAGAGCCAAACAGAGATGGAGAGAGAAGAAACAAGTCGTTGCAAGAAGAAGGAGAAGAAAACAATGCATCTTTTTGATCGGAGAGACTAACAGAAACAATACATTTTTCTCTTAGTATAGAGATTTAGCTTTGGAAAAAATAAAGATTTAGCTTACCTATTAAAGTTCGAATAATTTGACCCCTAAAAAGAATGTATCTTAAGCGTGTAGAAAGTGAGGATGTGAATCATGTGGCATAAATTTTCTAAATAATATTTGTTCTGGATTAGTTTCGTAATTAATTAAATAATTCTTTGCATAACACAGTTTAGGTACTATCGGCGGAAGAAACCTCCACAAAACGCCAAATGTATAATTCATTTGTATAAAAGTTTCGGATATGTTAGTTTTCTCAACTGGATATATTCATATGTAAACAAATATATATATTCAATCATTGAAAATGCGAAAAACTTTAAGCCAAAGTTTGCTTGTTATATTTTGTAGTATATTATAGATTTTGCATACTTAATGGTTGGTTATTGTTCTATTTTAGTTAATTCACACCAACCAAAATTTTAATTCACTGTTGTTCTGTTTCGATTGATTCGCACTGGCCTAACAACATTAGTTTGTTTGAATTCATGTAAACTATATCAACTTTTCTTTCCTTTAATCTATCAATGTACCCTGCATATAGAGCCATGTGCCGAACCAAACAGTTGTACTTTTATATGTGTATGGATAATTGCACAACATTAGATATTTAATATTGGAAGGCCACTGATCGAGACAAAGACCAATCCTTGAAATATTTAGAAAGATCACTGATCGAGATGAATACTTATCTCTGAAACATATATAGAAGCTCACTATTCTTGCCATTTAAGAAGTTTATTGTAGCCAAATTCACGATTGATATTGCAACACGAGTCTCACATGGACTTTTTTGGAGTAAATTATTCTAAATCAGGTTAACTTGAATTATTAGATTTTCTGTTTGGGTGAGGAAACTTATCTCTTCCAAGGTGGTAATGGTCTAGAAAAACATTTTCTGCTTTCCCTTGAAGGCTTTTCCGGTTTTGGTAGAGAGCTCAATTTTCAATCTCAAAAGTATTACTAAATTACTTAAGGAAAAAGTGTTACCGTAATTAGAATTATTCGTCAATACAAGAGAACTTCAAATGTTAAACAAATGGAAGTAATTAAATGAAAATTATACTAAAGAACAAGATGAAAACGACAGAAGATACAACTCAAGTCCATGTGATGTCTCACCTTAATGAGGTGAGAACATTAAAATATTAATCGAATACTGTAAACAAATTCAACCATGAGTAATATAATAAAAGAAATGCGTGAGGAAGTTGGCGTAAAATGATACCTCTCGTACTTTGTTTCCAAGAGATGTGATCGTCATGTTTCTTGTTAAGAACCGGTTATGTGCAAGATGACATGTTTTAACATGCAATAAGCCCGAATTGGACTGTGCATTGCAAACGTTAACAAAATTTATGCTCTCTGGACATACCAACAAAGCCCACAAAGAAAAAATATCCTCACAAACAAAACCCATTTAGGCGCGGTTAGGCCAGCATGACAGCTCTAGTAATTGCTAACATAGTGTGATTCAGTGTGAAGTCTATATACAAAACCATAAGTCATGACAACAAACACACACAAAATTTTGAAGATCATGTTTTGACTCCTCGTAGATCTCATTTGCTTTGGTCATAATACTATTCATTTACTTTTTCACTATGTGCAGTGAAAATGAAATAAAAACACAATTTGTTAGCTTTATTTTGTTCTTTTTAATTATCAAAAAATTTATTCATATATTGTATTTGTATAGAAAATAATAGAGAAACAGATTTAGAAACGAAGTATTATATTTCACAGAACATAATCCATAAGCAGGACCCAGGCTTAGGGACTTTAGTATATAAATATTTTACAACAGAATTGAAGAGTCACTCCCACTTACATCTCAGTCTTTGAGAATGTCTAAATACACATTTAACCAACAAAACTCCATCTGCTCTTCTCAACCCAAAACTCTCCACCAACACATAACACCCAAATCTCCTCCAATCTCTATCATTGTTATCATTCATACCCCTAAACTGATCTCTTCTAGAAACCCTAATTGGCTCATCTCTCTCCACTCTCACCACTTTCCTCCCACCTCCCACCCACCCTCCTTCCTCCATTACCCTTCTCATCCTTTCCACAACCGCGAAACTCAGCCCCACCGCTGACCTTAGACCCGTCTTCCTCCTCCCCGAAACTTGAAGCTGCCTATACCAATAAAACCCTCCATGCCCTTCTTTCTCCCCCTTAACCGCCTCCATACCCTTCACATAGTTCGCCTCTCTCACCACGTTTGCCTCTACTCTCACCACTTCTTCTTCATTTTCATCATTGTCTCTGTCGATATCATTGTTGGTTTCATTCAAGTTACTGTTCTCGCAGTGGTAGATCCGTTCCCAGTATTGGGACAGTGTCATCCTATAGAACATTGACTTCTTCATTTGGTGACTTACACTACAATTCTCCTTCACAAACATAAACGGGCAGTACCATTCTCCCACTATAACACTCCCAGACCGAATTGTAGTGATAGGGAATTCAAATTCAGGGAGACGGGCTCTAAGCTCATCATCTAGGCCTAGAGCTTCTCTAGGTCTCCTCGGATGCAGACTCCTCGTGGTTCTTAGCTCCCACCCTTTCTTCTTAAGAAATGAAGGCGGTACACCATCTGGAGCAACTGATTTCGCAAAGAACGTCTGCTCGTGATGCCGGTTGATCTTTACTGTCTGATATATGTTTCTTGGATCCAAAGGTTTAGGTTTCTTGTCATGCAAGATATCTGGAAAACAACAAAATCCTTTCTCTATTTCACTAGAACACACACACACTTTCCTGCAAAGATAAACAAAAAAGAGTTCACTACACTTTTTTTTTTGTAATCACCAAAATAAGACACCAGCTCAAATCTGAATTTAAGCCTTAGAAATTAGAACTTTGGTTTCTCTTGTGTTTTTAAAAATCTTACCCTTTGTGTCTGCCTCTAGCGTGAACAACGTAATACCGGTTTGAAGACAATGGTTGATCGAGAGCTGGTATGAACAAGACCTTCTTAACCGAAGTCTCTCTGTTACCAGAACTGTCTGTGTGAACAACTGACATGATCTTGTCTTGAGGGAATGGAAGCTTCTCGATTTTTGTCCTTTTACACATCCCGAAACAGAACGTGTCCTCTGTTTCTGCTTCTTCGTCTGTGATCACCAGAACGCCGGAAAACGGACCTTCCGGTGACTCCTCTGAGAGCGTCTTCTGATACCTTCTAAACTGCGACAATGGCCTCGTCACGTACATTTTTTTCTTGTTCTTGAAGCTGTGAGGGAGTTAGTGAAATTACGAATAGTATCAATTCTGATGGGTTTTATTAACGAATTTCAACAATTTTTTGGGGTTAAAACGACGAGATTGGAGAGTAGTGAAGTGACTCGATGTAACTTTTTGATAGTGGAGGGTAAAGTTGTGTAATTCAAGTCTTTGCTCATTGGCAAGTCTTGACTTTGTCTTTTTTAAAGAAACCAAAAGAAGATAAAGCTAAACTATAACAGTCATATTCCACTCTCACTCTCTCAAATCTTATTATGGAGTCATATTTACTATTTAAATTTCTTTTGATAAAATTTTCATTTCATTACAAATATTTCAGATTTATTGGGATTTTGTCTTTAATTTTTCTGACCAGCGATGGTCGAAATTGAGTCTGTGTTGATGGTTTATATTCCGTAAATTCGGTTGAACTATAGGTTAAAGTAAAAGATGTTGCGATTAAACAATAAACGGATTTATTCGAAACAAAAGCAAATTGTATAGATATCTCTAGCCGCTCATGAGAAGAGCTTTTTGAATTGGTGGATGAAGAAAGAGATGATATAAAGAGGAAAAGGAATAAAGTTACAAGACAAACTATTTAAAAGAAAATTATGTAAATACATCTAAATTTTCTTTTGAACATATTATTTGAAAATATGTGAATAAGACAAATACATATCTTTTTCCCCCAATCTGATTATATTAGATGAAAGACAAAATTTACAAATACAACCCTATTAGAGAATTGAAAGCCAAATCCCAAATAAAAAAAAGAGAGAAAATTGCCAATTTACCCCAAAAAAAGGCATTTTTGTCCCACTACACCTTTCCATCTTGTTGTTGTCTTAATACACTTTTTTTAAAATAATTTGGACATTTTTGACCTTCAAATTGAATTGGTAATGTGTTTGGAGAAATCCTCTAAAACCATCGCTTTTAGGTCGTCAAACCTAGTATTAGATTCCACACAAACTACTCTTCCTCCTTTCCTCTCATCAGCAACAAATATCCACCCATTAATTTGACACCTCTTCCATGAACCACATACTACATAGATTTGGATTTGAACCATATTGGATAGAGAGAAAGAGGACTACAGAGGAGGAAGGGGATGAAGAAGATGAGGAAGAAGATCATGGAGGATTATTTTCGGATAGTTGGATGAAAATAAGGAAACAAAGATTTGAAAAATATTTTTTTGCAATATTCTCTCGATTTTTGCAGATGATGAACTCTACACAATGTAGAACTAACCTATTTAGTAGAATATCCTGTGAAAACACGAATACTACGCCTTGCAGAAAAACATGAAATATGTAGTACACGAAAACTATGACTGGTAGATAGCAGTGTTTACCGTAGAATTTAGAATCTACGAGTAGTAGCGGATGGTGTATTCTGTAGAATATTTTTGGAGCGAATTCTACAAAATGGTAGAGTGTATTGTATATGGTAGATATCGAAGTCTAATCCGGAAGATGAATGAAGAAATTGTAGATATCATATCCTACGACGGTTAGACTTGCGAATAACTTGTAGAAAGCGTATTCTGCTTTGATATTTTACTTTGTAGAACCAAAACTTCAAAGAATTTTTTAACCATCCAAAACATTTTTAAAAATATTCAAATATTTTACACATTCTTTAGATCATTTATAGGACTTTTAGAAATTGTGTTCACTTAAAAAAATATTCATTATCATGTTTAAACAATATTGAAGGGCAATTATGGAAAAAAATGGCCAAAGTCAAAAAAGGAGTAATAGGACAAGAAAGGCCTTTTTTGGGGTACTTTGCCAATTTCCCAAAAAAAGAAGACAAACCCACTAGTGTGACTAGCTTAGTGAAGAGCTAAAATAAAGCTAAAATTGGCCCATTCATCAAAGCTACACTAGAAGTTAGATTTATATTTGAAGAACTTAAAATTTTCTCTTTAAAGTTTCCATAGCCTGTAAAATCACTTTGTTATTTCGATTTTTTTCTTAGATATCATATACTCATGACCACCATTACTATATCATATATATGTTCTTCTGAAATCGTTTCATCCAATACCTGATTTTCAGTTTAATAAGAAGGAATGGAATAAGCCAATAGTTTTGAAAAAGTGGAGCAGGAAGAAGCATAATGGAAATGATTAAAAAAAAAAAAAAAAAAAAGGATTGTTATATGCAGGAGATTGTTTAGCAGACAGTATCCATTTTTGCATACATCATCCATTATCTCACCTTAACTGCTCCTATGATTTTTCACAAGAAAGAAAATCAGAATTGATTAAGTAGTAAATAAAATCTTACATACGTGTGCTTGTACTTTTCGTTAATTATTTGTGTTACGGCAGAGTGTTCCATTCTTGTTCTTATTTCATCGGCTCTTAAGTTTCAAATCTTCATCCATAGTTTTTAAGAACATATATGTAATATGTGTTGTATAATTGCATGTAATTTGTCTTTCTCTAGTGCCTGGATCTTTCAGAGCCAAAACTTATATCAATACAATGATCGCCCACGTTTTGAGTAATATAACGAATCCACTATCTTAAAGTTATAAATCCATAGTCCGTGACTTTTCAATCGGTTATGTTTAACAATTTTGTGTGTATCATATCTTAAATCTATACCAGGATGTATTTTTTTCTAGTCAAATATGATACATCTCTACAAAGAGTCAAAAGAGAAGACATCATGACGCAAAACCCCAAGTTTGAGTAGAGTGGTTAGGGCAGTTAAAGAAAGAACGTCCCTACTCTTTCCTGTTTATTTATAATCTTATCCTTAACTGAAAACTAAAAAGCAAACCGCTATTTCACATTTTCTTATGTATCATTACAATTCTAATTATATGTTTGTATGAGTCTACAAGCTAACTAGCAAACATGTTATTTGAGTTTAGATTTTTCCTTGTTTAATATAAGTAAAGCAATGTATTTTGATAATTATTGGACCTCTTAAGTTAATGTTTTTAATAAGTGGATTCTACTATATAACATTTTACTATTGAAATGGTCCTTAACACCAAAAAAAGATCATTATACATCCAAATTCAAATACGGATCCTGTAGTATGTGTTCTGTATGTCAAAAAATAATAATGTTGCAACAATATTGCGATGCATTCATTGTATACAAAAAAAATATATCCCTTTAATCAGAAACTAACCAATAACCCTGTATAGTACAAACTTTGTGACCATACTAATATTTTACACTTATTTTATATATTTTTTACATATGGATAGTCCTTATCTCATATGTATAAATATGACCCAACCCACCCATCATAGTTCTGAGTCCTACTTAAAAACCTAAAACACAAAAACTTTTAGTTAACCCTTTTTCTCAATGAGAGACACCTCAACAACATCCACCAAATCCTCTCCGTTATGGAAACCCTTTGCCTCAAATTGTTGCTCTGTCGATGACCAAACAATCTTTGGCAACCTAAGCCGTTGCCGAACTTCGAAATCTGAATTCTCCAAGAACCATCTCGGGCCACTTCCTTCTTTCCGGAGACTCTCCTTCGCTGATCTTAGCCGTTCTTCGTCGGCTAGGATCAATGAAGATCTCGCACAGACTCTTGGAGCCGATTTATTGGATTTTCAGATGTGTGAACTCAAGATGATCACTCAGAGTTTCTCCACGAACTATCTTCTAGGAGAAGGAGGGTTTGGTAAAGTGTATAAAGGTTACGTTGATGAGAATCTCCGACAAGGCCTCAAGGCTCAGCCTGTTGCTGTCAAGCTATTGGATATTGAAGGGCTTCAAGGACATCGTGAATGGCTTGTAAGAACGTAACCAATAATTGCATGCTTGATTATTGAGTTTTTCCACTTTATTACTGTTCTCTAATTAGTCTTCACTTAGTTAATTCATATATATGACATATGAATGACACGTATTTGGTTGAAAGTTATAAAATACCTTAAAAATACAAATCGAAGTCAAAAGATTTTCTTGGACTCGCGTCTATATCTTTAAATACTTTTTTGGGGGGATAAAATGTGAAAATATATCTTTAACTTTAGGGTATGAAAATGGAGAAATATGTTTGTTTGTATTATTGATTAAGTAGGTCGCATATGATCTTGTCGTTTCTATTTTTGGTGTCACGTAAAACGTATAAGAATCTTTTTGGTTAGCAGAATATAATAGTTGGTGAAACCACTTTGATATACTCTCTATAGATACATCTAAGTATATACACACACGTTCTTACTTATTTCTCTTCCCTAAGAAAGTAAGAATATAATTACATTTGATATCAAACTATTATATGCTTATATTATGCATATCCGTATGCAGTCTGAGGTCATACTTCTTGGACAACTAAAGCACTCGAATCTAGTCAAACTTATCGGTTACTGCTGCGAGGAGGAAGAACGAGTCCTCATCTACGAGTTCCTACCACGTGGTAGCTTGGAAAACCACCTCTTTAAACGTAACGACATTTTCAATAATTATAGTAGTCACATATTCATACGACTCTTTTATCATAATTTGAGTACGTATATCATTTAGTTTTCTAATCAAAATTTAATTAACAGGGATTTCAATATCGCTACCATGGGCAACGCGGCTGAAAATCGCTGTTGCGGCTGCTAAGGGCTTGGCGTTTTTGCATGACTTGGAGAGTCCAATCATTTACCGCGATTTCAAGACTTCTAATATACTACTTGATTCGGTACACTTTTAGTCATTTATTACAATTGACAATATATATTAGGATTTTCAATTTTGTAAGAAAAAAAAAAGAGTACTAATTTGATGTGAGTTGTTGATAAAAATTCCAGGATTTTACAGCGAAACTATCAGATTTTGGTTTGGCCACTATGGGACCAGAAGGATCCAAATCTCATGTCACAACTCGAGTCATGGGCACTTATGGTTATGCTGCTCCTGAATATGTTTCAACAGGTTTGTACACAATACTAAGTTTCTTGTCTTTTAGGCCCTTTAACAACAACAAAAAGTTGTATCTCTCAACAATTTGTGTTTGGTCAACTTTTTCCAACATCTAAATTTAAGCATAGTAATTAAAGTCATCATAGTTATGTAGAGGTTCAAAACAGATCATCAACAATTAACTAAAGAGTTAAAAAAATCAAATACATATTTTGGATGAATGCATTTATTTTATGATCAATTACCTAACGCATGGAGGCAACGTTTTCAGGGCATTTAACGACAAAGAGTGACGTGTATAGTTACGGAGTCGTTTTACTCGAGCTTCTAACAGGAAGAAGAGCCACCGAAAAGTCACGGCCAAAAAACCAGCAGAACATCATCGACTGGGCAAAGCCTTACCTAACGAGCAGCCGCCGTCTCCGGTGCGTTATGGACCCAAGGCTCGCCGGTCAATACTCCGTCAAGGCGGCTAAGGATACTGCTCTTCTTGCCTTACAATGTGTGAGCCCTAACCCTAAAGACCGGCCAAAGATGCCTGCCGTGGTGGAGGCTCTAGAGAGTCTTATGCATCATAAGGACATGGCGGTTTCTTCCGGTCATTGGCCACTGTCTCCGAGGTCTCAGGGAGGGAAGGTTTCACCTAAGGTTAGAGGGGATAATCGGAGCGGTAGAAAATCAGCTCCGGGCTCGCTAAGATCGTGAAATTTAATAGGGTTTAAAGATATTCAATAAACATGTGATTATATTGTGTCTTTGTATGCGTGTGTGTACATATGTGGTTATACGTATGTAACTGTGTGACATAGTGAGAGTAATATGACTCCCCATAAATATAACAATGCTATAAAATATAAATATATATAGGATGTCAAAAGTTGTTTTTATAAATATTTAATCCAATTGGCTTGGAAAAAGAAAATATAGCACACACAATTCATCCTCGAAATAAAATTAAAATGGCTGAATAATTCATCATATGGATTAGATGTAGTTAGGATTCAAGTCATTCAATATTAGTAATTATGTGTGTTGATGCAAAATCGTATACATGTAAATTATGTGAAACTGGCTTTACAAAAATTGATAGCAACGAATATTTTTAATTCTCCTGCAATATTTTTAAGAAAGCTCTGTCTTGGTTGAAAAAGATTGCATGTCTTATGAATTGTGGCAAGCGGTTCTTGATAAACGTATGAGAACGAATCGTGGCTTTACAATCACACTTGCCATGTTCATAGGGTGTTTAAGACGTGTTCTCATAATGTTTTTAGTTTTTTTTTTATCCTACAATGTTATATTAAGATTGATTGTTTATTTTGCAACTGAAAATCAAAACCTTATGACTCATAAAAAAATATTGATACATAACAATAACTAGTTGTAATATGTACAATAATCGTGTAAATATGTTAAGGCAATTGTTCCTCCTTTGGTGCTAGATTCTTGGATTTGAAGCAATTCATCAATAAGGAACGATAATTGTTTTAAAGAACTAAAGAGGTTAGGTCTAAAATAGAGGGTTATAAAAGCCTATACAAAGGCATTGTTCAATGACATTATGGTAATCAAAGAATTGAGACTGGAGAGGGTATTGCTCATAGAGTTTTGGCTAGAAGAGCTGCAGGTGGTGGAGGTTGTGGACGAGGAAATATAGAGGGCATTGCTCAGAGTTTTGGCGTATATTTTCAAAATTACATTTTTTTTTTATTTATTAAGGAAAACAATTCTAAACTCAAAATTTAAACCTTACCCTTAAATTTAAACTCTAAACTCCAACATCTAAAACCTAACTAAGGATTAGTGAACCCAAACTCAAATGTTAAATTTAGAAAAAGTATAATTTTGAAAATTAATATAGAAGTGTAATTTTGAAAATTGACACCTATAATTATAATTATTTTTGTTGTAAGCAATATTTATTAATTAAAAAATTAATTGGGTCGGGCTATTTATACATTGCAACGGGCCAAGCCCATATTCTCCGGCAAGCCCATAATTCTTTCGGCTTAACCCTATAAACCCTAGGCATACAAGAGAGTATAAATAGCTCAACCCTAAGATCATTTACGAGTCACCTAAATTTACCTCCTCTTATCGCCGACAAAAAATCGTAAGGTATACGAGCTTCTCTGTGTTTCGTTTCTTCGATCTAGCTTCTCATCTTCTGAATTCGAGATCTTGGTTTGTCATATTCAATCTTCGCATAATTACATTCTCAACACATTCGAAACTTTGTTTGCCCTTTGATCTGTATATTATATTCAAAGTTGATTATTGTTTGAATTTGAAAAAATGCGTTGTTTTTTTTCTATGATCTGCTCATTTGTATAATCTCATATTCTGGTTTAATTATGATTTGGAATGACAACCCTCGGAAACTTTATCAAAGCTGGAATCTCTGATCTGCTCTTTTACCCGGAGCCATTCATTTGGTTTCTGGTTTGAAACACTCAAACTGAGCTTGAGATTTGGCTATCGTAATTGATGCCATAGGCTTTTGATCGAGGGAACATTTCTTATCATATATTATATCAGAATCCCTGAGAGCATTTTATGTGTCAGTGTCATAGCTTCTCTTCAAATTCTGTTTTTGTTTCTTATCATAATCTCTACATGTAGGTTCTTTTTTGATTTGTTATATGGTTTCTTGTCTGTTAGTATAAATCTATAATTCGGTTACTTGGCTTCCGTTGATCTGATAAGTTACACATTCCGAAATTTTGCTTTTGTACCTATTGCATTAGTCTTACAACGATCAAGATTTACAATCCTTCAATTTGGATTTTATGTTCTCTTCTTATTACATTATGCTAGTTTAAAGTATGTCTCCTCTTGTATATTTATGTTTTAGTTGTTTATCTTGAACTGTGATACTGTTTTTGCTATTGATTTAATTCTGTAATTTTGGGTACTCCATTGATCTGATAGATTACATTTCTGAGGTTTTGCTATGGGACGCATTACATTTTTTTACAATGAACAAGATCTGCAATCCCTTAATTGTTTGCTTGATTAGTAAATCGTATATGATTGGTTCTAATGTTATTTTTGTTTATATGAAATGATCTTACTTTTGCGGTCTTTGTTCTCTAGTTTAGACCATGTCTCACAGAAAGTTTGAGCATCCAAGACATGGTTCTTTGGGTTTCCTTCCAAGGAAAAGAGCTAGCCGACATCGGGGAAAAGGTAGATACATGTTATAAGCATGCGTATTTGCATTCATTAACGATTTTTCCTGCAACTTCTGTATCTTATCTAATCTACTTGGCAGTATAAACAACATTAACTTTATTGTTAAAAACTCTTACCAAACTTAGATCCATATGTTCTGCTTTTAGCCTGTGTAGTGAATGTTTCTGATTTGCGTCTTGAATATGGTTTTCAAAGAATCTTTATTTCATACAGCCTATGCTCTTGCTTGATATAGCATTCATTCATTCACCAATGTCTTACAGCTTTGTATCTTACGTACTTAACAGAATGAAAAATCTGAACTTTATTAATATAGTGTCTGTTCTTATCTGAAAACTGTTTAATTGTTCTTACTCTATGTCTCACAAATACGTTTCAAAGAATCTTGATAGAATATAGCCTGTGTTCTTATTTGACATTCCTTGATTGTGTTTACAGTGAAGGCCTTCCCTAAGGATGATCCAACGAAGCCTTGTAGGCTTACTTCGTTCATGGGGTACAAAGCTGGGATGACTCACATTGTGAGAGAGGTCGAGAAACCTGGATCAAGTGTGTTCTCACTCTCTTTTCTCTTATTTACTTGCAGAACTTGCATCAACGTTTTACTTATGGCTTTGTGCTCATCTTTGTAAACGTAATTGTCAGAGCTCCACAAGAAGGAAACATGTGAAGCTGTGACCATCATTGAGACACCTCCAATGGTGGTTGTTGGTGTGGTTGGGTACGTGAAGACACCACGTGGTCTCCGCAGTCTGAACACTGTCTGGGCTCAGCATTTGAGCGAAGAAGTAAGGAGGAGGTTCTACAAGAACTGGGCCAAGTCTAAGAAGAAGGCTTTCACCAAGTACTCAAAGAAACATGAAACTGAAGAAGGCAAGAAAGACATTCAAACCCAGCTGGAGAAGATGAAGAAGTACTGCACTGTCATCAGAGTTCTTGCTCACACTCAGGTATCCAATCTCTCTCATTATTTGACCAATAACTTCATTATCTTTATTTGTGTAATTTGTCTCTGATTGCTTTTTGGATATGTATCAGATAAGGAAGATGAAAGGGCTGAAGCAGAAGAAGGCACATATGAATGAGATTCAGGTCAATGGTGGAGATGTAGCAAAGAAGGTCGACTTTGCCTACAGTCTGTTCGAGAAGCAAGTCCCTGTTGATGCCATCTTCCAGAAAGATGAGATGATTGATATCATCGGTGTAACTAAAGGAAAAGGTTATGAAGGTGTGGTTACAAGATGGGGTGTGACTCGTCTTCCAAGGAAGACTCACCGTGGTCTTCGTAAGGTGGCTTGTATCGGTGCTTGGCATCCAGCTAGAGTCTCTTACACAGTGGCTAGAGCCGGACAAAACGGGTACCATCACCGTACTGAGATGAACAAGAAGGTTTACAGGATTGGGAAAGTTGGTCAAGAGTCTCACACAGCCATGACCGAGTTCGACAGGTAAATAATCCAAACAAATCTTGAGATGTTATTCAATCTTGTGTTGTGTAGGGAACTTGTGTTGATGTTCTGTTTCTTGTTGTTGATGACAGAACTGAGAAGGAGATTACACCGATGGGAGGATTTCCTCATTACGGGATAGTCAAGGAAGATTATGTGTTGATCAAGGGATGTTGCGTGGGTCCGAAGAAACGTGTGGTGACTTTGAGGCAGTCGTTGGTGAAGCAGATGTCTAGGGTTGCTATGGAGGAGATTAAAGTCAAGTTCTTTGACACTTCGGCCAAAAATGGACATGGTAAATACCAGACTTCTCAAGAGAAGCGCAAGTTCTTTGGTAGAGGCATCAAAGCTTAAGACTTTGTCTTATCAATTATTCAACTGCTATCGTTAAATTATTGTTTTGGTGACTATTTTTGAAGTTTTGAAGTTAATTGAATCTTAGACCTTTGGTTTTTTTTTTTTGCGTTTTCGAAAGACTCGTTATATTGTTGAGCATCTACGCAATTAGCATCTTATATGGGATGAGGTCATCATAAACAAACATAATATTTTATCTTTGACTCCTTCAATACAGTAATCTAAACCAACATAAAATATTTTCTTAATTTTAATGATTCAACTTGTGAAAGCCTCTCAACCGTATGTATTGCTTTTTCAAGAAGTATGCTGTATGGTTATTCCAATTTGTGCCTCAGTTCCAATCGTTGCATGTTGATACTTCATTCTCTCTTAGAGGATCTCTTCATGACCATTCATGCTACCTTGCAACACAAGGTTCCAAAAGTTGAGCCTATAGTGTAGTAGTTATAGCTGTATGATAAGATAATGATATGTTGCTAGACCACATAATTATAATCCGTTGATTATAAACTCTTCGCTTGTATTATGATTATGTGGATCATGAGCAAGACAATTGATTTAGATAGACTACTTATACTAATTGATGCTTGATATTAACACCATGTAATGATTTCATTCTCAAGACAAAAATCACATGCATGAATTATAATAATTCATTTCCATGACATCAATCTTTTTGTTAAACTAATCAATATACACAACATTATATTGTGTGAGCTTACCATACATTGGCTCGAAATGCTAGTGAAGTGAAAGAACCCCACTTACATTATCCCAAAATAAACATGCATTGCACAACACTTTTTGTTGTTGTAACTTTGTTGCAACAAAAATCATTTTACAATGAATGTTTCTAAACCTAAAGTACAATGAAGAAAATCAGAATGATTTTAGTGTATAGCAACTCTTTTAAGGTAAAACAGTAAAAGTCTTTAATTGGTGTGGAGAAGGTGAAACTGTTCACAGCAAAACAGAGGTGTCAACAGGGAACAACAACCACAATTCTACACACATGAGATGAGGTAAAGGTGGTTTAGAGATGTTTCTTAGAGTCGATCTTCTGTTTGACTTTTTTTTTTTGGTGAATAACCGGGAGCTAGCTCCCATATTGTATTAAAAAAGTAAAAGCGTCTTACACACGGACATGCCGCGATACTGAGTTTCCACACTCATTATCTCGCAAAACAGAAAGCAAGTCCAAAGGGACTGAATCAAAAGTATGTAAACCCAAAGGTAAAGTAAATGCATAGTTTGCCAATCCATCTGCTAGATGATTGGCTTCCCTATACACGTGAGCAATTCGGACTTCCCAATCCTTCATCAAGAAGCCATGGCACAAGTGTACCAGGGAAGACAGAGGGTGAGTGTCACAGATCCCTGTCTTAATAAAACCAACCACCATCAGAGAATCCACCTCGACTTCAAGTCTCGTTATTCCCTTCTCCCACGCGATGCACAGTCCATAATATAGTCCCCAGAGCTCCGCCATAGGTGCATTACACCTCCCAATGTTTAAAGCGAAGCCACCGATCCATCGGCCATCACCATCTCGCAAGACTCCACCGGCCGCTGCTAAGCCCGGGTTCCCACGCGATGCTCCATCTGTATTCAACTTCGTCCAACTCACTAGTGGTGGCAACCAAGATACCAGTCTCTCTTCATGTACTCCCTCTCTGTCTCCTCCTGGTTTCACCATCGCTTGCTCACTTCTCGTGCATATTCTTTGACGAACTTCACCGTATCACTCCAAAGCTTGTTCATCTTCTGTTTGACTTTGTATGGCTATCATATCCATTTCTCAATTGTTTATCTTTCTCAGGGTCGATGTTCTGTTTGGATTCAGTCAATTAATATTTAAACGTAATATAATTTATGGTTAAATTGGTTCAATGAAACCAGTTTAAATCACTATTATTTTTGGTGAGTTAAATCACTATTTATTTATGGTACACGATATATATATATATTTTTATCTTCTTTTTAAACCAAATAAGATTAATCAAGTTAATCTTTTTTTTATAGAAAGTAAATACTTGCTTTTTTTAAAATGTATTTTTGTATTAAATTAGTCATTTTCTTAATGAGGCTAGTAATAATGATTAACAGATTTCTATTCAACACATTATTTGTTAATACATTTGGCAAACGAGATAAATATACCAGACTTACACGTAGATTCTCAAACCCTTTCTCCTATGGTAACAAACAGTCAAACACCTTAATTTTAACAAAAGAGAAAAATATAACACACTTACTAATAAATGCCATTTTATCTATAAATACTATTTTACTCTCAGACAATATTAATTCACAAAGAAGAAACAACAACAACAAAGAGAAGATAATGACTTTCACAAGACATCACAGTTTCATCGTCATGCTAATCCCATTTCTGATCATTCTTGCAACGACATCATTTGCGTCGGCTGGAGTTTTGCTCTTCTCACCCAAACATGTTACAATTATCAACAAACTCCAAATAAGAGAGGCACTAGTTGTGCATTGCAGAAACAAAGGTGATGATTTGGGGATAATATCACTCGCACCTGGAGCTTTTTCTTTTTCAGATTTCGTGTCAATCTCCGCAAGACAACGGTATACACATGTAGTTTTCAGTATGGTGGCTATACATCGATGTTTGATATTTTTAGAGCTGATCGAGACGATAATATAAAAAGTCAAGCTGGAGCTTGCAGCGAATGCATTTGGGACATTTACGCGTCAGGGCCATGCAGGGAGAGGCGTGATGGTGGTGAACCTAAATGTTTTCAATGGAAATCGACTTAGAAAATTATAAAATATTTGTCGGTCGAAAAAAAAAAAAAATATATATATATATATATATATAAAATATTTGTCGGAACTTTTTATTATGTATTTCATTGTATTAAAATAAATAAATTGTTATAATATAAAGAAATTTGGTGTTCATATCTTTCCATTTTTCGTTTTTTATTTTTAATTTATGCCAGACTTTTTCATTTTTTATTTATATAAAATTATCTTTTTATTTTCCTTTGCTTTGATTTATCGTTTCGGGTGTGATTCTGGATCCTACTAATCAATATATACAAGAAACCAACCAATATATGATAAATATTAATTTCATCCAAAAAAATATTATATCACAAAATCAAATCATGGCTTTATCAATAACAAATTAAAAAAGTGAAGGAGAGATCTACGTCTTCTTTTTTTACCGCAAAAGAGATTTTACTCAATGAGACAATTAATAATAGTTGACCTATTTCTGTTATGCACACTTATTTGTAGATACGTTGCAAGACCAACCAAACATAAACACGATACTATAACGTATATGTAGATTCTTTCCTCCCAAAATAAATCGCCATATTAAGGAAATTAATAAATGTCATTTCATCTATAAATGCTATTTTCTTCCCCGACAAAAATATCATACCAGAAGAACAATAAACAAAAACCATGGCTTTCTCAAGAAATCAAAATTTCATTTTCATGTTAATCCCATTTCTAATCATCCTTGCAACGTCCTCAGTTGCATCTGCGGGTCTTTTGCCCTTCTCATCCAAACATGTTGTAATCACCAACAAACTCATAACAAAAGACACAATAGTTCTGCATTGCACGAACAAAGGTGAAGATAAGGGGGTAGTATCGCTTGAACCCGGAGCTAGTTTTGATTTCAGATTCCGTGTCAACCTCCGCAAGACAACGACATACACTTGTACTTTTACGTGGGCTGGCAAGACATCGACATTTGATATTTTTAGAGCTGATCGAGATGATAACTCAAAGAGTAAAGTTGGAGTTTGCAGCGAATGCATTTGGCTCATTTTCGAGACAGGACCATGCAGGGATAGACGTGATGGAGGTCAACCTTACTGTTTTGCATGGGACTCTTAGAATATTTTAAAATTTCTGTTCTGTCTTTTTATTTTGTATTGCATGGTGTTACAAAATAAATTGTTATAAAATAAAGAAATGTGTGTTCCTATCTTTCTATATTTCGTTTTTTTTTTCTACTTTCTTTCTTGATCGATTCGTCCACTCTCTTTTCCCTCTCTCCCTTTCTTGTGTTGTCTAGCCATATTTAGATCGGTAATTTATTTTTACTGTCGACTAGGTGGTTGAGTAGATGGAATATCAAGTAGATTAACCCGTGGAGTATTAGATGGTGGTGTGGTTCAAACTTGTGCATGTGATAACTTAAATACTCGTGTGGTGGTTGAGTGTTTGTAGGGCTCGATAGAAAGTCGATACGTACTCTAGTTAATGATTTGGACCATGTATGAGTTATAGTTTGGCTCCATCTTTTGGGAAATCCTGAGATCCCATATATATGTATGGATACAATGCCAGTCCTACGATTTTAATAAAAAACCTTAAGCAAATCTAAAAAAAAACATGCATTTTCATATATATATATATATATATATATATATTAATCAAAAATTACAGAAAATGTAACAAAAAAAAATCGCATCAAAATTCAGAAAAGAATCCAACTCTGAACAAAAGATCTCTTTTTTTTAGATAGTTTGTATAAAAATAAAATAAAACTAAAATGTTGAAATATGGATCCATTATAAACCATAGATGTCTCCATCGATAAAAATGCCCATTCAGTTTTTATGTCATTGTTGACCGCAAGTAATTCGTACTCAACTTTAACCTCTATAAAATCTTATTTCATCAATGGTCCAATGGAGACGATACCATAATGGTCAACAATATGTGATATCACCATTTTCTGTGTCATCATCACGAGGCAACTCGTTTAAATCCAACTCCAAAAAGCGTAATTTAATATGCTTCATGGTACTGCTGCTATCATCTCTTTGGCTTGGCTTACGACCTTTTGAGCTGCATACAGAATATGGTTTGGCTCTTAGAAGATGATGATGCTGAATCATAGCTTAAACAGTAGAGCAAGTAAGGTGTTGGAAAACTTACCGGAAAGTAGATTGACGCCACTCCAAATCATGTTTTAGTTCCTGAAACAAAAGTCATGGTGGAGTTCAAAAATTATGATACACATGAAAGATTTTCTGAACAATCTGAAAAAATGTTGCGTACGTATCAAGTTTCTTACTAACCCCATATGTGGATGCCTCAAGTCTCACGGAGACAGCAATCTGCAGCTGAGAGTTCTCCCACAACTAAAAATAGGTAAGATTACTTATCTTGTTACTCATAGTTTGGTCATGACAAAACATAAAAAGTTATGTGAATTCTTAACTAAAAAAAGAGAAACATACCCAAAAGTTATAGTTAAAGCGATCATGTGATGACGTCATATGACATTTCATTCCCTGCACAGACGTAAACTCATTGTAATTTTGCAAGATATAAATGAAATAATTGAAAATATACTGCTTAAAAATGGAAGATATCATTAGAAAAATTAAATATTGATTTGAACATGCAAGTGCCTTACCTCGTGGCTTCCACATCGCATTAAACAAAATGCGCAAGAAAAATCCTCCATAACTGGATTTGATACAAAAATGTATGTATATAATAAATTGTTAATTAGAAGAAACATAGCGATACTGAAAGGAAATAACTAATTAAAGACTAACCTTCAGATTCTAGACATTTGTTGTCGTGATCCATATAGTTGAAAATTACTTCCCCACCTGAATTTTTCCTGAGCAAAATATAAGTGTGACATGAGAAATCAGACTAAAAACAAAATAAAAACCACAAAAAAGATGTTGCTCCAAATAAATTTTAAGTTTAGAAAGGGTTCTCAAAATTTTAGGATTTTAGTGGTAATTATAGAAGACTATCAAAAATAGAATGTGAGTTTTTTTTTGTGAAAATGGTCCTAAATATAATTAAGCACTTCTGGAAACATAAAAAAAATTATAGATTAAAAAAGAGTCATACCTTTTATTTTTCTTCGCTTGGATATTATAGCTTAAACACCTTTGAAGGAAACATGGCTGTATAAACAAAGCACAAATTAAACAAAATAAACTAGAAGATCTGAGGATACACCAAACACACTTGTTTAAGTAAACCATTTTGCGAGTTATAGAAGGTAGTTAAGTAAATTATACAGGAAACTGAAAAAAAAATTGTTACCACAGTTAAGCAAGTGTTTTCGAGTTAAAAATAATAATTAAATATTCTCTTTTCTTATAAACAACATTTTGTTAATGAATAATATAAACATATTTGCTTGAGGAAGAAAAGATGAAAAAAAAAACAAAAAAAAAAGAGAGAGAGAATGCGGTTACGTTGTTGGCTTGTGAAATTTGTACAAAACGGTACAGCGCACCAAGTTTGCAAAACAAGTTCAGACTTTGCTGATCGTTATCATCCATTTCCACTTCTTCCGTGAGGACTTAACACCAATACTCTGCAACGACCATTAACCTTGAATTAGGCTCTAAATCACGACCATAAACATTAATTTCCGGACAATGATTTTTATAAAAAGTTACAGAATCAGAGATATTATATATATATATATATATATACATTTTTAGTCGGATAATGGAAACAACAAGCGGGATGCATATGATCAAAAATCCGTCATTCGTAGAATACAACCATAATTTGAGAGGTTGAACTTTGTATATGTTGAAATGCATATACACGAACTTAAACCTTTTGATTTTACAAGTTACCTTCTATAGGTTTGTATTCTTCTTTGCCGGGAGAAACTTGCACCGTTTGGTGGATTTGAAAAACTATTTAGGTGGAAATAATCTATAGAAATTATATATATATCGAACACAAATCTATAAATTATGAATTTTGTTAACTTTCTGCTCTTGCAACAAAATTAAGAGCAATTTCTGTTGTGTTTCTCAGATCCAGTACTAGAAATGTAGATTCTCTCACATATTAGGTACAAACTTCATTTCCGGTATTGAGCGGCGCGTCTGCGAAATATATCTATATATATATATATATATAGAATACTGAACATGCTTAAAACCCTAAATATATAAGCGATTGGACCTTAATTATCGTTAAAACAGAAATGTGGCCCACTATTAGTCCAATAAAATTATATAAAATAGAGAGTCGGTTCTGGGCCCAAACAGTAGTATTTGGATAATTAAATGTTCGTATTAACTTATAAGAGTATTATCTATTTTTTGAAGCCACCAAACTCTTAGGGCTAATTTTTCAAAATTTAATGAAAGATTACATATGTATTCAGTTATATCTGGTAATTCATGTGTTTTTTGTTTCTTTATTGTAGTGATCACTCGCCAAAAATAAGCAAGTAACAGACAAACTTGTTGGAAAAACATAACGATCAATGTCTCATCTCATCTGCCAAGTGCCCTCACATGTGAATGGTGAGCATGTTTTAAATTTTTGGTTTCCTAAGAAGACAAGATACTATTTCTCATTGCAAGTTATTTAACAATAAAAACTAAAAAAAAAAAAAAACTCTTTGAAAAATCTGCAAATAAGGCCTTAATGCTAAAAGGATATGACTGGAACCCTTGTTTGCTTTGAAATATGTGCTTATCTAAATGATAGTTAGAGCCTACATTAAGTGAAGGCCACTAGCCACAACGAAATTTTTTTTTTTTTTTTTTTTTTTTTTTTTTTGATAATCATGTTAAGATTTCATACCATTTTCGAACGTTTTAGATGTTGCAACACGAACTTATTACAACGAGAAAAAGAAACAGATACAACCCAAACAAGTGCAAAAGAAAAATTCAAGTATTTCTAGAGCTAGACCACAAAAAAACAAGCAAGGGAAAGAGCTAGGTGAGAGCTATCAAGGTGGCCATTTTCAATAATAATTCAAGTATTTCTATAGGCTTCTGAACTTCTTTCATTGCCGCAAACCAGTTCCATATCCCAACGTACCGGTTAGTGGAATCAATCGGTCTAAAGAAACCGAACCTTGAAAGTAGTGTTGTGATCGGAGGATGAGACGAGTGATTCTGAATCTAAGTCTTTGATTAGTGTGGAGAAGGTGACACTGTTCAAAGGAAAACAGAGATGATGAAGAGAGAAATAACAAGTCAGCAAAAGAAGAGAAAGATGAACGAAACAGCTCGTGTTTTCAGTAAAAAAATAAACAATGCAAATAATCAAATTCTACACGCACATGAGACAAAAGCGGTTTAGAACTATATTTAATAATATATAAATTATAATAAAATAGATTAACTTATATTATATTTAAATATAATACAATTTATGGTTAAGATTTAGTACAATAAAACCAGTTTGAATCTATAATGTTAAATTTCTTATAGAAAGTACATACCTTTTTTTGTAAAAATGTATTGTTACATTAGTTAAGTCATTTACTTAATGAGGCCAATAATAATTATCATACACATTTATTTGTGCCAAACGAAATAATTATACCATACTTAACGTAGATTCTCAAACCCTTTCTCCTAAAACAAAACAAATTATTTTAACAAAAAAATAAGAAAAAGAACACCTTATTCAAGTAATTAATAAATATCATTTCATCTATAAATACTATTTTACTCTCCAAAAGTATTAATTCACAAGAAGAAGAAAAAAAGAAGATAATGATTGTCACAAGAAATCACAGTTTGATCATTTTCATACTAATCCCATTTCTAATCAGCCTTGCAATGATGTCATTTGCGTCTGCTGGACGTTTGCTGTTCTCACCCAAACATGTTATAATTATCAACTCACTTGTGACGAGAGCGACACTGACTGTGCATTGCAGGAACAAAGGTGAAGATAAAGGAATGATATCGCTTGCACATAGAGCTAGTTTTGATTTCAGATTCCGTGTCAACCTCCGCAAAACAACGGTCTACACTTGTAGTTTTGCTTGGCCTGGCAATACAGCAACATTTGATATTTTTAGAGCTGATCGAGACGACAATCCGAAAAGTAAAGTTGGAGTTTGCAGCGAATGCATTTGGGTCATTTACGAGACAGCACCATGCAGATATAGACGTAATGGTGGTGAACCTAACTGTTTCCCGTGGGCTTCTTAGATTATTTAAAAATTTATGTAGGAAGGTTTCATTTTTATGATTTTATCTTATATTTTGTAGTGTTACAAAATTAGTTATAATAAAATAAAGATATTTGGTGTTTCAAATTACTGTTACATCATGGAATATATTTATAAAATACAACTTTTCAAAACTACAATCAAACCAAATCCGTTTTAAACTACAACTTTAATTATCCATAATTTACTCGTCCATTCCTATAATACTTTAATGATTGTTTATTTTAAATGTTTAAAATATGTTATACGCTAAACGTACGACATATCACTGGATAGAGTATAGATGTATATGATTTGCTCTTTTGATTTGATTTATGAGGCCGTATTTTGTATATCGTGTGATTTAGTTTCCAAAACCACTAATCAATTATATAAAGGATTTCAAATTCGCACCCAAAATAATACACCTAAATAAGGATAATAATAATTTTCATTTCATCTATATAATTAAATAGCAATATTAGTTTCTTCCAAAAGGACCAAAAAGGTATTATTTATATCGTATCAGAAAAACAAATCAAGGCTAATTAAAATACGTGAACGAGAGATTTTCTTAGTGAGACAATTAATAATAGTTGACCAGTACTTGACCTTGTATTTATATTCTACACACTTATACTTATACATACCATACATAGATATAATTAAATATGTTGATACGTTGCAAGACCAAATAAACATAAACACGATACTATAACGTATATGAAGATTCTCAAATTCTTCCTCCGAAAATAAATCGCCTTATTAAGTTAATTATTAAATGTCATTTCATCTATAAATGCTATTTTCTTCCCCGACAAAAATATCATATCAGAAGAACAATAAACAAAAACCATGGCTTTCTCAAGAAATCAAAATTTCATTTTCATGTTAATCCCATTTCTAATCATCCTTGCAACGTCCTCAGTTGCATCTGCGGGTCTTTTGCCCTTCTCATCCAAACATGTTACAATCATCAACAAACTCATAACAAAAGACACAATAGTTCTGCATTGCACGAACAAAGGTGAAGATAAGGGGGTAGTATCGCTTGCACCTGGAGCTAGTTTTGATTTCAGATTCCGTGTCAACCTCCGCAAAACGACGACATACACTTGTAGTTTTACGTGGGCTGGCAAGACATCGACATTTGATATTTTTAGAGCTGATCGAGATGATAACCCAAATAGTAAAGTTGGAGTTTGCAGCGAATGCATTTGGATCATTTTCGAGACAGGGCCATGCAGGGATAGACGTGATGGAGGTCAACCTTACTGTTTTGCATGGACGTCTTAGAATATTTAAAAATTTATGTTCTATCTTTTTCGTTTTTATTTTTGAATTACAATGTTACTCGTAACGAATAAAAACATTTGGTGTTTAAAATTTTACTATAATTACGTCATTGATATTCCTTCTTCTAATATATATACTAGAGGATATTCCACACCATATGAGATATTAAACTATTACAAGAATTATTGAGTACTAGATTAGGCCCCGCGTATACGCGGGTTTATTTTTTATTTTTATTTTAAATCACGGAAAAATATTAAACAAAATTTGATCAATTTTAAAAATAAGAAAATAATATTAAAAACTCGATAACAAATCTCTAAATGAAGATATGTATTCTTTTATATTTTTATTTTGAATTCATGAAATGAAATAGAAAGGTTTACATGTGTCTAAATCTAATCGGCTCATTATTTTATGAAACTTTGATTATTCCATGATGAAATCTTTATTTTTAATATTTTTTACCTAACAAAACATGGAAAATTAAAATATTTAATATTAGAAGATCATTCCATTATAAAATTTTCCTTTTTAATATTATTTAGTTCCGTAATAATTATTTTGGTAGTTTTCAATTTATATTGTTTCTTTTTCAGTCTCGTTTTTGCCTCTGACCATTATAAATTTTCATTTTCATTTTTTTTTAAATAGGAGTTTATATAACTTATTCCATACAATTTTAGGATATTTAGTTTACATACCTATTTCAAATACTAATAGGAATTTTTATTACATTTTATTATATAAAATTTCGTTTTTATTAACAGATATTAAATTTTTCCCTTTAAAATAAAAAATTCTTTTTTCTGAAGACATGTGTCAGGATCTTAACGGATATAACATTAAAAGTGACACATGTCGCTTTATATACTATATATACTATATAAAATAATAATATATATATATATTATGTTACTAACCTTTTCATCGAGTAGTAGAAGCTCAACTCCCATAAGAATATTATTTTCTTTAGGATTTCTAGCTTCCCACTTTCGAATAACACGTACTATACTATAGTACGGCGAAAATCTCGATTTCGATCCAATTGACCTAGAGTCAAATAATCTCCACTGTTTTCTTGAATTTTCAAAGACATGACTTTTAAATTAGAGAAAGAGAATCAGAGAAATTTGATGAATTTGCTTTGATGAGTTTGTGAATGAGAAAAAGAGACTACTGTAACTTTGTATTTATAGGTGTTCATATAACATATTCCATGCTGCTATAGGATTTTTAGTTTAAGTACATATTCCATGTACTAATAGGATTTAGAAAATTATATGTGTTTGGATAATATAAATTTGTTGAATAGAAAACCTTTTTCTGTTAATATATGACAAATATTATTTTTTCCTTTTTAATATAATAGATTAAATTTCTTTTTTAATATAATAATTAAATTTCGTTTTTTTTAATATAATAGATTAAATTTCGTTTTTTTTTAATTATCCTTTTTCTAGAAATTTTTAAAATTTTACTTTTTCCCTTAATACACGTGTCACGATCTTGACGGATATAACATTAAAAGTGACACATGTCACGATCTATATTTTATAAAAATCCTACGTGTCGCAACCACATCGCGCGCATCCAGCTTTATATAATAAAATATCTAAGATTGCGGCTTATGTATAAATTTAAATTTTAAGATAATTAAACTATGTTAATTTATAAAAGTGAAACAACAGACTAAAAGAGTTTATGTGATCATAAAAGTATTAAGAATCAAATGTATTGATGCAAAATCGTATAAGTGAAAGATGTCAAGGATGATCTACCGTAAAGGAAACATGTAAATTATGTGAAACAAATTATGTAGTTGATCATTTGATATAACTTTGTAAATGGTCATATTTTGTAATTATGTGAAGTAGTAAACAAAAGTTTTGCTTTTTCTGTAGCAAAATAAAATTAGTTTCAAGAAAGAACATGAAATGAAATTACTGATATTCATCCATAATAGTTCTAGTTCTGCTAATAATATTATTTGATCATGTATTTTAACGTTAGCCTTCAAACTTTGAAATAAGTGTAATGGCATCTTGCGAATTACAACAGTTTCTTTTATACATACACTCTCTTATTAGTTATACGTCTCTACGGAACTTAAATCTATATAATTTTGAAAGGGTTTGTGACACTCTCCAAGCTGATGACACATCAACATCTTCAGAGAGTGCCACGTCAGTCCTTTTTTTTATCTCACCGTTTTTTTTTTTGCGTCACGCCAAATCGACGTTGTTTTGTCATTTAATTACTCCTTCTTAGTGCCTCCAAAACGACGTCGCTTTGCTAATAGGTTTAAAAAGCCTTAATTTTTTTTACCCGTCGTTTATTTATTTATTTCCTGAGTCTCAATCGTTCTTCACCCCTTTCATCTTCCTTCGTCTCTCCAGCTGCGGTCCAATCTTTCTCTCCACCGTATACCCGTAATAGACCGAAGAGGAATCTCGTGGTTGCGGAGATTGAGCTCTTTTCCAATGAAAGGTGAGAGGTTATCGTCTCCAGTAAATCTCTCTGTTAATTCTCAGAAGCTGCGGTTGAGGATGACGGTGGTGGTTTCCGGTTAGAACGGAAAATCCGGGGAATCTGCTTCTTAGCGTAACAAATCAAACAGCTCTCTATCACATCAAGGCTCAGATCTCCCGATCTCATCGACACGATCACAGTTATGAATATCGGAAGGCTTAGTTGCGCCAGATCTTCAAACCACAACTCCATATTCGAATCCTTACTCTGCTTCTTTCTACGCACATCCGCTGTTTTCGACGCGGCACCGGGGATGAGCGTGTCTCCAGCTCCTCTACCGCCACCGCCGTCGTTTACAGGCCAACCGAACAGCGAGGGATCGGCTGAGGAAGCTCTGGAGACGATAGAAGCAATACATTGTTCCGTTATACCAAGCGATCCAAGGCGAGACTGACTGACAAGTTTTCAGAGCCTTGATGGATTCTCGCAAGCTCTTGTAGACGGAATGCGATAGAAACCTCCCCATCTTTGAAATGAGGTTATCTGGCGAATACTCTTCCGTCATTATGCTCGGCGGTGCAGCAAAGCGGAACAGTAGTGGAAGCGGAAAGGTCGAACTTAACGCCATAGCAGAACTTTGCTACCATCATGGCCTTTTCCCTTTTTGTCACTCTCTTCTACAGTAACCACCATGGAAGTTTTGGGGACTTTGATTAGGTTCAATGAGTTTGGAGTAGATGGTGGTCCTGCAGATAAAGAGTTGGCTCCAAAGATTGATCTTGCCAAGGCACATCTATCTTCTAGATTAGGTGTAGCTTTACCCAGCGTACTCTAAATGTTTATGTGTACAATGTTTTCTTTTCTCTTGTGCACACTCTCTCTAAATGTATATGTGTCTTTCGATGACATTGGAGAATGATATTTGTTTTATAGGTGAGACCAGTCGTTGTTACTATTATTGCCTTGAAAGGAGCTGGAGGCTTGCTCTTTGTTATCGGAAACATCTTCGGCGCTTATCTTCTGGTTAGGCTTCTTCACATGTTTATAAACTAAGGGTTAGAGATTTATGAATTTGGAATCTCATTTTTTAATCTGTTTTGTTTCAGGCTTTCTACTTGGTGGATGTGAGTCCTATTCTGTATGATTTCTACAACTACGGGCCTGAGGAACGTCATTTCTCTCCTTTGTTGACTGAGTTCTTGCAGGTTTGTTTGTCCACAATTTTTTCTTTTCGATTATCACATAACTTCAAGAATCTGAGGAAGACTGTGTTTGCATTAGGGTCATGACACTACAAGAAACATATTTTTTAGTGTCACTTTTTTTTTAAGTTTAGTATCATTTTTTAAATGATACAAAAATTATTGTATCATTTCAGAAAATGACACTAAGTTTTTTTAGTATCACTTTTACAAATGACACTAAAATTAAACTTTAGTATCACTTGTAAATAAATGATACTAAAATTTAATTCTAATCTCATTTGTAAAAGTGACATGATTTTAGTGTCACTTACACAAATGACACTAATTTTAGTATCATTTGTGTAAGTGTCAAAAAAATCATTTTAGTGTCATTTGTAAAAGTGACACTAAAAATGAGAGTTAGAATTAAAAAAATATATATATAATTCAAGATAAAAGGATTTACAACCTCAAATATACTTGTAGTAATCAAATATACTTATAGTAAAATGAATACAACCTCAAATATACTTGTAGTAAAATGTATAAATGTGTATTTATGTCTTCTTTGTATTCTCTTCTTCAAGCATCTCATACCTGCCAAAATAAAGAGCAAATTGCATCATAAACATCAAATATCTTAGAAGAAATCTCAAACCTATCTTGTCAAACCTCAAACCTCAAACATCAAGTGAAACTTTGTTCAAACCTCAAACCTCAAACCTATCTTATAAGCTGAAACCTCAAACCTCAAACCTATCTTGTCAAACCTCAAACCATCAAGTGAAACTTTGTTCAAACCTCAAACCTCAAACCTCAAATAAATATCTTACACACGATATCACCTCAAACCTCAAACCTATCTTTTCAAACCTTCAAACCATCAAGTGACATATAAACACGATATCACCTCAAACCATCAAGTGAAACTAAGAAAGATTCTCATTACAATGGTTCTCTGATATCACCTCTCTTCACATTTGGGTATCAATAAAAAATGATCAACTTAATTACCTTATGAAATGTATAATTCTGTCTTATCCTGTCACCTTCACGTACTATGACCTGAAAACATAAGGCAACACAGAACAAGAAACTAAAACTACCAACTTGATTCATCATCAAGAATATATGCAACACAGAACAAGAATATATGCAACTTACCTTCTACAGTTGCAATCCGAGCTGAGAAGAGTATTAAGCAATTCATTCATCTTCTCATATTTGTCTTCCAAATCATTCATCTTGTCCAATTTTTTGTGTAGATCACGAACTGTATTTCTCAACCCTATCACTTCTGTTTCATAGGAGGTGGTGCGATTCTTGAAGAAAGATGAAGGCGTCGGACCAAGCCCAACACAACGAACACACCCTGGACGTTCCGAGCCAAAAACCTGAGAAAATGCATCATCTTTACTTGGAATGTTTGATGTGTTTTCTCTAGTGTGAACCATCCTCTCTGTTAACTTTTCATGAAACGTGAATTCCTCAACATTGTCAACTAAACTCACAAAGATGTATAAGATTAATAAGAGATGAAGCAAGCAAAAAGAATCTGACCGATAAGTCACGAGCTTCTTCATTAACATATCCTCCATTAGCTTTTTGGCGTGAGCTCACAAATATTTCTGCACGACTTGGACGTTTACCCGTCTTAAGAAACTGTAAAGTTATTTCAAAATGAATATGAAATGAGAAAACTAACAAGAGCAAACTAAAACGTACAAGAGCAAACCGAAACTTACAACTTCTTTCAAAACTCGAGAAATGCTCTTTTTCCCTAAGGTATGAGGTGTCTTGTAGTGGCTCCTGCTTATCTTGTTTTGCTCTCTTAGATTCTAAAACTCACATATGTAAAAATGTTAGCAACTAAACAGAACTAAACAAAGTCTTGTGAGAGCAGAGATATGTTCTGTATTACCTTAGCTTTCTCACTAAATTGCATATAAACAAAGTCGTGCCACTGTTCTTTGGGAATGAATTCGGGGCGGAGCTGCAAAGTTTCTTCAGGATTATTTCTTCCCAAATGTTCCCAAAGACGAGTTTTCACACTTTTGCACTTCACACTTAAGCTCTTCATCACAAAGTCTTTATAGTTTTTGTTTGAACTATCAAAATAAAACTTAGTCTGCATTTTACAAATGAAGTGAGAAACAATTAGAAGTGATTAAAAGTAGTGAGAGAAACAATCAAAAATTACCTGAATGTAGTCCCAAGCGTCATCCTTTCGCCATTGCTGTACATTCCTCCAATCATCATAGTTTATCGGAAACTTGGTCAGATTAGTACTTAACATGCCAAGCCATGTACCAAATACACCACCACTTCCACCATCAGGTTGATCATGTGGACCAAACTCTAGAATAATTCTTCGTTTTTCCATTCCCCATACATCTTTTGCTGTGAGGCGTTCCTCTGTTACATTTCCAGCGGAATCTGCAAGGAAAATACATTACAAGAGTAAAAAGAGCAGAAGAAGAGTAAAACAAGATAACATTTACTTACCAATAACATTTACCACCCACTTTCCTCGCTCTCGCCCTTGTGTAAATATCTGATGCTCGTTGACATGAGAATTGACGCCATCTTGTGTTTCCTCGACATGAGAATCATCAGTGCCATCCATCTGCATTAGAACAGAGATACAAGAGCAATACGAATCACAATGTAAAGATGAGTCAAGAGAAACTTGATGAGTTTTTGTATTAATGAGTCAAGTCGAGTACAAGAGCAAAACAAAAGCACACAAGAGCAAACAAAAGCACACAAGAGAAAACAAGAGAAATCACAATTCATCAACTAAGTCTTCATGTGGATCATCAACTAATTCTTCATGTCCCATGTCGTATAAATCACGTGGCAATAGGTAACAAGTGACCCATAATCACGTGACAATCATGACTTTTTAGTCCCTGCATTCTACGCTGCCTTAGATCAATACACCTTGAGATATTAGATGAAAAACCATCTGGGAGCCTTGCGCCTTTTAAGATACCAAGAAATGTATCTTTCTCACTAGTTGTTAGCTTGAAAGATGCAGGAAGATACTTCTCGTTGCTATCTGGCCATAATTCAGAACGTATACCCATCTCCTGAAGATCTTTTCTTGCCTTAAGATTGTCTTGACTTTTCTTTGTCATCTAATAATGTGATACAACATTATCAAAGACGTTTTTCTCTATATGCATAACATCTAAGTTATGTCTTAATAGAGCATGTTCCCAATATGGCAGTTCAAAGAATATACTCTTCTTTCTCCATTGCTTTCTTCTACTAGTATCAGAGCTTTTTCCAAAAACAACATCAACGCTTTCTTGTTGTTGCAGAACTATGGAGCCTGTTGGTGTAACTGGAGGATTTCTAAAGTCTTCTTTTCCATCAAAATTTTGCTTATCAAACCGATATATGTGATCTTCCTCAAGAAAGCGCCTATGACCCATGAAACAATACTTTTGTCCATGTTGTAAACGAATTCAGCTGCATCGTAGTTACAAGAAGGACATGCTAAACCCGTGTGAATATTCCAGCCTGACAAATTTCCTAATCCTGGGAAATCACTCAAAGTCACATCAAAGCTGCACGCAAACAGAACATCTCCTTTGTTGAAGCATCAAATGCTTGAACACCATCATCCCATAACTCTTTCAGTTCTTTGATCAAAGGCTGCAAGTAAACGTCAATATCATTCCCAGGCATTTGTTTTCCTGGAATAATCATTGACAATATTGTTGAAGACTGCTTCATTGCTATCCATGGAGGGAGATTGTATGGAAACAAAAGAACTGGCCATATACTATAACTTGTACTCATAGCCCCAAAAGGATTGAATCCATCAGTAGCTAACCCAAGCCTTAACATTTCTGGAATCTGATGCAAAAGTATGAAACTTTTGATCAAATGTTTTCCATGCTTCCCCATCTCTAGGATGTCTTAGCTTTCCATCTTTATGTTCTTCAACTGCATGCCACTTCATACTTTCTGCACTCTTGGATGACATATACAATCTTTGAAGTCGTGGCTTTAGTGGAAAGTAATCTCAAGACCTTAGCAGCTTGTCTTTTCTTCTTTCTTTTCTTTCCCGACACTTCCTCGTTCTCTCCTGCTCTGTGCTTTTACCTTTCCATCTTGATATGTTACAAATCTTGCACACTTCTCGCTCTGAATCTTCTCCCCAAAACAGCATACAATCATTTGGACAAGCATGAATACGCTCATAATCTAGTCCAAGTTTATGAATGGTCTTCTTTAAATCATGAAGTGAAGCAGGCAGCTTGGCATGTTGAAACGCTTCCCTTAGTAGATCAATTATCATTGATAAACCCTTATCACTAATCTTGGTTATACTCTTGATGTGATATAGCTTCAGCATAAAAGATAACTTTGAGAATGAAGTGCATCCCTCGTAAAGTTCTTCATTAGCCTCTGCTAGTAATGCTTCAAACGCTCCTCTTTCATCAGAATGACTTGACTGACCTGCAGCTTCTTCTTCGTTCGATGGCTGATTAGAAGAACCAGCTCCTCATCAACATTCAGGCACAATTTGGGAAGACATCATCTAGTAGATTCATTGTAGTATCTTCATTCAACCTATTACCTATTTCAGGTTGAAATGCACTGAAGTTCCTATTAACTGTTCACCGTGAAAGGTGCCAGTTTTTATAACTAGGCAGAAACCCATAATACATCAAATCTCCTCTAATATCCTCTCTTATCTGTTCTTAACTAAAGAACATCGACAACAAGGACATTTTAACATTGTTGCATCAATGTTAGAAAATGCAAACTCTAAGAAACATTCAACACCCAAACGAGGTTTGCTAATCCATGATCTATCCATATCAACCTAGCATATGTAGTTCGATAACTTAACAAACGAGATTTCATATATAGTTCGATACATTAAAAGTGTGTAAGAGACATACCTGGAATTGCATTTTCAGATTTTGCAGAATTGCTCCCTGAAACGTGATTGAGAGAATTTTTCCTGAAACGTTGTGAGTTTACGAGAACATTGTAAGTTTCAGAGAAACATACATATTCAAAGAGAACGAATCCAACTTAAGCAAAGAGAACAAATGAACGAACCCATCATCAACAATATCCAAACGAAGCAAAGAGAACAAATTCTCAGAGGAATACATATAATTTCTCAAAAGTTATTAAATCCGAATTCGCAGAGGTTAATACACTAAAAGAGGAAGAAGAATCCATATAATTTCTCATAAGCTAATGAATACTATCTCACCAAATTTCTCACTATAGACCCGAAATTATGAAACCCAAAAATCGCAGCAGAAACAAAATCACGAATCATGAACAATCAGACGAGAATCATGAACAATCAGACGAGAATCATGAACAATTAGACGAGAATCATGAACAATTAGACAAATATACTCATCAAGCAAATTTGGAACTCAAAAAAAAAAATGTGAAATCGTAAACTGAAGTATTGAGTTGATTACTGAGAAACCTAAGTACGATTTGATCGGATGAAGATCATAAGATGATCGGAAGAAGATGGGAAGAAGATCGGACGAAGATCTGAGAAGTAACCGTGATTTCCTTGAAGTCGAGCTCGATGCAAAGAGAGATGAGCTTAGAGATTCGATCGGAGGAGGATGAGAAGATTCGGAAGAAGATGGGAAGAAGATCGGACGATTTCAAGCTCAATGCGAAGAAGATCGGAAGATTTCAAGCTCCATCGGAAGTGAGATTTCGAGCTGAGAGAGATGAGATCCGATTTGATTTTCTGGTCTTTTACTGTATACCGACAATTTAATTATTAGTGTCATTTAAATTTTAAATGATATTAATGCCTATGTTTTAGTGTCACTTATCATTTAAGTGATACTAAGATAATGTTTTAGTGTCATTTATAATTTAAATGATATTAGTATCTATGTTTTAGAGTCATTTGCAATTAAATGATGTTATTAGTAATGTTCTAGTATCATTTTATACATGTGATGTTAACTATTCTAATTAATTTTTAAGTTTGTATCATTTGTATCAAATGACACTAAATAAATGACACTAATAATTAGTTATGTTGTAGTGTGATTTGATGTAAAATTCTCTATTTGGTTTTTCTTATTTGCAGAACGTTGCACTGTTTGGAGCATTGCTCTTCTTTAATCGGAATTAGTGACATGATTGACAACGCTCATAGAAACCAACCGGGAGAAGTAAGTTTCCAACTTTCATCTGAACCTATAAATCCAAAATTATTGACTATTTAACTCCGCTATACGGATTATTATTGAAATGAGCTTTTACAGAATTTGAATATATGTATGATTGATGTTTCGTGTAGCGGGAAACGTTGTGCAACGACATAGTGAAGTGAAAAGTACGACAACTTAGGACTCCAAAATTGGGTTCTTCGTGGCAATGGAATATCCTAAAACTCTCTACCTACATAATCTCAACAACTTTAGCTATGAAATCTAATGCTCATACTTACTTACAACTCTGTTTCTTCGCATGGACAACCCAGTCACAAATGTAAAAGGTACATTAAGGGAAATTAAGGCAAATCAATCTAATTGGAAATTTGATTGTATATACATTTACTCATGTAAATAAGATATATATACTTGGCCAGGCTTTTAAAAATATGTTTCATTGAATCTTTTTCTTTTATTTGCAAATAGCAAGTGTTCACTGGAGGAGATGGTGGATTCATTGAAGACGTAAAGTTATTATAGATTATCTTTGTTTATGAGACTAGCTTTTCTTTATATTACAAGAAGAGTTTTGTATGTACGTTAACTGAATAAGTCGCCAACGTCATCACATTATGCATGAATGTACTAGATACATTCAACTTTTTGGAATGTTTGGCTGAAAATTTCTGGATTAAGAGACCTTGTGAAAGCAATATAACAAAAAATTGCTGTTTTAAAAAACTTAGTGAATCACCAAATTTTTAGGTATATATAGTAATTAGACAACTGTAAACAAAAAATATATTTTTTACCAAATGTTTTTAATTTTCAGTTAAACATAGCAAATTTTATAACATGAAACCCGCGCTCAGGCTTTCTACTTGGTGGATGTGAGTCCTATTCTGTATGATTTCTACAACTACGGGGTCATCTCTCTCCATATGACTGACACGTCAGCACAGGGGAGAGATGGCCACGTGGCTTTCTGAGAGGAGTGTCAATCTCATTTATCTTCTCCGCGACTATTTTTGTTTGCTTTTCACCTTTTTCTCTTTCCTCCACCAAATCGCTTCTTCTCCGATCTGAGATCTTACATCCCAAACCAATCCTTCTTGTAGAACATTGCTTGATTCAAGGTAGATTTCCTTTCTTCTTCTCGATTTCCCCAGAATGTAAATCATCCCTTACGCTTATTGATTTCGTCTCGCCTCAGATTTTTATTGTATTCGCGCCTTCGTCGAGAATTCTCCGGCTGAAATGGCGGAATCAACGCAACGGCACCAAACGCCGATACTTTGAGGCTGGTTTTAGACAAGACACTAACGGAGTCTCTCCAAGACAGAAGAATTATCAAAGATCGCAGCGACACTGACGGAAGTTTCAATGCCTTGAAATCGATTGACGAGTCGTTTGGAATCCTGATCGTCTGAGGGAAGCAGAAACGAAGAAGCCGGAATCTGAGATCTCTTCGTCTTCTCCAGTTCGATGCCCAAATTTCCGGACGAGTTTTGGTGCAGCCTCTCGACTGATATCATGAGCGAACATGTACTCATTGCTTCTGAGCAGGTGATTTTCCTCCATTTTTTATTTGCTGATTTTATATATTTCCATGATTTCTTTGGGATTCTTCCTCGATTTTGCTCATAATTATATGTGATATGAATTTGTTGTTAATGGTGGGAAGATGTGGTTTTACACTGAATCGACGATTTATGATTTCAGTGTCTGTGTTGTTTGGAATCAGATGTGATGAGCGATGAAACCCAAATCGAGTTATTGATGTGGAAATGGTTCTGTGTTTAGGCACTTGAAATAAAGACGTTGATTTCCTTTTAGCTGACCAAGTTTCTGACTTACATTCATTCTTTCTATGGATTCCTTTTAGAGATTTTGTCACTGAGTAGTTATGTTTTGGGTTTCTCATGGGATCAGGAGCAAGCAAAGCTCTCGGCTTATCGAGATAGCAGATTTTCAGGAACACAAGAGGAGTTCGACTAGGCGATAAGGACATCTTCGACAGTTTACATTGGGATTTGGGAATGTGTCCTTCTACACAACCGGGGAGCGGATTTACGAGCTTTTCTCAAGAACATGACCATATCAAGGTATGCATGTAGCTACATTATGGTGAGATTTGTTCCATCTTCTCCATTTTTATGTTCAAGGTACATGGTGAGATTTGCATGTAGCTAGACACGAACCAGATTGAAGATCCTGGCTACCGTATAAGGTAAACAAACTCAACAAGAACTTACTCTGTTCTTTTAACCCTGGATTATTATGAAGAAATAACACTCGGGAAACAAAGACTCGGGTTCAAGAATAAACTAAGGAGATGATTAGCAAATTCAGAAATCAGTTTGCCCCCAAAATCATCTTTTCTCAACTTATTGTCCATTGCACACAACCAACCATAGAAAAGGTATATCATCAATTATGCACTTATATATAATAATAATAATAATAATATCTTCTTCTTTTCAATTATTTATGTTGCCCGTGAAGTTGATATCACAAAGGACCAGAGAATGCTATGTCGATGGTGAATGATAGGGTAGATACGACCACAAAACCAGAAATCTGGTAAGCATTTTCAGGTTGAAACAAAAATTTCTTTGCTGATTCACTTCTGGAACATGATTTAAAGAGACATAGTGTCTTCTTGTATCAGATCCTTCGATATGCTTGCTTTGCACATAATTTTTGTAAAAAATAGAAGACACTAATTGAATATACGAGTACAAAGAGATTAAATTACTGTTAGCAGGAAGGATATATGTATGTGTATTTCTGAGATAGTTTGGTGTCAAAGGATCAACTGAACACAAATGTGTGGAGTTTATGACAAAATGATTTGCAGGAAACCTTATCCATTTCGTACTTTCTCTTCCAGCTCTTTATATTCGTAATAACATTTGATGTTGTGATGATCATGCTTACAAGTAAATTATGAATTAGCTTTGTATTTGTTATCTTACGTTTCCCTCTGCATCATCCTACATTTAAGAATCTCAGTTGTACTAAGTTTTAGCTGAGAATAGACATTTGCAAACTATGAACATTCTAATTTACTTTAACGCTTGATGAAGGATCTTTGGGTAATATAATCATTATGCAGGTTTTGACATACACACTACAATAGAGATTATTAAGGTTGTAGTGTGTTATGGGTATTGTTATTTCTCGCAAGAAAACCATGAGAGTCTGTGTTGAAAAGCTTCCAAGAATAAGTGAGGAGATACTAAGAAAAGCTACAGTAGGAACGATGGAGGATTAGCAATGATACAGAAAACGGTAGAGAAGCTTCAAGTGAAACACAAAGACAACATCACTGCTTACGGTGAAGGCAACAAGCGTCGTCTCACTAAGAAGCGTCGTCTCACTAGAAGATGAAAAGAATGAAAGGAGATAGAGAAATAGTGAGAGATAGTAATAAACCGCAAGAGATTTTGTCTAATCAAATTTAAGGTATAATAACTTTTGATTAACTTGATATTTGTGCATATGTAATATTTCTCTGTGTTTAACTTTAAGAAATGATTATTAATATTTAATCTCTTGAAAAGGGCATTATCAATTTAAATTACCTTTTTTTTTATAAAGTTAAAGTGTAGAGTATTCTCCCATCAAAATAAGTTTTAGCCAAACCATAAAATTATGAGATAATAGACCTGAATTTTGATGTTTAAAAATACAATAACAGAAAAACAATTTTTAATAGGTACTAAATTTATGAAATAAGCAGCAAAAAATAAGATTAATTGCCAAATTAATTGACATTTTTAGAAAATAAATTTGCAATGTATCTAGCTATATTAAAGTCAAAACACATTCATATACATTGCAAATACATTTTCTTCAAACGAAAACTAATATGAAAAAGAGGAAATACTATTAAGATTAATTAGTTTGGATTTTAAAAGTACAAAGAAACCAAAAATACTATTAAAATTAATTAGTTTGGATTAAAGAAGTACAAAACCACCGTGTGTACGCGCAGGCTCTAACCTAGTCTGAATAATGATACATTTGACAAGATTGGTGTTAAATTTTTAACCGATCAACTACATCCTACATGTCCTGGCCTATTAGTTGTGATTTTAAAAATCCATTAATAACCGAATCAAGAGAGACAAAAACAGTTAAACTCCATTACCGAATCTATAATCAGTATTCAGTACTCTACAAAAAAAACTTCTAGTTGTACGCGATGGCTAATTTGTTGGAATAATGAATTCACCTTTTTTTAGCTTAACTGAAGCTCCAATCCTTTTTTTTTTATAATATTGAAGCTCCAATCTTTGACGGTGGAAAAGCTAATTATAGTCATTTCAAGAGATATCTCTTTGGTCTAAGTTAACAAAAACATTCTTGAAGTTTTTCTTAGAAACAACATTCGTTTACTAAAATTTAGGCGGTTCCTAATCATTATCCAAAACTAACTAGCCTTGAAACTCATCTCTTATTTACTATATAAACACCAATAACCCCTTCTTCATAATCTCACAGAGCCAATTCCAAATACATTTAAATATATAAATAAATTAATTTGAGCTCCTAACCGGAGTTTTTTTTTTTATAATTTATTTATTTATTTAATCTATTTGGAAGACCAAAATAAAACATTAATATGGGGATGTCTAAAAATCTCAAGGTTGTTCTATCTCTAGTCTTCCTAGTGTTCTTCGCTCTTGCAGCCACTAAGCTTGAGGCAAGAGCCATAGATTATCGTGACCTCTACCGTGGAGATCACGCAAGAGCTTGTGACAAAGCACACCCTGAGACCTGCAAGAAGCAACAAGCTAACCCTTACACGAGAGGATGCGAGAAGACCAACCGTTGCCGTAATGCTCCAGTCCGAAAAGAGTGAATAAACCGACCGAAGAGCATATTTTGCATCTGATTAGTTTTACTACTTACTACGATAATGTTATACAACAGTATTGTGCCAGAGTTCTAATTGGAGCACCACTCTTTGGTTGATTTTCTTACAAATGACGTCCACATATTAATTTTCAAATGGTTAAATACATTCGATTGATATTTATCTTTTTATCATTGGTTTTGTAATTGATTGTAAGCCAATGATTTATGATCATCACATAATATATATACATCAGTTATTTGTTCGCTTATTATTATGAGAGTGGATATTACACTTTTCAAATCAATAAAATATTGTGTATCATACATTGTTTTTTTTTTTGAACAAAGATTTCAATAAAATCATACATTGTGGCACTGTAATTTGTCAAGAATTTGAGGGATGAAGTTCGCATTTTGTCATTCTTTGGATGGAAATAACAAAATGAAAGTTCTCACAGAACAATCTTATATATAATTAGGGAGTTGCTCTCTCCATCTAGAGTGTCCACATCAGCACAAAAACATTAAATTGTATTTAAAATATTTATTAAATATATGACTATTCATATTTCTTTACATTTATTCATATTTAATAAAAATATACAAATAAATTAATTAATTAATAGAAAGTATGTGATAATTTGATGTTAAAAGTTATCAAAAAGTTGGAATATAAAATAGAGATGGAGTAAAGAAATATTTAACTTCAAATAGTATATATTTACTTTTTATTCAAAGGATTTATCCTATTTAAAAATGTTATAATGTGTTTACAAGTTAAAAAGTTGAATATAAATTAATTAAGATAATAGAAAGCTAATGAAAAATTAGAGTTAGAGTTTGTTTTTCTAAACAAATAGAAATGGAGTTTTATATGTAAATTTAATTGTAGTGAAAAACAAGAATATGTTTACAAATTTTAACCTTCAGTCAAAGTCAAATGCATATACATATTTATAAATTTTAACCTTCAATCAAATACATATACATGTTTACAGTCTAATAGAAGTAAAAAAAAAGTAAACAAACATAATATTTATAACATGATAAAATTTTAGAAATAGAAAACTCGAGATAAAGCGGGGTGTTAATATCCTAATAAATTAAAATAAAAAACAAATTATTCATATTTTTTAGTGTTAGTGGTTGAGTTAACTCAAAACATAACAAAAACATGAAAGTTAACACAAAACCATCATAATTCAAATCAACGAGTATAAATAAAATTAAACAGAAAAACTATCGCAAACAACCCCGCGCTTGCGCGGGGCTTCAAACTTAGTATTTCCAATTAGGAAATATCAAACTATAGTGTATTGATGATTATGGCTGACATTAAACGGTCGTCTAAACGTTTAACTTTTTTTTTTATCAGAAGATGTTAGACAAGTACATTAGGGCGCCTCGCTTATAATGAGCTTTAAGAGGCTCGACTAGTTTTTTTTTCTAAATTAGAAAGAATAATACCTTAGACTAGTACAAACCATTTAAATAATTTTATGTTCCAAAAATAGTATCACTAGTTTAGTTTTTCCAAAACTATATTGGATTTTTGTGGTACTGTTGAAAAATAAAACTAATAGTGATAATTTTTGAACATTTTCCAAAAAGAAGTATACACCAAATGAGTTAGTCACAAAAAAACAATGGTGTGGAACCCTAAATTTTAGTAAATTCGTTTACAAAATTTTGGAGTGTTACAAGTTTATAATGTAACTTAACAAGGTCAATTACCTTGAATCGAAACCCTTAATAGTGTTTAGTACATTAAGAGTTTAGAGTTTATTTTTTGAGGGATTAGGAATTAGTTTTCTAGGTTTAAAAATTATTTTTAGTTTTATAGTATTTTTGGGAAAACTCAAATTTTGTGGTATTATTGGAAAATGTTAATAATTTGGAACAAGAATTTATTTTTGTGGTATTCTAAAAATTTGCCAAAACTAAGAATACACTAAAGAGTTTGTTACAAAAAAAAAGTTGTTTGGAACCTACGGGTTTGGCGGGTTCTGAGAGTAAACAAATCAAACCAGCTTAAATGGGTTTTGGTTAAAAGTATTTTGGGCATCCGGACAAATTGGAACTAAATCGAATGAATACATAGTAATATTTAAAAAAATTATCTGTTATATCTAGACTTGAAGTAAGAAAATGTCCACAACTATAATTAGTAAGCTAGATTTAAGCTCAAATATATATATATATATATATTAGTAATGTGTAAACCAATATAGAAGGATAAAAAAAACACCATCTATTTTTTCAAACAAAAAACAGCTTTGTTTACCCAAAAATATGTGGCTCCTAATCACCATCCAAGAATAACCAACTTTAAAATACACTTCTTCTCTACTATATAAACCTAATTAACCTCTTCTTCGTAATCTCACAGAGCCAATTCCAAATACAGATTAAATATATAAATAAAAATTAATTGAACTCCTTACCGGAGTTTCTTTTATATTTTATTTATATATTTAATCTGTTTGGAAGATCAAATAAAACATCAATAACAATATAATAATATGGGGATGTCTAAGAATCTCAAGGTTGTTCTATCTCTCGTTTTCCTAGTGTTCTGGGCTCTTGCAGCCACCACGATTGAGGCAACATATATTGACTACAGAGGCCTTAACTCTGGAGATCATGCAAGGAACTGTGATAAATTACGCCCTTGGACCTGCAAGAAGGACCAGGCCAATGATTACAGGCGAGGATGCACTAAGCAAAACCGTTGCGACCGATCAACCGATGGGATAGTGGGTAGAAACCTATGAATCAACCAACCGAAGAGCATATTTTGCACCAAAATGGTTACCCAATTATAACAATGTTATTATACTCCAACGTTTTGACAGACTTCTGATTGGAGCACTACTCTTGGGCAATTGATACAGATGAGATGATATCCCCATATTTATTAAATATGTTTTATTGTTATTTTAATAACTTATTATTGGCTTTGTAATTGATTCTAATTCAATAAATATTAATATACTTAAGTTATTTTCTACAAACTTTCGAGCCATTTTTTCACTTTTAATATACTCTCGTCATATTATGATTTTTTTTTGGTAAAGGGTTTGCTTGCATTTATATTAGATATTAAAGCTACATAGTAGCAAGTAAAAACTTACAGAGAGGAATTAAGGAGAAAGAAAAGATAACAAAGATCAACCAAAACTATTGGTATGAGTCCACTGTTGGAGAATCGAGTCTGCACGAGAATATCCTAAAAGGGACATAGCTCGACATGTATCCATTGCCGAGCTGAAGATGAGACTGAAGACTTTACCATGAGAGAAGGTAACACCATCATGCAGTCTTCTATTTCGCTCTTTCCAAATTTCATAAATAGCTCCTTGTCAATCCTGAAGCAGAGCAAACCTTTTTGATGCATCAAGAGGAGTAACCTGAAGCCAAGTTAACAACTAACACCATTGCATCGGTACATTATGAACATTAAGGTGAAGTGTTAGCCTTCGCCAAATTTAAATAGAGAAGGAACATTCGAAGAACAAATGATCCCTAGTTTCCAAATCCACGCCACAAAGTAAACAGGTTCCTTCCATATCATAGCCCCAGGCGGACAAGCGATCCAAAGTAGGGTTCCTGTTAAGAAGAAAAAGCCAAGTAGTCGTCTGATGTCGAGCTAAACCAGTCTTATGCCATAGCAAAGACGCCCATGACACCTCTGGCTTAGAGGAGCGGATTTGATTCCACACAGCATTTAGAGAAAAAGATGTCTGAGGTAAACCACATATAAACCAGACAGGACTAGCACTTTGAGAAGAGCAACCAATGGTTAATAGATAAGAAGGAAGTAACACTTGGCGCTCTGTTTGTGTAGGAGGCAAAACCCATCCAGTTCCATTCCAAATGTTGGAAACAGTAGCAGAGAGTGGGATTCCCAAAAGCGAGAGACCATCCTCACCCAAGAAAACGTGGAGAGAGCCAAAAGGGGTACAAGGAGCCCACCAAAAGAAATTAGAGTCTCCACAACCAATTTTAATGTTAAGAAATTGTATGGCTTTTGAATGAAGCTTCAAAATCTTTCTGAACATCCATGAGAAGGAAGGATTCCCATCGTCATATTATGATTTACTGAATTATATCCACACATCATTTACTAAAATTAGTAGTTATATTATGATTTGAAATAAGAAAATGTTCACAACTATAGTTAGTAATATTTAAGGTCAAATTTATATTAGTAATGTTTAAACCGATATAGAAGGATTAAAAAAACACCATCTACTTTTTTTAACAAAAAACCAGCTTTGTTTACCCAAACATATGTGGCTTCTAATCACCATCCAAGAATAACCAACCTTAAAATACACATCTTCTCTACTATATAAACACCATTAACCTCTTCTTCATAATCTCACAGAGCCAATTCCAAAGACAGATTAAATATATAAATAGAAATTAATTGAACTCCTTACCGGAGTTTCTTTTATATTTTTATTTATATATTTAATTTGTTTGGAAGATCAAATAAAACATTAATAACAATATAATAATATGGGGATGTCTAAAAATCTCAAGGTTGTTCTATCTCTCGTTTTCCTAGTGTTCTTGGCTCTTGTAGCCACCACGACTGAGGCAAGAGACCCCAAGTATATTGACTATAGAGGCATTGCCGCTGGAGATCATGCAAGGAATTGTGATAAAGCACGCCCTTGGACCTGCAAGAAGGATGATGCCAATGATTACAGTCGAGGATGCACTAAGGAAAACCGTTGCGACCGAGCAGCTGGGATCGGTAGAAGCCTGTGAATCAACCAAACCAAGAGCATATCTTGCATCAAAATGGTTACCCAACTATTACGATATTATTATACTGCAACGTTTTGACAGACTTCTGATTGGAGCACCACTCTTGGGCAATTGATACAGATGAGATGACATCCCCATATTAACTACATGTGTTTTTATTGTTATTCAATAACTTATTATTGGCTTTGTAATTGATTCTAATTCAATGAATATTAATATACTTAAGTTATTCGCTACAAATTTTCGAGCCATTTTTTCACTTTTACTATGTTACGCCTTTTTATTCAATAACACATTATTGATCATACTTTTTGGCACCATATAAGATGCCCATAATATGGGAAATAGCTTTTAAATTAAAGCTCCGAGAAAGTTGATTATGGCAAAGAGTCATGAAGCTTAGGGCTACCAAGCGAGCGACAAATTCACTTTTTTGCATGGTTGGTGATGGGCTTCTCCTTTCTATATTGTACAGGATACTATTCTTAATTTGACCTCTCGTCATATTATGGTTCACTGAATTATATCCACACATCAGTTACTAATCCCTTACTTTATTCCAAAGTGATCACCTGATTTTTAACTTTTTAAACAGTGGTTATGACATATTAATTGTTACATGTTTGAGCCCAAATCAATTCTTCCAATATGTACATGATTTAATACAACTTAGATTGTCTACACTCGTCACTCTTAAAGGTTGGTGTTGTTTTTGCGATTAGTGATATGGCAAACACAGCCACGTTTGTACTTTGTAAGAATGACACTGAAATAAGATCGCTAGTGAGATCAAAACCTGTTACCACGGTTTTACACGTATCGGTTTGCTATGTGTCAATTGTCATTAAATGTTATCACGACATTACATCATTTATATTAGACATGTATTCTCGTTCGCAGCAATTTTTTCAACAGATTAGTATTCGTTATAGACTTCAACCCATAAAGTTGTATATGTAGCGACGTATAGTACCATGTGCATAGTTATAATTTATAAACTTATAACAATATTTTGATTTTTTTTTTTTTTTTGATAAAAAATTAGGTTACGAACCGGTATAGACGGAGGTTTATCTATATAGAAATTGGTAGGCATGCTATAATGCAATATTAATAGTTGAGTGTTCACAACTCCACATTGCATTGAAAAAGAAGAATGCTATAAGTATAACACAGTTTTACATGACATGTGTTGCCAAAATATCTAAAATACTTGATTTAATTTGTCAACTAAATGAGTTTTTTGGAAGTTACGAGTTAAATTTTTTAACAAAAAAAAGTTCCGAGTTAATTTGATACGGAAAGAGCCATGTGAATACGGCTTAAACCATCGGGAAGAGAACGAAAATGAAAGGAAGACATGAGGGGAAGTAATGATTGATACAAATTAATAATATAAGAATGGTTTAATTTATATAACATCACGTGAAAGTAATGAAAGTAATGGACCTCACGTGAAAGTAATGAAAGTAATGGACCTTTTCCTACGGGCCTAACTGGTGTATTGAAGATTTGCAGAATGTAGAAGAATACAGCTGAATACTATTTATAGTTACCAGTTATCATTTGTGTAATTCAGCTGAATTTAAGTAAAAGACAAAATCTGAGGAATTTTATTTCTTTTTCAATAATTAAATATTTGACATAAAAAACAAAACTATACAGTTTTTTATTTTCCTTGTAGATAAAATTGAGCAAATCAATGTCTATAATTGAAAAAAGACAAATCAAAAAACAATAAATAAAGTTCACGGCTGTATTTTAACATTTGCTATAAAGAGGTGCATCTTATTGCACATTCAAGAAATCATCACCCTTTCATTTACCCAGAAAAAACTAGTTCCTTAAGAAAAAAAAGTGATCCAAACGTCCGAAGAAGAAAAAGCACACAAGAAAACCAAAATCAAGTAAGTACACATTTTTTTGTTGATACTCGTTCATTCTTTACAATAATATTTTATCAAGCTGAATTTTAGTTTTATATTAATGTACTGAAAAGCTTGTAATAAAAAAAGGAGCGATAACATTGAAACAAAATTTTATTCAGAAGAAATTTTTATAAATACTACAAAAAATTAAAGAATTTAGACAAATAGCATCCTTTTAGTTTTTTTTATATTAAAAGTTTTATACATATATATCTTATCATGAAAAATCGCAAATCTCAAAGATTAATGATTATATATTTGTTCTTAATATTACTAAAACACTAGGTTTTAAAATTTTGAAAACATAAGTTACTTTTATATTATATATAATCTGTAGAATATTAAACCAAATCACTTATTTATTTATGCTTAAATGCTTTGACTATGATAAAATATTATTGTTTTGTTTAAATAGATTTTATTTTGATTTAATAAGGTTCATCATATATTTTTACAATATAATAAAAACATGTGAATTTACCATTTTCACATTTAGATATATTATAAATCAAATTTCTGAACTAACGTTTTTACTTTTAATATTTGTTTATTTATCAGAATTGAAAATGAGCGGTGCAGGAAATGCTGGTAGTGGACCGTCAAACCAAAACAATACGGTATAAATATAATTTGATTTAGTTTTCATATTTACTTACAAGGAATTAATTTAACAATTTCTGTTATTTATAATTGTAGACTTTTTCTAGATGGTTGCCAAGAATGAATTGCTTATTTATTGAATTACTAGATGAAGAACTACAAAAAATAAACTATGTCTCGACTTTACCATATAGAGATGGTAAAAATAATATAGTCAGGAAGTTCCGTGAACAGACAGGCTATACAATTGATTGGGAGAAGTGTAAACAAAAACATGACGATTTAAAAAAATTGTACACGGTGTATCAAAGACTTGTTGTTCGTACTGGTACAAACATTGAACGAGAAACCGGAAAAATAACCATGGATGAAAAATGGTGGGAAGATAGAAAAAAGGTATAATTATTAATTTTCCTATTTATTGTATTTAAATTAACTTAAATTTAAATCATTGTTTGAAAAATATTAAAAATTTTATTGAATGTAGGATACGGAAGGAGCATCAAGATTAAAAAAAAATCCTCTGCCATGCATAGACTTGATGCACAAAGTGTTTGGTCCTCATTGTGTTGTGAATGACTATATGGTTTCAGCAAGCCAAATAGATGAAATAGTTGAAAGCGATAATGATGAAGAAGAACAAGAGTCCGGAGAAGATGATGATGATAATAATGAAGAAGGCTTCACTTATGGTGTACCGGAATCGCAACCACAACAACCAATGGAAAATCACTCATCAGTGCCGATTGAGATACCTACACATAACCGACGATCTAGGCAACATGGTAACAGAGGTGGTAGAACTACTAATAGAGGACGAAACCAATCCAGCCGACAGACAACACAAATTCCACGAAGAAGAGCTGTTATGGACACACATCTAACAAATATTGAGTCATATCTTGCAACTATGCAAACTCCAATCCAGATGCTCAATGCACGTAGCCAAGCGAATGAAGATTATGAGCGTGAATCATGGTTGCAACTAAATGAATTACAAGGCATAGAAAAATTTACAGATTTTTGGTGGGCATCATCGGAGATTTTAAGAGACCCGTTCGAGCAAAAGAGGTTTGTGCTGCTAAAAAATAATGAAGAGAGAATTCGTTTTCTCGAAGGGGTGACAGGTTATGATCGAAGTGGCACTTTTCGGGGTAGTCCATGGAAACGTCAGCTTAGTGGTTCTAGCGGGCCAAGTAGTAGAGGATCATTTGGTAGTGGATCTGGTTCTCCTGGCGTAGGAGGGTTTTCACAATTCAATAATGCTGGAAATTTCAACATCGGAGGAACTTCAAATTTTGGTGGTGATGGTACTTCAAATTTGGGAGGGTTTTCACAATTTGTAAGTTCCGGTTCACCGAACCAATTCAGAAGAAGACAAGGATTTCAAGTTCCAAACTCTAACCCACAGTTTGATGAGTCCTCAAATCCAAGAGTTAGCTCTGATGAAGGTTTTGCATATAGACCTGCGTCTGCATCCGAGTTACTTGATCGTTTTAATTTGTCTGATTTCAATCGCACAATTGGAAACAATGATAATGATGGAGACAACTAGTTAAAATAGTCTTTTAATTTTAAAAATGTTTAATATGTATTAAATATAATTTTTTATTCAGCTGATACTAGTTTCTTGATGTTTTAAGTGTTAATTAATGAATTATTATTTATCTTCAGGTTTCTCGCATTATCGAGTTATATTCACGTGGATTACATAACCTCACGGACGATGAGCTACTTGAACTTATTTTTCTGGAGCACATGGATGTCATGGAAGCACTCTTCAGGCCTGTGATAGATTACTACAAAATGTATTATAATCGACAACCAATGGGAGCTGAATGGGGTTTAGGATGGAGCAACATAAAAACAAGAATTTATAACTATCCAAGAGATTGCTTACATCTTTTGAGGATGCGTATAGAGGTCTTTACACGTCTATGTGAGACATTGCACACAGATTTTGGAGTGAGAAACACAAAAAACATATCGGTAGAAGAAACAGTGGCAATGTTTCTTGTTATATGTGGTCATAACATGACACAACACTCGGTTGGGCTCTTATTTGGACGCGCACAAGAAACAGTTGGACGCAAATTTCAAGAATGTCTTAAAGCATGCAGAAAACTATCTGGTAGATTACTTAAGAAGCAGTCTCCTGAGCAGCTCCGACAAGTACCTCGAGGTTTACGAGATAATACTCAATATTGGCCTTATTTTAATGGTTTTATTGGAGCAATGGATGGCACTCATTGTACGGTTATGGTAGCTGGTGGCGAGGCAGCTCGATTTTATAACAGGCATTCACAAACAAGCATTAATGTTTTGGCGATATGCAACTATGATATGTTATTCACTTACATATTTGTAGGATGTCCTGGATCCGTACATGACGCTAGAGTTTTGTCTTATGCAATGGAGCGTGATTCAACTTTTCCAATTCCTCCGCCATCCAAGTATTATCTCGTAGATTCCGGTTACGCTAATACAAGAGGATATTTAGCTCCATTTAGAGGTCATAGGTATCATTTGCCACATTTTCAAGTTGGCTCCCCACCGAGAGGTGAAGAAGAGTTGTTTAATCGGTGGCATTCTTCACTCCGCTCAGTGATTGAACGAACATTTGGAGTTTGGAAGAAAAAATGGAGGATTTTATCAGAGTTTCCCAGATATGGGGTCGAAATTCAAAACAATATTATCATAAGCACAGCTGGATTGCATAACTTCATTCGTCTTTCTCAAATTCAAGATTTTGATTTTGATGATGCGTATATTGACGCAATACCACGAGAACAGTTTAATAGTAATGGAGAAGGTGAAGAAGGCGAAGAAGGTGGAGAAGGCGAAGAAGTAATTTTTTTGCAAGAACAAGAGGAAACAACAGATGGTGTCTATATGCAAACAATACGAGAAGGAATAAAACAACAAATATGGGATGCTTTTCATTAATGAATTGTTAATATAAAAAATGTATGTTTTAAATTTAAATGAGTTAAATTTTGATGTTTAATAAATTATTGTGAATAAAAAATTCTTAAATTAAAATATTTTGATATAACTATTATTTAGCTATTTCATAAATATATATTTTCTTCATAATTGGGGAACTCTCGAATACCACTGAAAAATAAAATTATTTCACTATAATATATATTTAATTTGATATAAATTTTTAAATTATAACAATAAAATTCATGTAAGAAGAACAAAAAACAACATGTGGTACTATGTGAAAATTAAAAGATGATTTTTATTAATAAAATTGATAATATAAAAAAAAATCTTTCTAAATGATTATTTTTATTTTTGTTTTAACTTTTGATTAATAAATTATTATCGATCCAAATTCCTAAATTTTAAAAGTTTTAAATAATTTTTTTATTATTCTATTATTTAGATATTTCATAATAATAAGTTTTAAAATTCATTTGATGTTACAAAAATTATTTATAATCATGATTTCTAAATCATATATATTTTAAATTATTTAATTGATTTAATTATTATTTAGTTATTTTATCACTATATGTTTTATATTTATTTTTTTAACTTAATTTGGTGAATTTTTTGTTATTTGTTATACAAATAATTTGTTAAATATTTATTCTTCATTCAACAACATTCCGCATTCAGCAACATTCAGCTGTTACCATTCATATTACTAATTAATCAGCCAGATTCTGCAACAATTCCAATTTAATTCCGCTGGATTCCGCATTCAGCAACATTCAGCGGTTACCATTTAGACCCTATACCTTTAGAAGTAATTAACAAACACATATAATTACTCTAAATAAATTAATGGCGCAACATGTTTGACAAAATGTTAAAACCTTAAATGCTTACCAAATGATAAAATACTCCACCACAATCTTAAGTCCGACGACATGTAGTTATCAAATCTCTTTGACGAACCCAATAGTCAACATTATTTTTCTTTTGTATGATTAAGTAACACCTAGACTTTTTTTCTTTTTGTCTTTGGCATCGATCACCTCGACCGTTAAAAATAATTAATTATTCGGTAGCACGACCGTTACCACGTTATAAAAAATACTGGTTGGTTGAATCTGAAGATATATACTATCTTTAGCTTTCGGCTCAGTCAAATAAAAAGAGGTAAAATTTATAGATAATTCTTTGAGTTAAATAAGAATTCGAGATTCAGTTATTTTAATGGTAGCTTTTCCGTAAATAAACAAGTAAAAAAAATATAAAAACGTCGAGGAAAAAGAATAAAATAAATAAATAATAATTCACAACAATACACGGGATGTTTTTGAAAAGTCATACGTATCAATTGTTTCAAAGTCAAAGACTTTGAACTTTTCAAGATACGCCTACTCGCCGGTCGTCTTCTTGCACCTTCGTCTCTCTCTGTTTATATAAAGACATACGAACACATTATTCATGATTGCAAATATACAAAAAACTAAAAAAAAAAAAAATTAGAAGAGGACAAACGAAGGAAATAATATAAAAACACAGATAAAACTATTCATTTTGTTTTTATCAAAAAATAAAACTATTCATTTTGTACGTAGTATATAGTATTTATAGGAGAGAACAAATCCAAACGAAACACTCTTTCTTTGGGCTTGTTCTGTGAGCTCTAATGGCGGATAAGGTGGACGAAAAGACTCTACAGCAGACTGCGACGTGGGCCGTCGCGGTGGTTTGCGTATTCTTGCTTGTAATTTCTATTGTCATCGAAAAGCTACTTCACAAAATTGGATCCGTAAGTGCCTTTTTACCTTCTTGATCCTCTGTTTTCTTCATCTTGCTCTGTTTCTGAATCTGTTTAGTTCTTCTTAATCATCCAAAAAAAAAAAAACTCAAACTTTATCACACAAACTAAAATTAATTTATGTGTATTGGTTGGTTTCATTGTGCTGCTCCGTTTCTGATACTAAAACAAAAACTGAAATAAATGCTCTGTTTTTTTTTTTCAAGGTAATGCTCTGTTTCTGTTTTCTGATACTAAAACAAAACTGAACATGAATGCTCTGTTTTTTTTCTTGTCTTTTCTTTTGACAGTGGCTAAAAAGGAAGAACAAGAAAGCTCTTTATGAAGCTCTTGAAAAGGTCAAAGCAGGTAAAAAAAAATCACTATAAATTTTTTCCCGCCTAAAAAAAGCAGTTAACTAAGGTTTAAGGAGACTAATCTTGTTTATTAATTACATTGCAGAGCTTATGCTGATGGGATTCCTATCACTACTGCTAACAATTGGACAAAAGTACATAGCACAAATTTGCATCCCAAAGAGCATTGCAGAATCAATGCGCCCTTGCAGTGCAGCAGAATTGGCCAAATTTTACCCTCCTAAAGGTAAGAGCAAGGAAGGAGGAGGAGAAGAAGAAGAAGAAAACACAACTCGAAAGCTTCTGGAGTTAGCTGAAACTTTCATTCCTCGAAGGAGCTTAGCTAAAGGTTATGACAAGTGCGCAGATAAGGTAAAAACATTTCTCTCTAGCATTCAAGAAAATCTTTCCCTGTTAAAAGATCCATCATTTAATCATTTGTGTTCCTTCACAGGGACAAGTCGCTTTTGTATCGGCTTATGGGATGCATCAGCTTCACATATTCATCTTTGTGCTTGCGGTTACTCATGTCCTCTACTGCATTGTTATCTATGTTTTGGGGAATACCAAGGTAAAGACTGGATCTTTCTATCTAAAGATTGGATCTTTTTTAGTTAAAGATTGGATCTTTTTAGCTAAAGATTGGATTTTTGCTTTTTCTTTTTGTTATTTTAGATGAGAATTTGGAAGAAGTGGGAAGAGGAGACAAAGACAATTGAATATCAGTATTCTCATGGTATATATATCAAATTTACAAACTTTTGGATGGAAAATAGATGAGTTTTCGATATTGAGTGGTGTTTTTTTTGTGTGAATGATGCAGATCCTGAGAGGTTTAGGTTTGCGAGGGACACATCTTTTGGGCGTAGACATTTGAATTTCTGGAGCAAATCGACTATTACGTTGTGGATTGTATCTTTCTTCAGACAGTTCTTTGGTTCTGTAACCAAAGTTGATTACTTAACACTGAGACATGGTTTCATCATGGTAAGAAAAACAGAACACAATCTTTTCATCTTTAAAAACTTTTCTTATCTTTCATCTCACGACATTGCACATATGCTTCTTCTTCTTCTTCAGGCTCATTTGGCTCCCGGGAGTGATGCAAGATTCGATTTCCGTAAGTATATTCAGAGATCATTAGAGGAAGACTTCAAAACCATTGTTGAGATCAGGTTTGAGAGAACTTATAACAGTTTTTTTAACAAACTTAATCACTTCACTACTTACTTCTTAGTCTGAATGTTTCAATTGCTTATATCTCTCCAGTCCAGTGATCTGGTTCCTCGCTGTGCTCTTCCTCCTTACCAACACAAACGGTACACTCATCGATTATCTCTTAAAAGCCCTAACAAAAATCCAAAACCCTAAAACATTTTGCTCTGCTTTTCTTATGAAACAGGATTGCATTCATTCCTCTGGCAACCATTCATTCCTTTCGTCGTAAGCAACAACAAAAACTTCAAAAAGAACCCTTTTTTGTTTTGGTTTTGGTTTCATCTCTCTAACAAGAATGTACAAACAAAAAATGCAGGTGATTCTTATCGTTGGCACAAAACTTCAAGTGATAATAACAAAACTAGGACTTCTAATCCAAGAGAAAGGAGACGTAGTGAAAGGCATGCCTCTTGTGCAGCCCGGTGATCATCTCTTCTGGTTCGGTCGTCCTCGCTTCATCCTCTTCCTCATTCACTTAGTCCTCTTCACGGTAACATATCATCCTTACTTTCTTGATTTCTTGTGTTACAAGTTTCCTGATAAAAAAAAAACCCTTTTCGCCATTTTCAGAACGCATTTCAGCTAGCTTTCTTCGCTTGGAGTACGGTAAGCGAAACGATTCAGCTGACATTTGAAGTAAATACACCAAATCAATCATCATTCACTGAAATCACATTTTTGATATTTCTGCAGTATGAGTTCAAGCTCAAGAACTGTTTCCACAAAAGCAATGTAGATGTTATCATCAGAATCTCAGTAGGGTAAGTAAAAGCTTTAACCTTTATGATCCAATCATTAAAAAAACAGAGCAATCATCAAAACTAACAAAGTCTCAACCTTTTTCTTAAATTAAAAGCTTTCACCTTTATGATCTAAAATCATTAAAAACAGAGCAATCATCAAAACTAACAAAGTCTCAACCTTTTTTCTTTCTTCTTTCTCTTCTTCAATCTTGCAGAGTCATCGTACAGATTCTCTGCAGCTACGTTACTCTTCCTCTCTACGCTCTCGTTACTCAGGTAAAGACTCACACATGATAAAAGCAGAGGACGAGATAAAGCAGAGGACTTTTGAGTTTCAAATTCTGAAAGTTTTGATTTTTGGTTTGTGTGTAGATGGGATCGAAGATGAAACCTACAGTGTTCAACGAGAAAGTAGCAACAGCGTTAAAGAGTTGGCACCACACAGCTAAGAAGCAGATGAAACACGGAAGAAACTCGGAATCGACGACGCCTTTCTCTAGCAGACCAACGACGCCGACGCACGGATCTTCTCCGATTCATCTCCTCCGGAACCACAAACGGAGCAGAAGCGCCGACGAGAGCTTCGCGAACTCGCTGTCTCCGAGTCCGAGGAGGAACTCCGATTTCGATTCGTGGGATCCTGAGTCTCAACACGAAGCTTCTTCTTCAACGAATCCTCATCATCAATCTAGGTTTAGAGAAGAAGACGAATCGGAGAAGAAGCCTTCTTCATCGTCTGTTGACCTTCCTCCGATAAGAACACAGCAGCATGAGATTGCTTTAAGCTTGAGGGATTTTTCGTTTAAGCGATGATTTTATATTTATTTTTATTTCTTAATTGATTATTAGTGATTTGTTAATATGCATATACGGAAACAGTTCTTGTATATTTCAGCATTACACATATTTATTTGTATAAAAAAATCTCTGCTTTTATACATGTTTTCTTCTCAATTTCGCTTTTTTTTTGGTTGCCACTTTTCTCTGGAACCATAATTTCTGAATGTGAAAGAACCACAAATATTTAAGAACAAATGTTTGAAAATGTATGTAACGAAATGAAGATAGAGTCGGTGTTTTGATGTTATCAACGTTACAAAGTTGGATCCTTTAAAGCAGAACATATATACACTTTGGATTCAACAAACTCAACCAGGCATGGATCGATTCTTAACGCCCTTGGATCACAGATAGTGTCGTCTCGTTCATAGTGATCAAATCATTAGCCAAGGATCTGTGGTCACCTCTAGCTTGCAGTGCAAATATGGGTTGTTTTGGCGGTGGAAGATCTGTTGTTGTGGTGAGCATAGACAGCAACTCAAGTGTGTTGGGTCTCTCCTCAGGTTGTTGTTGAACACAGAGCAGACCAATCTGAACACATCTCCCAACTTCTAATGGCTGACTTGAATCAGCAAGATCTTGGTCCAAAAGATTAACTCCTCCGTTTTCACCAAGATTCCCACGCCTGAGTATAAAAAGCAAGAAACGTTTTGAAAATGCATAGTGAAGTCAAATACAAGATTTTAGGGTGTGAATGCCTAAAGTGTTACTTACATATGCAAGAAGGGTTTTTCCCTCTTCGCCATAGATGAACCTTGAGATCTTCTCTCCGCTGATGATTTCTAAGAGAAGAACTCCGAAGCTGTAGATGTCTGATTTCTCAGAGAACATCCCTGTCCATGCATACTCTGGAGACATATATCCTCTGTGCAAACTTCAAATAGTTAATATATGAATATGACTAATGAGAGTCTTGTTAAGCATATGGAATACTAATTCTTACATAGTTCCTACAACTCTGTGGGTGTTTTCTTGATTTTGTGTTCCCTGGAACATCCGAGCCAATCCAAAATCTGATATTTTAGGATTCATGTTCTCATCCAGAAGAATATTGCTGACCTTGAGATCTCGGTGAATGACCTTGAGGCGTGAGTCATGGTGGAGGTAGAGAAGTCCACGTGCAATACCTTGAATGATATCAAATCTCTTTGGCCAATCTATCTCAAGCCTTTTTCTTGAATCTACAAAAATGAAAACTTTCAGATAAGTGCTTATAGAAAAGGAAGTGAGGAAAGAAGTGACCTACCAAAGACAAAAGTGTCAAGGCTTTTGTTGTCCATAAACTCATAAATCAATAGCTTCTCTTCTCCTTCAATGCAGCATCCCAAAAGCCGGACTAAGTTTCTGTGTTGGAGTTTTGAGATGAGTACTATTTCATTCATGAACTCCTCTGTCCCCTGTCCGGAGCTGCTACAAAGACGTTTTACAGCAATCTCTTTCCCATCTTGCAGCTTCCCCTGAAGACAGATTGCAGAATGTCATCTCAAGAGAATAAAGAGAGAATATAAAAGATCAAAGAGGATACAAATTCTCTGACCTTGTAAACTGAACCAAATCCACCTTGTCCGAGTTTGTTTGAGAGACTGAAATTATTGGTGGCGACTTCAATGGTATTCATCTCAAAGAAATCTAAACCTGAGACATCTTTTCCTTTAAGACCATTCCTCCATGCATCTTGTGAAAGCGACTTTTGATTTAATAGCTGAAATTAGAGATTCAAGAATTCATATGTTATTTGCTTAACATCTAGTAATTTAGCCATCAAGCTATAAAGATCAAATGGATAAGCGTCAAGTGAGCATATTAAAATTTTCCCAAGCAAAATCAAAACTAAGGTAATACAATGTGATTTTCAAAACCAAGATATCCGAGTGAGTCCATTTACTGTGTAGGTTTGATGTATAGAGATGAAAGTCATGTGTTAAACAAGCAGAAAAATAGAATTACAACAAGAGATTGATACAGAAATAGTAAGATCATCAGTGTAGTACCATTGCGTTTTACTCTGTATCTCCATAAACAAAACGCAGCAGAACCTAGCAATATCACAAAAACGAACAGGCTCACAACACTAGCAGCAATGGTCTTATGACGCTTAGTTACACCTGAGATCAATAAGACAAAAACAAATTTAAAATTACAAGCAGAAATACAAGATAATGTTGTAAATGACCTCTTTGATGTAATCTTTCTCAAGCCATACCAAGTTCTGAATGTGCAAGACGAATGGAAAGAAGGTCTCCTCCCTTAGAAAACTGCACTGCGTCCATTAGGTCCTGGTTCCACATTAAGCAGCCTATTTCATTAATATAAGCAAAGGCCAGGCAAGAACAATTGTGGAGGCAACTTTGGTAGCATTCTTCAGCATCCATAGACGTTTGCATCTTTGCCAGTAGAGTTTCCCTGACATAGCAAATCAGTATGTCTCACACAACCATCACTCCAGTTTCCTCTTTTCCACTTCTCAACGTGTTTTGGTACAAACCCTTTGAAGCATTTACACTTTGGTGATGATGCTGACGTGACACACAAGCCAAACGGTCCACACACACCGTAATGATCACATGGGTTAGCCGGAGCCTCAAATAACAATCCCCATTCAGTCCCATCATGCTGAGATATCTTCACTGATCCTTCTGATGTTAACATTATAGGTGTAACTGTGACGTTTCTGTCTAAATAACAGAACTTTCCTAATCCGTCTGCATCCTGCTCAAGGCTGAATGGGCTTGCATATGTTTCATCCATAACCGGTACTCCGCTGAACTTAATCTTAGCCCAAGGACCGCTTCTCCAGTAAGGCATCAAGCCTCGCATGATAAACATCTGTGATGGCACTTGAGGTGTAATCTGAAGCACAAAGTCGCCAGGCGATGGATCAGTGTAACTTGTCCAAGAAGTCAACGCACGCCTCTCATTAGCGTTGAGGTTATACATGAGACATGAGTAAGGGAGCATAGTATCACCAAGATGGTCAAAGCTTTGCCATAGAGTTCTTCCTGAGAGGTTGTCTATGACAATAAGATTTCCGGTGTCTAAAAGCTCTGCTCGAGACCCGCTTGAATCAGAAGTCTTTCCAATGGACCAGACAACACCATGTCTTCCATCAAGTAAGAGAAGACTTCCATTGCTGCTGATGGTGAGTTTTGCTGTGGAGTCTGTGACAGGGCTTTCTCTGTTGGCCACCCACACAACCACCCGGGGAATGATACCCTTGAACCAGATTCCGACATAGAGATTCTGGGAGTTATTAGGACTGAAGAACCCCAATTCATAAATCTCATTAGGGGAGGTGAGAGTTTGTCCTATTGACAAAGGACTTGTTGGTGTTATAGCCGCATAGCTTAAACTTAAGAGCATGGTAAACAAGAACAAGTAAGCAAACCTTGTCATCACCATGTGCCTTCTTGTGTCTCCAAGAACGATCTCCTTCAGATTATTGCAAGAAGGGAACATGTAAACAGGAGAAAGAGTAAGCCAAGAAAACAAACTCTACGACTTGATGAGAATTATTCTCAAGCACCTCTGAACAATGTTGACCACAGATTCTGCATTAGTTTAGTTTACAATCACCTATATTAGTCATTGTTTTATAATATTACCAAATAAGTATTGTATTTGACATTATATTGATAGTGCAACAACGGCTGACGTTGTATTGAAATTGTTTTGTGTCATTTTCAGGTTCTTGTTAACTCGTTGACCCCACAAACAACGAAAACAAACCTTTTTTTTCTCCATTTTATGAGTTCAAGCTCTGTTTCCACCAAAGCACTGTATATGTTGAAATCAGGATTTCAGTAGGGTAAGTAAAGCTTTAACCTTTATGATCCAATCACAGAAACAGAGAACCATATCTTAAAAACTAACAAAGTCACAAGCTTTTCTTTCTTCTTTCTCTAATCAATTTTTGCAGAGTTATTGAACAGACCCTTTGCACTTTTGGGGTTTCGTTCACTTCTCTTTGAGACTCAAGAGCATGAAAACCTAATTTCTCAATGTAAATGCCTGTTGTTCTGGATTTAGGATTGGCCAGTTCTCTCTGAGACGATGTAGAGCCTCTATTTTATATAAACTTCAGGAGGTGACTGTTGTTGATAATTACAGGTTGTTCACTCTTGATTTGTTTGCCATCACTGTGTTTGAGAATTTGTGAAAGCCTGCGAAGTGTTTGATAAAATGTCTTAGTGAGGCTTGGTTTCATAAAAAACTGTGATTTTGGGGTGTAGTCATAGATTGGATTGGCGAGGTTTTATCATTTAGACATGGTTTGTAGAGAATGTTCAAGTAGATTCTGAAGCCTGGTTTTTATCAGTATAGGTTCTGTTTTGTCCTCTGTCTTTGGTTTGAGATCTTTGAATATTGACAAAGAGATTATGATCTCTTGTGAATGCCTCCAGTGATTTGGTTGAAATGCATTCAAAATGTGGAGTTTCTGAATATTGTTTGATAGCTCTTTGATGAAATGCTGTGAATGCTTGTGCTTATGTAGGTTTACAGGACCCTTGTATCTTGGAACACAATGATAGAAGAAAAGGGTCAGACTGTGAAAGGTGTGTGGTACAATTTTCTCATATTTTAATATCAGAGTTAAAATATTATCAGATGCTTATTTTTCATTGGTGGCTGACGAATTAAAAATGGCCTGAAAATGACACAATGTTTTCAATATGAGGTCAACTGTTGCATGGTTGATTGGGTAAATAGTTTGGAATTCTAAGATTCAATTCAAGCTTGTAGATCATATAAAACAAAGACTGTTGCACATATAAAATGTTGTACTGGTCAAGTCAATAAACCCTTCATTTTTTGTTGATTTTCTATTTGGTTTTTGCCTCTTTGGGTCCATAGTTTTTAGGTCTTGCGTCTCTGTTTTCAGGCTTACGCAGGAGATGACGGATCCTAGTTCCAATCTTTTAGTTGAACTCTCTCTTTCACTGACTCTTGGTTCAGACTTCAGACTGTGAAAGATAAGAGGTATAATTCTCATCTTTTGATTGGTTGAGAGTGTTGATGACTATCTGTTATTGGTTATGGGCTCACAAGTTTAATTAACAATGACCTGAAAATGACACAATGTTTCAATATGAGTCAACCGTTGGCATACTTGATAGGGTAAAATGTTGGAGTTCTTTGGGGGCAACTATTAAACATTTCATATTCTCAATTTGTATTATAAAACAAGGTTTAAGTTGATCGTTAATAAAGTAATGCAGAATCTTGGAATATGGGAGCTGTGAGACCTGTGGTCAACATTGTTTAGAGAATAATTATCATTAACTAATGTTCTTGAATATGTTTTGTTGCCTTACTTTCTCTTGTATACATGTTCTCTTCTTACACTAATCTTTCTTGTGGGGATGACGAGGTTATTCTTTGCTTGTTTGCTCTTGTTTCCCATGCTCTTAAGTTTTTGCTATGCAGCTATAACGCCAACAAGTCCGTTGTCAATAGGTGAAACTCTCAGCTCCTCTAATGGAGTTTATGAATTGGGGTTCTTCAGTCCTAATAACTCGCAGAATCTGTATGTTGGAATCTGGTTTAAAGGTATCACTCCAAGGGCGGTTGTGTGGGTGGCCAATAGAGAGAAACCTGTTACAGACTCCAAGGCAAATCTAACTACCAGCATCAACGGAAGTCTTGTCTTACTTAGTGGCAAACAAGGCGTTGTCTGGTCCATTGGACAGACTTCCGCATCTAATGGGTCTCGTGCAGAGCTTTTAGACACTGGAGATCTTATTGTCATTGACGAAGTTTCAGGAAGACCTCTATGGCGAAGCTTTGAGCATCTTGGTGATACTATGCTACCTTCCTCCTCGGTGATGTACAACCTTGCCACCGGTGAGAAGCGTGTGTTGACTTGTTGGAAAAGTGACACTGATCCATCGCCTGGCGAATTTGTGGGTCAGATTACAACACAAGTGCCATCACAGCTACTTACTACGAGAGGCTCAAAGCGATATTGGAGAAGCGGTCCATGGGCTAGAACAAGGTTCACCGGGATACCTCAGATGGATCAATCATACACAAACCCATTCAGCCTTCAGCAGGATGCAAGCTCAGCTTATTTCTCTCATTCACAAAGTAACACCATCAAATATGCAACTTTGACACCAGAGGGATCGGCGAATATTTATCACCGTAATGGGACAGACTGGTTATTGAGCTTTGTGGCTCCAGCTAACGCATGCGATCTTTACGGTGTATGTGGACCTTTTGGATTGTGTGTTGTGTCAGCGTCTCCACAGTGTAAATGCCTCAAAGGGTTTGTGCCACAATACAATGAGGAATGGAACAGAGGAAACTGGACTGGTGGTTGCGTGAGGCGTACGGAACTACTTTGTCAAGGAAACTCTACTGGCAAAGATGTAAACGTCTTCCATACTGTTGCCAACATAAAGCCTCCAGACTTTTACGAATTTGCAGCGAGTCCTGAGACTGCTGAAGATTGCCACCAAAGCTGCCTTCACAATTGTTCTTGCTTGGCCTTTGCTTATATTAATGGAGTAGGGTGCTTAATCTGGAACCAGGAGCTGATGGATGTAGTGCAGTTTTCTATGAGAGGAGAGCTTCTTTCCATTCGTCTTGCAAGTTCTGAACTGGGTATGCCTTGAAAAAGATAACATCAGAAAGCTTTGTTTTCATTTGGCCTATTTGTTTATTTTGTCATATGTATCTCAGATGGAAACAACCGCAAGAAGACTTTGTTTACTGTTGGTATTGTGAGCCTTTCTCTTTTCGTGATATTGGGTTCTGCTGCACTTGGTTTGTGGAGATACAGAGTGAAACGTAACGGTAACTTATTGATGACCTTTACTATCTCTACATTGATCTCTTGCTGTTATCGATTTGCTTGCCTGCAAAATGGACTCATGCAGATGTGTACCTTGGTTTCAACTTCCTTGACGAAATTTTAATATACTCACTTTAAGCTAAATATGTTTGAGCTTTAGCTTGATGGCTACATTACTATATTTTAAGCACTAACACATAAATTCTTGAAACAATTATTTCAGCTTTTAAATCAAAGATAAAGGTTGCTTCACCAGGCTCATTGAGTAATGATCTGACACCCCAAGATGTCCCAGGTTTAGATTTCTTTGAGATGAATACTATTGAAACTGCCACAAACTATTTCAGTCTGTCAAATAAACTCGGACAAGGTGGATTTGGTTCAGTTTATAAGGTCAGAGAATTGATATCGCTTTGTTCTGTTTCTTTTCTCTGTTTATGCTCTCGAGATGACATTCTGCAATATGTTTCAGGGAAAGCTGCAAGATGGGAAAGAAATAGCTGTAAAACGCCTCTCTAGCAGCTCCGGACAGGGGAAAGAGGAGTTCATGAATGAAATAGTACTCATCTCAAAACTCCAACACAGAAACTTAGTCCGGATTTTGGGATGTTGCATTGAAGGAGAAGAGAAGCTATTGGTTTATGAGTTTATGGAGAACAAAAGCCTTGATACCTTTCTCTTCGGTATGTCCCTTTCATGCATCCTTCCTCTACTAGTTATTAGATTTACTCTCTGTGTACATCAGTTTATGTGATAGTTTTTACACTATTATTATTGCTTAGATTCAAGAAAAAGGTTCGAGATCGATTGGCCAAAGAGATTTGATATCATTCAAGGCATTGCACGTGGACTTCTTTATCTCCACCGTGACTCACGCCTCAGGGTCATTCACCGAGATCTCAAGGTCAGCAATATTCTTCTAGACGAGAATATGATCCCAAAAATATCAGATTTCGGATTGGCTCGGATGTTTGAAGGAACTCAAAATCAGGACAACACTCGCAGGATTGTAGGAACTCTGTAAGAATCTACTTTCAAAAACATGCTTAACAACAAGATATATTGACATATTTGTCATAATCATATATTAAACTTGGATGAAACCTTTTGATGTTTGCACAGAGGATATATGTCTCCAGAGTATGCATGGACAGGGATGTTCTCTGAGAAATCTGACATCTACAGCTTCGGAGTTCTTCTCTTAGAAATCATTAGCGGAAAGAAGATCTCAAGCTATTGCGAAGACAGTACAACCCTTCTTGCATATGTAAGTAAGACTTTAGGCATTGATACACTAGAGAGTTCACTATCGGTTTTGAAGACGTTTCTTGCTTTTTTATATTCACTTTTACTGAAAGTCTGAAACCACAAACAGGCGTGGGAATCTTGGTGTGAAAACGGAGGAATTGATTTTCTGGACAAAGGTGTTGCTGATTCATGTGACTCGTTACAAGTTGGTAGATGTGTTCAGATTGGTCTGCTTTGTGTTCAACACCAACCTGTAGAGAGACCCAACACACTTGAGTTGTTGTCTATGCTCACCACAACATCAGATCTTCCACCTCCCAAACAACCCATATTTGCAGTGCACACTAGATGTGATGAATCCACGTCTAAGGACTTGATCACTGTCAATGAGATAACACAGTCTGTGATCCAGGGGCGTTAAGTAATGGTTTGTGATGATTTGATTACAGTCAATGAGGTGACACAATCTGTGGTGATAGGGCGTTAGGGAAGAAGCATTATCTAAATAAAAGTATAGGTAGCTTCAACATGTATGTATATTCAAATCAGTATTGTTTTTTTTTGTTCTTTTGTTTCTGTTAATGCATAAATGACTATACAATATTGTTGAGTCCACGTTTTTAGGCCTTACTTTAATGTCGTCTTCTCAAAAATGTAACTATCCTTTACAAGACTGTCACTAGAAAAGGTTGTCTTGGCAATAGCAGACTAGCAGTTATGAATACTATATAATGAGTAAATGTAAAATCAAAATGAAGTTGGTTTTTGGTAAAATTTCTAAAAAAATGTATATTCTAGTTTTCCTTTACTAGACTGTCACTAGAAAAGGTTGTCTTGGCAATAGCAGTTATGAATACTAATGAGTAAATGTAAAATCAAAATGGAGTTGGTTTTTGGTAAAATTTCTAAAAAAATGTATATTCTAGTTATCTTTCTTAAATGAATAAGTGTAAAATTTCTATACTCTTTAGTAAACCATACCAAAATCACCAATGTATTTAATGGAGTGTAATATTCTGTGTCCACGAAATATGTATATATAATTTCACCTAGAAACCAAAAGAAGTTAGAAAAGGTTGTTCTTTGTGTGCGTGTGTGTGTGGTGAAGAAGACCAATATGGAGCTTTGGATTCCAATAGTCTGCGCTGCTTTAGTCATATTCATCTTGGGTTTTATTATTTATCAAGCTTTTTACGCTAATCGATCACCGATTTTGCCCGTGTAGCTTATTTTATGATTGGTCTTCATTTTTGATGATTTTTTTATAGATTTGTAACTTTTATAATAAGCATATGCATTATGCGGTGCTGCAATATTTATCAATAATATTCTACTGAATACTTGATATTTCAGTTTTTCTGCTCTTACTTTCAGTGCTATATTACATAATGAAATACTATTTGTTTTAGGCAAATATGATTTACATCGTTCCAACTAAACGAAAGATTTTCAGTGTTATCAACGAAAGAAAATATAAACAATGAAACGAAAAGAGAATTAAGACGTGCGTTGAGAGTTTCCTCTCTAACGAATTTACTATATGAGAAGTATTCATGCAACCAATTTACTTAATTAGAACACACGTTTTATGATCTCCGGCCACAACTCCGTTCTCTCTTCCCGTCACAGCCGCGAAAACTCAGCCGCATCTACAAAAAAAATTCTTTACCATTTTCTAGTTTTAGTTAATGTGTGTATCAGAGAGTGGTTCGAGGAATTATATATTGCATTCATGTGGTGTTTTTTTTTTGTTTTTATAAAATCATTTTTGTACCTTGCTCTCTATCAAGATAAAAAAGCTTGAGCTTTGAGATGAAGTGGTGAAGTAACTGTAGGAGAAAAAAAATGAATGCTACCTTTAGAGATCCTTCTTCTATGTGTTCCATAAGAATTGAAGAATTTAGTATGCATCAATGTTCACTTGGCCGATGATAGATTTACTGAGTTGCTTGGTTCTTGCAAATACCAATTATTAAACCTAGAAGCTGTTCTTTTGGCCATTGACATTGTCATTTTCTTACAAAACACGAATATGTTTGTTTACACAGGGTGTTACAACACGAAAAGAAAGTTGATGATGGTACCAAGAGAAAAGCAAAGATTGTAGGATACAAGAGAACATAGACCAACATAAAATTACACAATGTGATGATGATACATCTCAGTGGAACTTGAGGCTGGTCAAGACATTGTTGTTGACAGGATCCGCCAAATGATCAAGAAGGTTCTGGTAAGGCCCCACACCGGTCACTAGCCCCTGAATAAAGTAACCGAGGATTGCAAGCATAGCCAGTCTTCCGTTCTTGACCTCTTTGAGTTTCAACTCTTTCATCGACTTCTCGTCTTTCCCAAACCCAAGAGGGTTAAAGAAAGGTCCTCCAGGGTAAGCCGGGTTACCTGAGCCGGAGAAACCTTTCTCTAACCCCAAGAAGTACTGTTTCCCCATAGATCCAGGGTTGTACCAATCTTGCAACCTCCTGTGCTCAGCGAATCCCATCAGAGCCATCTCTAGAACAAAGAGTGTGTAGTTGTCTGCCCAGTAGTTGTATGTCCCTGCTGGTGGAATCACACCGGTTTGGAACCAGGGAAGAGCTGTCTCTGCTGGGATCAGACCGGCTTTGCCTAGGATCTCAGGTGCTATAGCTCCTGCTGCACCTAACATAGCGAACCGTCCGTTGATGATCTCTCCGTAGGCTAACCATCTCGGCTCAATGAACCCTCCGGTACCTTCTGGGTCTGAAAGACCAAGCGGGTCAAATCCAAAGTCTCCAGGTAAGCTGCAAGATCACAACATAAATCATCATTTTCTAATAGTCTTTAACACAGTTTGAAGAACATGAAGCTAAAAGAAGAAAATTAATTACCTGCCATCCAAGTAAGAGAGCGACTGTGATGATGCAAACCACAATGGTCTGTTTGCTCCTTGCTGAAACCATAACACATAAACAAAAACAAGATCAAGATTATTCAAGTGCATAAAGAGAGTTGTATGTGATAAAAAGAAAAGGACTAGAGAGTGTTATGTATGTACCTTGACAGGTGGAGTTGAAGCTGCCTTAACGACAAAGGAAGTCTTCTTCTGTGAGACGGACACAGCTGGTTTAGTGCCGAATATCTGTCTAGCGGTCTGAACAGAGGAGGTAAGTGAAGAAGACACAAGTGCTTGTGCTGCCATTTTTGTTTTGTTTTTCTCTGTTCCTTCGAACTCTTCTCTTCTCTTCTGTCACCAAGAGATGTGATGATGAAATGGTTCGGAGATGGTTCTTGCAAGGGAAAGTGTTAAGAGTAGTACAAGGAACAAGGTCCAGTAGAACTACTTGTGGCTTTGAAATAGCACAACTGGTTTTGCTCAGATTAGATTAGTATCTGCTTCACCAACTATATTTGTCCACGTGGAAACTAGAGTTGGATAAGAGATTTTGTTTCTCTGTTTCTCCTTATCTGCCACACAAGTAACAAAAAAATCTTTACGTTGAAGCCTATTGGATATAAATAAATTTGTATAAATTTTCATATGCTTTTATTTCATTGGAATCGAGAATTAAATTTTCAGATGCTTTATTTTCAAAATTATTTTATTTGTAGCTAATGAATCAGTTCTTACTTTATTGCATTTTATTTTAAGATTTTGTAATAAAATCATAGAAAAGTATTAAACCAAATTTGATCTTAAACAGAATAATATTAAAAACCAAATAAAAATATTTAAATAAAATAAGATCAGTAACCTTACGTTTTTATTGTAATTGATATTTTTTTTGAATTCATGATATGAAAAATGAATTAATTTGTTTTATTTTTATTTTTATCCAATATAGAAAAACTTATATATGTCTAAATATGATTAATTGATTAATTAATTCAACAAAACTTTATTATTCCATTCAAGAGATTTCAATTGATGAAATCTTTATTTAATAATTTTTTACCTAACAATATTGAAAATTAAACTATTTAAAATTAGAATATCGGTTCATTATATTTTCTTAATATTAGTTAGTTGCTTGATGATGTCAAAAAAATAAAAATTGTTGCTTGATAATTAATTTGTTAGATTTCTTGCATATTATACAAATTATTGTGAAAATTTTAAAATTGTATCAATTCTCAATTCAATTTTTTTATCATTGTTTTGTTTTAGTTAAGCGTAGACAGTTAACACTATAATTTTGTTTATAGGCCAAAATTTTGGAAATTAGCAGCACCTTTTTAATTACCAGTACCGCTTGGTGCCACAACAATTTTTACCGTTAAAGTTGGCGATTTTTACTAGAAGTAGTTAAATCTCAGTTGGTAGGAGTTGGCTTAAACGACATAGTTCTCGTTTACTCTCTATTTTGGTCGGGACATTAAGTCAGGTGATCTTAGCAACGTTTTGATCTGTACGAGTAAAAGGTTGGATAAGATTCAATTCGTTTGGTACAACTGGATAAGAAGGTTAACAACATTCTTCTGTATTGGCTTGAATGTATCTGGGAACCGCAAATTTTGAGAGTATATTAGTCAATCCAACAAAACTTGTAAAGAACTCTATTTGATTCAACATAACTTCCAGAGAAAACACAATTCTAAGTTTCTAACGCAAACATAATATATATATTTTAGCTTCCATGCATGGTGTTTCAACTTTATATACATAAAACAACCCAAAATAGAGAATCAAATATAATAACTAAACCACCGAATTAAGAACGAAACAAAAAAAAGAAAGTTATAATACTAAGTCCAAAAAAAAAAAGCATTGCATGCATGCATCTCTAAATATAATCTCTAGTTTGCTGAAGTGATCAGAGAGAATACCTCATCAAACAAGGCTTTCTTCTCCAACATTTGTTCACGTTGTTTTGCGCTCAACTTCTCTTCAATCTCCTTTAATTCACGTTTTCTTCCGCTCAACATGTCTTCCATTTTCTTAATTTCGACATCCTTGGCATCCAACGACTTCGACCTCTCTTCCATTCTACTCTTTGTTTCAGTCGGGAGTACACTCCATTTTTGGAGCACAGAATCCACACCGAACCCCTCCATCGATCTTAATAGATTTGACTCCTTAAACCAATTAGTTTGTGTCACACAACCTGGTGGTGACTCTACATCTCCTCCGTGTCCATCGTCTTCATGACCTTTTTCAGCCAACTCTTCAGCTCCCCAGATAACCTTGGACCACTTGAAACACTCCCGAACATGCTCGTTCTCGAATGATGGCTCGACACCCTCCTTGGCTTTCTTTCGATATCTCTTTTCTAGATGCCGAACTTTTTCTAAGAATTGTCTCAAGTTGGTCTCGAAGTTAACCACATTCTTGGCAGATTCGTAAAATCGGAGTCTATCCTCAGAGGGATACTTGCCTATTTTATTTTTGAAATCAATGATTTCACGTAGAATAGCGATTTCATCTTGAGGACTCCACCGCCTTGGGTAATATAACGATAACATCATACGGCTCACTGAATGATTCAAGTCTTGGGGTCCAAGTCAAACTTGTCAGTTAGGCTTCAGCAGGATGCAATTATGCAAACGGGTCAGGATCTTTCTCTTATGTTGACAGAGATGTCAAACCTCCACGTATAACGATAACAGCAGAGGGCTCACTGAAGATCTTTCAGCATAATGGGACCGACTGGGGAATAGACTTTGATGCTCCAACTAATCTATGCGATTCTTACGGTGATTGTGGACCTTTTGGCTTGTGTGTCACGTCAGCATCTCCGAAGTGTGAATGCTTCAAAGGGTTTGTACCTAAATCCATTGAGGAATGGAAAAGAGGAAACTGGACTGGTGGTTGTGTGAGACGTACCGAACTACATTGTCACGGAAACTCTACTGGCAAAGATGCAAACGTCTTCCATCTTGTTTCCAACATAAAGCCTCCAGACTCTTACGAATTTGGAAGCTCTATGGATGCTGAAGAATGCCACCAAAGTTGCCTCCACAACTGTTCTTGCTTGGCCTTTGCTTTTATTAATGGAATAGGGTGCTTAGTGTGGAACCAGGAGCTTTTAGACGTAGTGCAATTTTCTGAAGGAGGAGAGCTTCTTTCCATTCGTCTTGCACGCTCTGAGCTAGGTATGAGGTTGATAAAAATAACTTGAACTAGCATGGCTTATTGATACTGTTAATTTCAGTAGTAGCATGGCTTATAGTTTGTGTTTGTTTTTGTTATCTCAGGTGGAAATGAGCGCAACAGGATCATTGCTGCTATTATTGTGAGCCTTTTAGGTTTTGTGATATTTATTTCTGCTGCATTTGCTTTCTGGAGATACAGAGTAAAACATAACGGTACACACTTATGATGATCTTTGTTATCGATTTCTTGTTGTTTGTTTATTCATTTGCTTGGTAATGACCTTGAAACTCTGGTTTCAGCTAATATATCGAAGGATGCCTCACAAGATGCATGGAGGAATGGTCTGAAACGACAAGATGTTTCAGGTTTAGATTTCTTCGAGATGGATACCATTGAAACTGCCACCAACAATTTCAGTCTGTCAAATAAACTCGGACAAGGTGGATTTGGTTCAGTTTACAAGGTCAGAGAGTTTTTATCCTCTTTGCTCTTTTGCATTCTTTTTGTTTATGCTCTTGAGATGAAACTGTACAATCTGTTTCAGGGGAAGCTGCAAGATGGGAAAGAAATTGCTGTAAAACGTCTTTCTAGCAGCTCAGGACAGGGGAAAGAGGAGTTCATGAATGAAATAGTACTCATCTCAAAACTCCAACACAAAAACTTAGTCCAGCTTTTGGGATGTTGCATTGAAGGAGAAGAGAAGCTATTGATTTATGAGTTTATGGTTAACAAAAGCCTTGATACATTTCTCTTTGGTTGGTCCATTCTTGCATCCTTCCTTGATTATCATTAGCTTTTCATCTACATCAAACCGTTTGTCTGATAGTCTTTACACGGTTTTGTTGTTTAGATTCAAGAAAAAAGCTCGAGATTGATTGGCCAAAGAGATTTGATATCATTCAAGGTATTGCTTGTGGACTTCTCTATCTCCACCAAGACTCACGCCTCAAGGTTATTCACCGAGATGTCAAGGTCAGCAATATTCTTCTGGATGAGAACATGAACCCTAAAATATCAGATTTTGGATTGGCTCGGATGTTTCAGGGAACACATTTCCAGGACAAGACTCGCAGGATTGTAGGAACTCTGTAAGAATCTATTTTCAAGGACATGTTTAGCTGAGATTAAGCTGAGATTAAGCTGAGAAAAACTATTTAATGATTTCACAGGGGATATATGTCTCCTGAGTATGCATAGACAGGGATGTTCTCTGAGAAATCTGACATCTACAGCTTCGGAGTTATGCTTCTAGAAATCATCAGTGGAGAGAAGATCTCAAGGTTCATCTATGGCGAAGACAGAAAAACCCTACTTGCATTTGTAAGTAACACTTAAGGCATTGATACATCAAGTGCAGAGATTCCACTTTCTGTTTTAAAACGTTTCTTGCTTTCTAATATTTGCTTGTTCTGAAACCACAACAGGCATGGGAATCTTGGTCTGAAAATGGAGGAGTTGATCTTTTGAATCAAGATCTTGCTGATTCAGGTCACCATTCTGAAGTTGGGAGATGTGTTCAGATTGGTCTGCTCTGAGTCCAACACGAACCTGTAGACAGACCAAACACACTTGAGTTGCTGTCTATGCTCACCACCACTACACCAAATCTTCCATCACCTAAACAACCCACATTTGCATTGAACACACTTAGAGATAACGAATCCCGTTTTAGGGATCTGATCACTGTCAATGAGATGACTCAGTCTGTGATCCTTGGGCGTGGAGAAACAGTTTTCTTAACAGCTTTCATCATTTTTTTTCAGTGGTTTACAGAAACAAATGTTAGATCCTCAAATTACTAGTGATTTTAACGTTAAAACGAATATAAATTTGATTTTATATTTCTAGATAGAAATCCGAGTTGTTGGCCGAACAGAACAAAAACACCATAACCGTTCCATTTTTTTTTTTCAACTTTTAATACATAAAGTGATAAAACCAAAAACAACCCAAAACTAAACGACCGAAGAAAAAAAACGAGAAAATTGAAATATAAGTTGAGAAACAGATAGAGGCATTGCAAGTCTTAACTATCATCTCTAGTTTTCTTTCTTTGTGATCAAAGAAAACACTTCATCCAACAAAGCTTTCTTTTTCCACAAACACTCACATTTCCAAGTCTTCGAGCCGACTTCACACACCTTAATATTATCTTTAAACTTCTTGTCCGACGGACACTCAGGTTTATTACAACACCATTTGATTTCATCTTTTAGAGTCTCCACCTTGTCTTTAAATTTCTTGATGAACGCTTCTTCGGCATCCATGGCCTTGTACTTCTCTTCTATTTTACGTTTGGCCTTATACGGGACTAGGCTCCATTTCTGGAGCACAAATTCCACACCAATTGACTCCATCGCTGGAACAAGATATGACTCTTGAAACCAATCAGGCTCCTCTCCAAACAAATCCTCTATCTTCAACGCTTTGGCGTTCCTGCTTGCCATTTAAACAATAGAGAAGGAAGAGAGGGAGAGAGGTGCTGGTGATGTTAAGGCGTTTGTTTGTTTTTTTGTTTTGCTCGAAGTGTTAAGGCGTTTGTTCAAATCAAGTGTTGTTTACAAAGTCATGCCTGCTTCCAGTATTAATAGCACCGGAATGAAAGAAGATAAATATTTTAAGAAAAGAAGAATAAATTAATAGTATTTGCATGTAAGCATGACTAAGCCGCTCATAGGTCTCTGTAGCAATCTTAGGCATAAACGTTTTCGTGTGTCAGACTCATTTGATGCAACTCGCGTTCCCATACAATATGATCAACACTTGAGAAGAAAATACTTGAACTTAATTTACATGCATATAGATTTTATTCGATTTGATTTTCTGGTTATACGGAGTATTAGCAACTGACTGTTCAATATGTACAAGATTGTATTTACGAAGGAGTTCAACATACTTTAACTTGATTTACATGCATATAGATTTTGGGTTGTTTTTATTTCCAAATTAAACATGAATACTAGGAACTGACTGGCTCCCATTTCTATTTAATTATTCTCTCTGTTTCATATAAGGGTTTAAGGTTTTTGTACACAAATTAAGAAGCTATTTAATTCTTATACTTTTTGAAATAAATATATTTTATCATCAATTTCAAAACATTTCAAGCAATAATAAAATAATCTAAAAAATATAAACAATTAAAAGTAATAAAAACACATTTAATTTTGTCTAAAAACTTTAAAACCCATTATATTATGAAACAAAACCAAAACTCCAAAACTCTAAACAGCTGGAATATGTACAAGATTACATTTACGAAGCGAAGGAAGAGAGTGATATAATTGGTTTGTTTGTATGTAGAAAAAAATCTAAAATACTCTGCTGTTTAATCTACTCTCTGATTTGATCTCCAATGAGTACAATTTGTCTGGCCATTATTTGAAAAACAAAAAGAATAAAAGAAAAGATCGAGGAGCGTGCATGTAGATTGCGTGTCAAAAGCTTTGAAGTGTGATCAAGTGTCAAAAGTTTTGAGTTCCAATGACATATTCAAGCGGACAAGATAAATCTAAACAGCAAAGTATTTTATATTTTTTTCTACGCCATATACAAACAAATTAATTAGATCACTTTTTTCTACCTTTGGGACAGAAGCCAAAAGTCAGTAAATCACCAGTGAAAAGCCATTGGAAATCGCTTAAGAATATACTCCAAGAAGATAAAATCTGTTTTGTCTCTCCAAGAACTATTGTCTTCATATTAGTTTAAGAAGCAAACATATTAACATCCTTAAGAACATACAAAAAACAAACTCGGGGACTTGTTCTCACAATTTAATATGAGCAATACTGAAAGAGAGAAAGATAAAGATGTAGTTGATATCTTGTTGGACACGTATAATGACCCTAAAGCCGAACTCAATACATGAGTTGTTCATTGCGAGCCTAGACACGACTTCTGCAGCTTTACAATGGACAATGACAGAGCTAATGCAACCATCAAGATTGCTTGATAAAGATCAGAGAAGAGACTGAATCGGTTTTAGGAACAAAGGCGCATCAGTGAATCAAAGAATCAGATCTACAGAAGCTTCCTTACCTACAAGCAGCTATCAAGGCGGCACTGAGACTTCAAACAGTGGGACCATTACTACGCTGAGACAGCAAAAGAGACATGAAGATCAATGGGTACGATGTAGAATGAGGGACAAAGATCTTTATTAATGCTTACGGGATAATGCGTGATCCTAACACATACAAAGATCCTGACAAGTTTATACCTGAGAGGTTTCTTGTGGTGCAAGAAAACACAGAGAGAGATTGGTTATTACCAGCAGCAATATATGTCCTAAACATCATTAGGAATGGATCCTAATTGGTTATTACCAGATACAAAAGTAAGTAAATTCTCTGCGGAGAATAGACATCATTAGGAATTTGGAAACATACTTATACTTTGCTCTGTTTACATAAACTTCAATACTACAATTACTCCAGCAAGCATCGTTTTTCTCAACGCCCCTGGATCACAGATTGTGTAATCTCATTGACAGTGATCAAATCCTTAGACGTGGATTCATCACATCTAGTGTGCACTACAAATGTGGGTTGTTCTGGTGATGGAAGATCTGATGTTGTCGTTAGCATAGACAGTAGCTCAAGTGTGTTGGGTCTGTCTACAGGTTGGTGTTGAACACAAAGCAGACCAATCTGAACACATCTCCCAACTTGTAATGGGTAATAAGAATCAGCAACATCTTGTTCCAGAAAATCAACTCCTCCAGTTTCACACCAAGACTCCCACGCCTGTTGTAATTCCAGAATATAAGAGCAAGAAACAATTCCAAACGTATCAAACACGTAACGTATTACTTACATATGCAAGAAGGGTTTTACACTCTTCATTATAGCTGAATCTTGAGATCTTCTCTCCGCTGATGATTTCTAAGAGAAGAACTCCGAAGCTGTAGATGTCTGATTTCTCAGAGAACACTCCAGTCCATGCATACTCAGGAGACATATATCCACTGTAAATCCATCAAATCGTTTCAGCCAAGTTTCTATTTATGACTCATGAATCTTGTTAAGCAAGCATATTAAATACTAATTCTTACATAGTTCCTACAACTCTTAGAGTGTTGTCCTGATTTTGTGTTCCCTGGAACATCCGAGCCAATCCAAAATCTGATATTTTAGGGTTCATGTTCTCATCCAGAAGAATATTGCTGACCTTCAGGTCTCGGTGAATGATCTTGAGGCGTGAGTCACGGTGGAGGTAGAGAAGTCCACGTGCAATACCTTGAATGATATCAAATCTCTTTGGCCAATCAAGCTCAAGCCTTCTTCTTGAATCTATTAAAAATATATATCAGATAAGACAGTTCCATGTAGAAGCTACTAATATAAAAGGAAAGAGGCAAGAAGAAACCAACCAAAGAGAAATGTATCAAGGCTTTTGTTCACCATATATTCATAGACCAATAGCCTCTCTTCTCCTTCAATGCAACATCCCAAAAGCTGAACTAAGTTTCTGTGTTGTAGCTTTGAGATGAGTACTATCTCATTCATGAACTCCTCTTTGCCCTGTCCGCAGCTTCTAGAAAGACGTTTTACAGCAATCTCTTTCCCATCTTGCAGCTTCCCCTGAAACAGATTGCACAATGTCACTGAAGAACATAAACAGAGAATAGAAAAAGAGCAAAAAGGATATAAATCGGACCTTAAAAACAGAACCAAATCCACCTTGCCCGAGTTTATTTAAGAGACTGAAACGATTTGTGGCAAGTTCAATAGCATTCATCTCAAAGAAACATAAACTTGAGAAATCTTGCGGTGTAAGATCATTGCTCCATGAATCTTGTGAAGCAAGCTTCGATATAGTTTCTGTAACTAGAATTCCAAGAACATTTAGAAAGCAAATGAATAAAAAAAAATGAAAAAGAGATCGATGGAAAGATAGTATTACCATTATGTCTCACTCTGTATCTCCAAAAACCAAACGCAGCAGAACACAATATCACAAAAAGAAAAAGGCTCACAACACTAGCAGCAATGGTCTTGTTGCGCTCATTTCCACCTGAAATACATAACCCGGAAACAAACTAAACAATAAGCAATAGTTGTGAAAATGATGAAGTAGTTATATTTTTAACCTAAACCTAGTTCAGAGCGAGCTAGACGAATGGAAAGAAGCTCTCCTCCCTTAGAGAATTGCGCTACATCCAATAGCTCCTGGTTCCATATTAAGCACCCTATTCCACGGATATAGGCAAAGGCCAAGCAAGAACAATTTTGGAGGCAGCCTCGGTGGCAGTCTTCACCATCCACAGAGATTACAAACTCGTAAAAGTCTGGAGGCTTTACGTTGGCAACTTGATGGAAGACGTTTGCATCTTTGCCACTAGAGTTTCCCTGACATAACAATTCCGTGTGCCTCACACAACCATCAGTCCAGTTTCCTCTTTTCCACTTCTCAACGTCTTTTGGCACAAACCCTTTGAAGCACTTACACTTTGGAGACGCTGACGTGACACACAAGCCAAAAGGTCCACATACACCATAATGATCGCATGGGTTAGCTGGAGACTCATAGGTTAATTCCCAGTCGGTACCACTATGCTGAAACCTCTTCAAGAAGCCCTCTGAGGTTAAAACCAAACGTGAGAGCTTTAAGTTTCTGCTTATGTAAGAGAAAGACCCGAGGTTTGCATCTTGCTGAATGATGAATGGGCTTGTTAATGTTTCATCCATTCCCGGTATCCCGGTGAACCTTGTTTTAGCCCATGGACCGGATCTATAATAAGGCATGGAGCCTCTCGTAGTAAGCACCTGTGATGGCACTTGCGATGTAATCTGAGCCACAAAGTCGCCGGGGGATGGATCAGTGTAACTTCTCCAACAAGTCAACACTCTTCTCTCATCAGTGTTGAGGTTATACATGAGGGGAGACAAAGGAAGCAAAGTATCACCAAGATGCTTAAAGCTTTCCCATAGAGTGTTTCTTGAGATACTGTCTTTGACAATAAGATTTCCGATGTCTGAAAGCTCGGCGTGAGACGGGTTGGATGCAGAATTTTCTCCGCTGGACCACACAACGCCATGTTTGCCATCAAGTAAGAGAAGACTTCCATTGCTGCTGATAGTGAGTTTTGCTGTGGAGTCTGTAACAGGGTTTTCTCTGTTGGCCACCCACACAACCGTCCGGGGAGTGATACCCTTGAACCAGATTCCGACACAATGATTCTCGGAGTCATTAGGACTGAAGAACCCTAGTTCATAAACTCCATTAGAGGAGCTGAGAGTTTGTCCTATTGACAAAGGACTCGCTGTTGTTATCTCTGCGTAGCTGTAATTTAAAAAGATGGTAAATAAGAGCAGTGAGGCAAAGACCACGACACTCATCTTCTCCTCCATGTGTTTTTTTCTCTCCAATTCTTAAGATTTAGTTTAAGAAGCAAGAAAGCCAAGACAACAAAACTCAACGAGCTGAAACCTTAGTTACTTGTACAGAAGAAATAAATTTCAAATGTTTTTAGAATTTCGCCAAATTGTCATTTTCATGTCTCTATTAGCTAGTTGAGCCGAGAACCAATGAGAGATGAGAAAATTCACAGCTTTGACATAAAGAGTCCAACGTTTGACCTAGTCAACTACGCATCGATTGACCTTAGATGGAACACATATTGTGTTAGACTTATTTCCATGTTCAGCTTGAAAAGATTTTATAAAGATGGTAATTAAATAAGAGCAGTGACGCAAAGACCACGACACATATAGAACAAGAGCAAGAGAAAAAAAAGTCAACCAACTTAAACACTTAGTTAGTTGTACAGAATAAATCAGTTTCTCAACCAAAAACAGTTACGCAAAATTGTCATTTTCATGTCTCTATCTAGCTAGTTGGTACGAGAACCAATGAAAGAATAGGCACATATACTCTACATCAATCAAAATATGAGAAAATTCACACTTTGACCATGTCAACTACGCACCGATTGACCTCAGATGGAACACATATTGTGTTATTTCCATGTTCAGCTTGAAATGATAAGCAACTACACTTTACATTAATGATTTACAAGGTATTGTCTCCTTCTCACCTAAACTTTTGAAACCCTAAATCTCACGGCACTGGCTGGACCGATAGTATTTAATGGAAGCAATATGATTATATGATGGCCGATACTATAGGCTTAATTGATTCTTCCAGAAACAGGAGACTTCAACATTCGTTATTACGGTGTCTTTGTCACCAGCCAGAGCATAACTTTTACGAGGAAGACGACGACACGTACACCAAAAATATTGTTTTTACTCGTAATGGAATCTTGTATAGTAAGGTCTCATGAAGATATCCCCAAAAACCATGCATGCATTCATATAACCTAACCTAGTTAACAACTCAATATTTGAGTACATAAACACGAATTATCAAAACGAAAATGAAAACCTACTACCAAAGATTATTATAATTATTATGATAATCATCATAATTATCACCTCCTCTGTTGCCTTGAATTTGATAGAAACATACTTGCGTGTGTGCGCTCTCCTGTGAAGTGTGCCTTGACAACAACGATCGCTCCACGTTCCTCAACCTGGTGTGTTATAATACTTCAACCATATGGACGAAACTTATTGTTGAACTAGCTGGAATTTGCGCTACTGGGTGTAACATAGTCTTTTGTTGACATGAATCAGCTAGCTATACCTGGCATTTGCGCTATTGGGTGTAACATAGTAGCGCAAATTCCAGCAAGTGTGCCTAGTTCACCGTTATGAACTAGCTACTATGTTACACCCAATCAGCAAATGTGCCTAGTTCAAAGATATTGTTGAACTAGCTGGAATCAGCAAGTGAAGTTTTTGCCACATCTAACGGTTTTGATACATCTTCTAATCATGCCCACTATTTCGTTTTTTCGCCGTACCCATCTCACCCATTGAAACATTTTTCCACAAATATGGTATCATACTAGGAAGCTATAATATTTTTTGCTAATTAATACCCATCCAAATATAATTACCATAATTTTGTCGTTTCAGTATTATTTGATCTTTTAGAGTTGTCTTTTTCAGTATTATTTTTGCATGTTTTGTTTAATCTTTCAAGGATAACTCTTCACAAAAACAAATTTCCCCACACGAAGAGAAAAAAATCAACAATGACACTTGATAGATAAAATGTTTGTGCTCTCATAGATAATTGTCGAAAACAACTCAGAAAATAGCAATTATATCTATTTTAAAAAGAAACCACAGTGAAAGTAACGACAAGATAATGTTTCTATTGCAAAAATTATATTTAAGTTAGAAGTTACATCCTATGTTCAAAACATCGGAAATCGTTAATCAGGCGGTCGGGTCGAGATTTGGGATTTTTTGAAAAACGGAGATTAAGCGGAGATTAAACGGGGATGAAATTTTGACTATATTCTACAATTTTTCAAACATTTTGATATATGTACTACATATGTAGACATTGGGTAATATATTACGCTAGCTAAAGTGGTTAACCTGCTTCTGCTTTGCTTGTGCCACCCGAGTTCGACACCCACATTGCACACTAATTTTTTTCCTTTTGTTTTTCCTTTTGGAACCCTTTCTTTCACTTGTTTCATCATTTTTCATGCTTTTTATGTCAAATACTTATAGATCCAACCAATAGAATCATGTTTCAGAACACCAATTCGAACAAAACAAGATTTTTCAAAAATTTCTGAGTCAAAGTTTGGTTGACCAAAAAGGACCTCCGATTTCCATTAATCTCCTCGGTGGTTCACCGATCCACGTTTTTCCAATCCATTAATCAATCTGTGAAATCGTCGCTTTTTAGAACACAGGTTATATCTAATCTAGATTTTTTTTTTTGGGTTGAGTTGTTTAAAGGGGTTTGAATTGAGTTACTCCATAATTTTTGTACAAAAAAAGAGCACATAAATTTGGATTCAATTAAATTGTTTTTCAGTTAAATAAGTGAATCAGAACAGTACAAGATGATAGATCTGATTTGTTATTTATCCTATGATTGCTATGATATGATTACTATCACATTAACGAATGATATTTATTTTACAATACTTAATGGAGTCTTGCAGCATTCAGGGAACCATTGACTGGACTTAGATGAATGAGAAATGATCTTTACCAACATATATCATCTATTAACACCTTGGTTTCTTCACGAGCATATCTCTTCGATAACTTGAAACACGTCTACTAATTGGGCCCATTGGTAAAATCCACAGTGCATAATACGGCTTGTTTTTGTTTTTACATTCAAAGCTTTACTTTTAAAATGAGAGAAACAACAAATCTCTCTTTTTCATGGGGTTGGATGGTAATAGGCTGCTCATACATCAATTTCGCTTTGCGGATAAAGACTAATTAAACATTTGGTTTCTCTTGATAAACTGTGTAGTTAGTTGTTTGTTTTTCTTCTTAGTGATGTTCCGTGTCTTGTTTAAACATGTTAAGTAGCCTATATATAGCCGAAACCTATCAATTTTATAAAACCACAAAAGAAATTTAGGGAACCATTGACTGGACTTAAATGAATGAAAAAATGATTATAAGAACAAGAGTACAAGAACGATTGTGACAATAACACAGATGCTAACGAATGGGAATATGCTACTAATTTTTTTTTTATTATAAATTCTTTTGTTCATGTTTTTCTTTACCTTTTTTATGTGTATGTCAAGTTCCTTCAAAACAAAAACTAAATCATATCTTTGGATCTATTTGATCGATGGCAATGACAACGGATGATCTTCTTTTCCTCTTGAACGGAGGATCCACATACAACATGATCAACGAGAAAATACTTTAACCTCTATTACCCTCTAATTCACACTTGTCATACACTGTTTTTTACAGAATCCGTAATGGGCTCTATAGCCAACTGAGCCCAACAATTGAAACATACTTGTCCATTAATTCTGGGTAGGCCCAAAATGAACTGGCCCATGTCTAAAAGATTTGGTGTGTACTTGTCGTCGTCTTCCTCGTGTCTCGCTGGTGACACACTGACACGTGAATGTTGAAAGTCTGCTGTTTTTTTGGCAGAATCAATTAATCCCAGATTACGTCGGCCATACTTTCATGCTACAGTGTCGTTTCAGCGACTTCTGCGAAGCCTTAAACGGTATGTCTTCAGACGTTTGGATTACGCACTGTAAGTGTTCGATGAAATGCCTGAGAGAGACTTAAGGTTTCCAAAAGTTTACCAGGAGAGAAGGAGACTAACTTGAAAATCATAAAAAGGTATGCATCTCTCACGGGTTCTTTTCTTTTAGTCTGAAACATGATATTTCAATATGAGAATCAATCAGTGCGTGGTTGACAAAGTCAAAATGTTGGGACTTTTTTATGTCAAACTGTGAAATTTCTCATCTTTCGATTGATGTAGAGACTGTACAGTATAGGTGTCTATCTCTCATTGGTTCTAGGCCCATCAAGCTAAACAGAGACATGTAAATGACAATTTTGCGTAGTTGATTTGGTGAAATTCTGAATTTTTTTTTGTATTATTAATTTAAGGTTGAATTCTTTATAGTTGTTTTGTTTTCTTGGCTTTCTTTGCTTTTTTTCTTTCTTAAACTCATCTCAAGAAAGATAGTTATTGGCACATGGGGAAGAAGAGGATTGTTTACTTTGCTTCACTGCTCTTATTAACAATCTTCTTAAATTCTTGCTTTGCAGAGATATCGACAGAGAGTCCTTTGTCAATAGGACAAACTCTCAGCTCCTCTAATGGAGTTTATGAACTGGGCTTCTTCAGTCCTAATAACTCTCAGAATCAGTACGTGGGAATCTGGTTCAAGGATATCACTCCCCGGACGGTTGTGTGGGTGGCCAACAGAGAAAGCCCTGTCACAGACCCCACGGCAAGACTCACCATCAGCAGAAATGGAAGCCTTCTCTTACTTAATGGGAAACATGGCGCTGTGTGGTCCATTGGAGAGACTTTCGCATCCAACGGGTCTCGTGCAGAGCTTTTAGACACTGGAAATCTTATCGTCAAAGACAATGTCTCGGGAAGGATTGTGTGGGAAAGCTTTGAGCATCCTGGTGACACTATGCTACCGTACTCAAGCATGACGTATAACCTCGACGCTAGTAAGAAGCGTGTGTTGACTTGTTGGAGAAGTTACACTGATCCATCGCCTGGCGACTTTGTGCTTCAGATTACACCTCAAGTGCCATCACAGGCGGTTACTATGAGAGGCTCGACGCCTTACTGGAGAAGCGGTCCATGGGCTAAAACAAGGTTCACTGGGATACCGCAGATGGATGAAACGTATACAAGTCCATTCAGCCTTGAGCAGGACGCAAACGGGTCAGTGTCCTTCAATTACTTACGCGAAAACTTCAAACGTGCACGGATAATGATAACATCAGAGGGATCAGCG